TGCACAATAAGAGGGTTTTTATGTTGACCATCGATTAAAGGAACACATTTAGTTTATATATTATTTGCATAATAATAATAATAATAATAATAATAATAATAATAATAATATGTATTTTCGACTGACTATGTATACAGATGTCGCTTGTCTACATTACTAATTGCATAATATATATATTTTTTTTCCAGTCCGAACTTTAATCTTATGTTTTAGACTTACGATTCTTTATGAAACGCACCCCTGGCCTTTATAGTAAGAAAAAACATTATTTTTAGGTGTGTCGACTAACATCAGGTTTGTGGCATTCTTCATACCACTTAGCAAGAAGCGGTTGATATAATAAATGCTCCCTCCTTTTTTTGCTAAGCTTATGTACATGTACATTTTATCAGTCCGTTACTTCACATTTTGAATATGTCGACACATTTAAACTTTAAACTGCTTGGGCTTGGAACAGCGTAGATAAATTTGGTTGCATTTGTAATAATTATTTGACAATAAATTTTTACTTTTCAGAACATTTTTCTAAAATTTTACTTGAATCAGCAACACTCTAGGGAGGCGTTGGGTGTAATGTTTATTTCATTATTCATGACAAATACATCTTACAATAAAAATAAACCATTGACATTTTGTTATGACGTTTGTTTCATTTATTGCTTATCATCTACACATATACTTGTTGTATTATTTTAAACACATTTTGAAAAATTAAAATACATGATTGTATCATTTCTATCACAATTCTTTAATTCTGTTTTAAAGAAATTTCAAAATATGTTTTACCTTTTTTATACTCTCAATTTAATCAATTAAACCTACGATGGAATTAGTAAACATATAATGACATAATATAAATCAAATCAGCTCACTGATTATATCTATTCAGCATTATTTATTTAGGTAAAAAGTATTGTGATATAAATGAACAATGTCATGGTATTTTAAATCGTCATTAAACGAAGAGAAAGGACAGTCGTTTCGTTTTTTATTAATTAACAACTTTCTCAGACCCGAACTTTTCAACGTCAAAAGCTAAAGAGATATACACTTCTAAAGCTACCACTGGACCGATGTATCATCTCTACTTACCACTAGACTACTAAAACATTGTGTTATAGTTACCACGAGACAACTGCATACATCTTATTGCCATTGTATCACTGCGTTCACTGTTACTAAACCACTCTAACACTGCGCAGCTCACTATAGTTTCCACAGAACAAGTGTGTACATCTAATTACCACTGTACTATTGCTTTCACTGTTACTTAACCACTCGAACACTGAGCGCTCAATATTGTTACCACAGAACAAGTGTGTACATCTAATTACCACTGTACTATTGCTTTCACTGTTACTAAACCACTCGAACACTGAGCGCTCAATATTGTTACCACAGAACAAGTGTGTACATCTAATTACCACTGTACTATTGCTTTCACTGTTACTAAACCACTCGAACACTGCGCGCTCAGTATAGTTACCACAGAACAAGTGTGTACATCTAATTACCACTGTACCACTGCGTTCACTGTTACTAAACCACTCGAACACTGAGCGCTCAATATTGTTACCACAGAACAAGTGTGTACATCTAATTACCACTGTACTATTGCTTTCACTGTTACTAAACCACTCGAACACTGAGCGCTCAATATTGTTACCACAGAACAAGTGTGTACATCTAATTACCACTGTACTATTGCTTTCACTGTTACTAAACCACTCGAACACTGCGCGCTCAGTATAGTTACCACAGAACAAGGGCGTACATCTAATTACCACTGTACCACTGCGTTCACTGTTACTAAACCACTCGAACACGGCGCGCGTCCACTTTTAGTTACCACAGAACAAGTGCGTACATTTAATTACCAATGTACTATTGTTTTCACTGTTACTTAACCACTCGAACACTGCGCGCCTCAATATTGTTACCACAGAACAAGTGCGTACATCTAATTACCACTGTACCACTGCGTTCACTGTTACTAAACCACTCGAACACGGCGCGCGTCCACTTTAGTTACCACAGAACAAGTGCGTACATTTAATTACCAATGTGTACTATTGTTTTCACTGTTACTTAACCACTCGAACACTGCGCGCTCAATATTGTTACCACAGAACAAGTGCGTACATCTAATTACCACTGTACCACTGCGTTCACTGTTACTAAACCACTCGAACACGGCGTGCGTTCACTATAGTTACCACAGAACAAGTGTGTACATCTAATTACCACTGTACCACTGCATTCACTGTTATTTAACCACTCGAAAACACTGCGCGCGTTCACTTTAGTTACCCACAGAACAAGTGTGTACATCTAATTACCCACTGTACTATTGTTTTCACTGTTACTAAACCACTCGAACACTGAGCGCGCTCAGATATAGTTACCACAGAACAAGTGTGTACATCTAATTACCACTGTACCACTGCGTTCACTGTTACTAAACCACTCGAACACTGAGCGCGCTCAGTATAGTTTACCACAGAACAAGTGTGTACATCTAATTACCACTGTACCACTGCGTTCACTGTTACTAAACCACTCGAACACGGCGTGCGTTCACTATAGTTTACCACAGAACAAGTGTGTACATCTAATTACCACTGTACCACTGCATTCACTGTTATTTAACCACTCGAACACTGCGCGCGTCACTTTAGTTACCACAGAACAAGTGTGTACATCTAATTACCACTGTACTATTGCTTTCACTGTTACTAAACCACTCGACCACAGCGCGCGCTCAGTTATAGTTACCACAGAACAAGGGCGTACATCTAATTACAATGTACTATTGTTTTCACTGTAACTTAACCACTCGAACACTGCGCGCGCTCAATATTGTTACCACAGAACAAGTGCGTACATCTAATTACCACTGTACCACTGCGTTCCACTGTTACTAAACCACTCGAACACGGCGCGCGTCCACTTTAATTACCACAGAACAAGTGCGTACATCTAATTACCACTGTACCACTGCGTTCACTGTTACTTAACCACTCGAACACTGCGCGCGTTCACTATAGTTACCACAGAACAAGGGCGTACATCTAATTACTGATGTGCCTCTGCGTCCACTTTTATTAAACCACTCGTACACTGCGCCAGCTCATTATAGTTACCACTTAACAACTGCGTACATCTAATTACTGCTGTGCCTCTGCGTCCACACTAGTTACTGGACACCTAGACCACTCCGTTCACTATAGTTACAACACTAGACTACTGCATCTCTGGTAGTTACCACCCACTGAAGTTACTACTGCATTACTAAACTACTGCGTCCACTGTAGTAGCCACTAGATCTTATAAACCACAAGACCACTGCGCCTGCTCTAGCTATCGCTAAACTGTTGCGTCCGATCTATCGACCAGATGATTACTAGTTCACTGCGTTTAATCTAGTAACCACTAGATTTTAGATTCAACCACTAGACCACTGCGTCCATACTTATCACCACTGGAAACTGCGCCCGTTCTAACTACCACAAGACCCCATCTAGCCTCCTTTTCATTTTTGAGAGTCCAAAAATCTATATTAAATCATAATTGTATTTGGAGTAACAAAGTTTTTTCAAAATGTCAAAAAATTGTAATGTGAAATGAAGAGGTCATTCAAGGTGATTGAGAAAAATACTGATCCTATTAGACTCGTACACAGCTGTATAACCTATATCAGATTCAGCTAGCGCATCGTCCAATATAGTTTTGACAGCTGTGTTCTCGTCCAATAGATCAGTATTGTACTTAGCAATGTATAATAACCTCATAGCACCATTTTTACCAATGAAATTTACATTTCTAAAATCCAATTAAAGTAATATTTCCGATAACCATGTAAAGTCATATATCTGAAAATCACATCTTGAAGACTATTCTTTAGTCATATTTCTGATCACCACTTTAATATCAATTGTCACACAACACACTTAAAGTTGTAATAAATTATCTTTATAAACGTATAGGGAAACGAATAAACTGCTTTCATTATGATATTTGTCGTAAATAAATTATGACACTAAATTGTCAAAACGAAAGCAGTTTATTTGAAGTTAGGAGTCATAATTTACGACAAATGTCAAAATGAAAGCAGTTTATTCGTTTCCCTATATATTTAATAAGATACGATCCCGGATTCAGTGCGTCTCGGATCCCGGAATTGCCCTCTACCATCGTATCTTATCGACCCTTTACCTCTAATTTCGGATAAGAATCCGAGTGTTTCCATTGGAAAAACCCATATGAAATTCACCATTTTCGAATTTTAAACTATTAATGGATTTAATACATACAATTGTAATTTCTAATCGTCGAATTACAGATTTAAAAGTTCAAACAACAAATTTTAGGGGCAACAAAATTTTAAAATTTTATAACAATACCTTTTGTGCTGACCTTTCAGGTTGTTATCCTCCTGCGCTCGGATTCTTATTTAATAATCATTTTAGTTTTCAAATATTTTTAAACAGCCTAAATTATGAGCGGACCTATTTCAATGAAAAAAATTTAAATTTATATTCTACTAATTATAATTTCTGACAAACGTGAGAATCAGTAACTTTTCCCAAAACAACAGAACGGTTTTTTGATTAAGTGTCTATTTAATCCAGGAATATGGTCAGCCTTATCTGAGCACGATCCTGTTTCTTCAAATGACACCAGTACAGCTTGGTTCCCGAAAGCGGACTCGGAAGTAATTAACAGAAGTTGCAAGAACTTGTTTCACAATCTTGTTTAAACGAAGCACAACAGAGGTTTGCAATAGTTCGTATACAATAATTAAAGCATCTGAATCTTATATATGCTGTACATAAAACAAGGTCACACTGTGGAACATGTATCTTCAATATCAACATTATCATATTAAAGTTTATATGGTATAAATGATGTATATTTACTCACATGATTTCTGATAACTCGGATAACTATCAAGTTCACCAATTATCTGACGCTGTATACACACATATGCAATGAGTTAAAACAGGTCAACATGTACTGCTACATGATAAGTTCACGTTATACCAATTTACGCCATTCATTATATCTATTATAAATTTATTACATAGTTTACTCAAATTAAATGACAACATAAAAGTTTGTCAGTGACACAAGTAATAAAAGATATGTACGTGATTTTACATATTTTCAAACATTTATGGCAAAATACACTCATTAAATCGATAGGCAAATTTTAACTTAAGGACCACTATTTAATCCACCTTTGGAGTTTTAATGGACGTGGACGGAGACTTTCGTATGGAATCTGTTAGTACAGCGAGCGATGAAACAACAGATGGTTCTATTGAAAAGCTTACTAAAAACAACAATGCTGATCAGACTGATTCAAAACATGTTGTGAGAACTTCAAGAGGAAATATTGTTAGTGAAGATAATGCAACTGAACATGTTGCCGACATAAGAAAAGAAGAAGAATGTCTTGAAGTTCTTATAGAAGTTGATGACGATACGACGAAAGCCCCGGACGGTGGATGGGGCTGGATGATTGTTTTAGGAATTCTGTTAATACGCACTATTGTGGGTAAAAAAATTATTAAGCTTAGTATTAAACGACATTAAGTTTTCGTTATTTACATGTAAATATTCGGCCACTATTTCACGTAGTCGAAGAAAACGATCATAATTATAAATAGCTCATTTCCGTAGAAATAGAATAGCTATCGTTTAATTTTGTGTCATGAGGATAATGATCAGTTATAATATTCTTTGGATATTTAATCGGCTCGGCAATATTTAAATTATTTTTTTATTCTTATTTCATTTCTACAGGTGGGTTTGTCAGATCATCTGGACTATTCTTCGTGAAATTTTCGGAAAGATTTGGAGAAAGTGCGGCTAACACAGCTTGGGTAACGTCTTTATCAGCCACTGTGAGATTACTTGTGGGTAAGAAATCTCTAATACAATTAACCTAGATCATTATAGACACAATGGTAAAAGGGAGATAACTCTTGCCCAATACCTGGATCACGATAAACACGTATTGTTGTAAATCGTGGTAAAAAGGGCAATAACTTTTGCCTGATACCTGTATCACTATAAACACGTGTTGTTGTAAATCGTGGTAAAAAGGGCAATAACTTTTGCCTGATACATGTATCACTATAAACACGTATTGTTGCAAATCGTGGTAAAAAGGGCAATATCTTTTGCCTGATACCTGGATCACTATAAACACGTATTATTGTAAATCGTGGTAAAAAGGGCAGTAACTTTTGCCTGATACCTGGATCACTATAAACACGTATTGTTGTAAATCGTGGTAAAAAGGGCAATAACTTTTGCCTGATACCTGTATTACTATAAACACGCATTGTTGTAAATCGTGGTAAAAAGGGCAATAACTTTTGCCTGATACCTGGATCACTATAAACACGTATTGCTGTAAATCGTGGTAAAAAGGGCAATAACTTTTGCCTGATACCTGGATCACTATAAACACGTATTGTTGTAAATCGTGGTAAAAAGGGCAATAACTTTTGCCTGATACCTGGATCACTATAAACACGTTTTATTGTAAATAGTGGTTAAGGGCGCTAAACCTGCCTAATACCTGGATCACTGTAAATACGCATTGTTGTAAATCGGTGTAAAAGGGCGATAACTGAAAAATCACTTTTTTAAATAGATACGACAAATAGTTATATTGATAAGTTGCTTCTGATAGCCATTCGCACATGCAGTTATATTACTTAGTAAAGTTAAATCAACATGTGTCTTGCATTTGGTTTAACTGCGCCTAATCTTGTCCGGCAACAAAACAACATCTTTGTGGTGTACAATAACTAAAACTTTTGCTTAAAAGGGTAAAATACTTTTTTGGGTTGTCTGCATAAATAACTTTTATAACATCTGTATCCAGGTTGAATGTTTTGTCAGGGAACTTTCTATTTTGGTCGCCCATTGTTTTTTCGTTTCATACGCCGCTTTTCATGGAATGGCACTTCTGTGTTACATTGAAAGTTCCATAATAACCGCCATATGAACACATCTGCGGGTGTTTCTAAATTCAAAAATTCACCATTCCATGTTTAAATGTTGAGTTCTGTTTAAGCCGGTGCTAGGGGGCGTGGACGGTTGTTTGCACTTGACAGTTCTGTTCATGAACAGGCTCAATCAAACCGAGCTTGCAACATTTTCAATTTTGCCGTGTCAAGCTTTCTTTGGTATTCTTATTTTCTCTATTCCATTATAGTCAATGTGAGTTAGAATGTTAATTGATTAAAAGCGATTTGCTTAAACTTAGCAGACATAACAATATTACACTGTTTTATCGTGTACAACATGAATAAGGATTTTTAAAGGATATAGTTCTTTTTAATGGTAAGCAATCTTGTCATGGGGTACAACTTCCAGAAAACAAAATAGCCGTCATAATTTTCCCGATTCAACACATTTTCCAAAGCTCATTTAATAAGGTATAAGTTCATAACCTGACTTTTAGCATCAGAAAGTTTAGTTGTTTGTAACACTGAGTGAGTTCGTGTCTAAAACCTCTTTTCGTTTAATAGTAAATTGTAAGCATCCTGCTGGGGGAGGGGTAGAAGAGATGGACAGGGGAATATATATATCAAGATCGCACAAGCTCACAGAGCGCATGCGTGTGTGCGATGCGTTCATGTGTATTATTACCGAGTAAACATGTCTTGTCGAGGATGTAAAGCCATATGTCAAGTCTAGACGAAACGAAGTTTTAAGGAAGTTCCTATAACATAAAGGGAAATTCTTTATTACTTACGAAATAATTCGATTGTCCCTTGTGGAAAAATTCTTCTCAAAAAATTAAAAAATTACAAAAACATACTTTCATTTCACTGGGTAAGTCAGATAGTGTCATTTGTGTTGTCTCATGTTAATTTTGATCTTGCAACAACTTGTGCCCCATCAGTGCTTTCAGCGCTTTAATTTTGTTTCAGGTCCGGGTGTAAGTATACTATGCAACAGATTCTCCGCCCGGAAACTAATCTATTTTGGGTCTGCATTGTTTGTGATTGGTGTGCATATTTCTGCATATGCCAACACGCTTGAATATCTCTACTTCAGTTATGGTGTTCTTGCAGGTACGTAATTGTTTAGTTTTGAATTATTTCTTAAAGAAGCTTGCGATTTATAACCATTTAAGGTGGTGAACTCGTGATATTATGATATTATATCATATTATTTCATCAACACAATGATATATGTACACCAGCATTATAGAATTTTAAAGACGGGCAATAATACATTTTTAAATAGCCTGACTATATGTTTAGATATACTTTTCTTTTTCTGTAAACATTATATTTTACAGGACTTGGTCGTTCTTTTGTTCTGACTCCCCTCATCATACTGCTAGGAGAATATTTCGACAAACGTCGCAGCCTGGCATTTGGACTTGCGTCTGCAGGTTTTGGACTTGGAGGCTTTGCTATAACACCCGCCATAGAAGTGATGTTTCAGCAGTATGGGTTTAGGGGCACCTACATCTTGCTAAGTGGAATTGCTTGTCATTTCTTTGTGTTCACTTCCTTACTTCGACCATTGTCGAAATCAAGCGATATTTCAGAAAAGTAAGTTGTATTTGATATTATATTGTTTTATTATACCTCACGATCGTGTCACCGGTCAATATTTGTTTTACAATATTCCACAGGGGCGAGTAATCTATACAGACAGAAGAAAACGTAATGTTCTAGTTCTCTCCCTTGAAAAAAAATATATCTATAGTTTGGTATATTAATAAATCAAAGCACAGAAGGCGCTGAATTTGTTTTGGTCTCAGAATGTCAGAAAGGTGAAGGTTGTGCGATTATAAACCAATTTGTTTTTGTATAGTGCCACCAATGCTTTCCAGTGTTTTAACTGTAGTAAATTGGCTATAAGACTAATTGCAACACTGATATTCAATTCAATGTTTGATTTAAACAATTAAAAAAAAATGAGTTGCCTTAACTGGAATTTGAACTCCAGACCTCTCGATTCCTAAGCGAGCGTGCAAACCCCTCAGCCACGGTGAAATTATATGTTAACGGTCTGAAGAAAACAATATTATTCTAAATTAGGGTTTGTAACTCTTATTATTTCGACGCTAACACAGATATAAATAATCATGGAGCTTACTATAAGGATGTATATCTATAAAGAATTATACAATATTAAAAATCTTCGACCATTCGGGAACTATTTTGCTTGAAAATTAATGCGCCTGTCATTTGCACTTAAACTTGCGAGTATACTCCTTGCAGAGTGATGCAATCACTTGAGATGATGATGATGATGATGATTTGACAATCTTTACGCAGTGATCTCCCCTGAATTTTTCGGCGTTAGTGTACATATAAAGGGAATTAACCGCTTCAAAAAAGCGGACTACTCTCGGCATTAGCAATTAACAGCATCAGGGTCTAAAATTTCGCTACCATTATTTGTTTGTTTTGACGACCAAAACAAATAAAAAGTATCGCATGTCTCAAATATAAGCATCTCTCGAAATGAAATAACATAATGGTGTTATATTTTTACAATAGAATCCCATTCCTTTTACATTTAATGTGAATATACTTTTTGTTTCGTAACAATTAAACAATAGTTTATTTATCTACTGGCGGGGTAATGTAAATAGATATTAAAAGAATAACTACAACTGAATTTCATAGCTGTAAATGACATTTTGAATACACAAATCGGCAACTTAGATGTGATCAAAACTTCATTAAATATTCATATTTGATAGAAATATATACACTTTTATTTCAGTTTCTGAGGTCAAATTGTTTTTACTTTTAAGGAGTAATACCAAATGCGCTTTGATTTAAAAAAAACTATTCTCGTATTATCATTTTTTTCAGAACTAGATATAAAGAAGATAAAACTGTTGACATAAGGGACAGTAACGACATAGAAAATAAAGAAATGATACAATCATATGTTTCTTCCACCGGAAGTGTTCACCTGTGTAAAGCAGATGGAAATGCAAGCTCGGCGTTGATTCCCCAAGAAGTAAACAACCAGTCAGCATGTAACAAAGTAGAAAATGACTGTGAAACGAACGTTACACCGAAAACTAAAAAGAAACTTATCAATTTTTCAGTATTAAAAGACATCCGATTTGTAACATTGTGCATGGCGACTTTTATATTCACTCTACCGAGCAGTGGATTATTTCTCCCAGTCCTTGCCAAGTCACGTGGTGTAACCGATATACAAGCGGCTTATATGTTATCGATAATATCCGGAAGTGACATCATTTCAAGAGTTTTTTCCGGATTCGTCCTTGACCTTAAAAGTGTTCGAAACTTGAGACCATTTATTTATAATTTGATATCATTTATTCAATGCATTTCCTTGTTCTTATTTCCGTCACTGAAATCGTTCGAACATTTTTGTGCCGTCTGCGTGTTACACGGAGCTGTGATGGGTTGTAAAGCTGCCCAGAGGAGTGTCATCCTGGTTGATATTTTAGGTGTTGATAAACTTTCAAGTTCTAATGCGTTTCTCCTTGCTGTTCAAGGTATTGGTACATTGGTGGGTCCGCCAGTTTCCGGTGAGTTACATGTTTCATCAGACGAACAAGATCCTCTTTTTTCTTCTCTTTTACTATCATAATTTCTAAATGCTTAAATAACATATAGATTGACTAAAATAAATGTTAAAACAGCAATGTTTAGCAATTAGATTAAAGACAAAAGATAACATAAATGCCTATTTACGGATTAAAGCCGTCTGGTAAAAGGCTATCATACTTTATAATGCAACTGCAATTATACACAATTTAGATTTGGAAACAAGAGTAGATCTGCATAAACTAGAATTTGGAGTATAAATATATAATGTCATTCTATCATCACATGTTCTTCTTATACTTATCAGTTATCACACTGTCTAAAACATGAAATTTAAAAAAAAAAAGAATCATTGTTGTTGTTAGCTCTCCGAATTTGTTGATATTACTATGTTATACATGATGTTTTTCATTATACATGTACAAATTTCAATAGAAACTGTTGTGTCCCTTATATAAATTAATGTATTTCTATTTATAGGTTACCTCAAGGACACATACGGGAAATATGACTACACGTTTTATTTTGGCGGTTCCTGTGTTTTACTCGGTGCTTTTATTCTAGCTAGTGGAAATTTCAGAAATTATCTGAACAAGAAAAAGAAATAAAGAAAATAATAAAATTTTAATATTGCACGATACGCATGTGTTGTATCTAATTGTTTTATATGTGTTTTCTACCATAGCAGAAGTCATTGCCGCTCTTCTCCTCTTGTATATTATTATATATCACATAAAAATACTCGGGGTGTATAGGCTAAATTAACCAAAGATAGGGAAGCTATCCGGCATGCAGTCTATACACGTATAATAATATAAAAGCATAATTCAACCTGGTACATAAACTACTGCTGTCAATTTGTGAAATAGATCCGTTGTCCAGTAAAGCTTCGCTGGTTCGAACCCCCGCTCAACCACGAGCAATATTAATGATCTAACGGATAACACATTTAAAAAACATAGTCCCATGTCAAGGGCATGGGTCGTATCTGGAACGTGGCAACTATTGTACCTATGCACTTTCCCGAAAATAATAGCTCTTCAGGGGTGTCACAGATATAAGAAACTGAATAACCCGAAATACAAAGAAGTAGTAGTGTTTTTGTATTCCGCTATACAATCTGGCCATGTTGTTTAAGATATAAAAATCGCCTGTAAGCTCGGTAATAATAACTTACAACCGTTTTATACTGGCCAAAATAACATGCCCAAAAAATATCTATTAACTAGTATCTTACATGTAAAAATCATATCATATAAGAAAACTTAATAATCAAATTTTTTTTTGTAGAGGTCACTTTATGACAACTTTTTCCAGACCCTTTAAATGGTGGAGAACGACCTCAGGTGCCCTTCCGTGCATTATTTTAGACGAACAGGCACCTGAGTAGAACCACCAACATTCCGTAAGCTAGAGCTGGATAGCTTCATCACATGAAGAATCTGACGGGATCCGATCCAACAGTGGTGGGAGCAAGTGATTTGAAGCCAACAACCACTCGAGCTAACCATTCTAAACTAATGTAAGAATCAGTCCAATAAAGAAAATTTAGGCGGAAACAGTATTGAGAAATAAAATACAAGGTATAAATATACGGAATAAACATAAGCAAGGTAGTTTTATTATTAAAACATAACTGTCAAATGACATCATAGCACGTGGCAATCATGGTTTCTTTATACGAAATACAAATAACGAAACGCGGAATTTACTATTAAAGACGTATATTATGAAAGAATAGCGCTAATGTACAATTTTAAGCATTAACATCTGCAGAAGCCCTCGGACGTTTTAAATCCGTCGCCCTTCGGACTCGGGCTTTAAATACATCCTCGTGCTTCTAAAAATGTTAATGCACGGAAAAGGGTGCAATAATACTCTATTGAAAGATAACTTAAAATGCAAGTTTACTTTAAAAACTGCAAGATGTACAGTGACGTGTACGTTCAGTCAGGGTGACACAAAAAGTCTGTATGTATTCATTTGTTTTCTTTGTGGGCAAGCATATAATAACATGTCCAAGCAAGGCACACAAACTTTGTATTGAAACATTTATTTATGGTAACGCCTCAACAGACGGTAGGCTTTAGTTGTACAATACTAATTAAAGATATGATAATGTACAATTTTCAAAGCAATGCAACACTTGTATTCAGATCGTTATTCTATAAGGTTTCCCTCCAAAACTGGACTTTTCATACAATTGTTCTAAAGTTAAGTAAAAGACTTTTACTTAAACCTTGAATTGTTGATGTGTAATTAACTCTTTAGTGGTAATTTATTTCACAAAGAGAAACTATTGTAAGGGAAGGACTTATTGTTAAATATTTTAACTTTAAGAAGACCGTACATTTAACTATGATTATGTACAGAACTAGATGGAGTTAAATACCTATTCACGTAAAGAGGGACAGAATGATATTGATTGTCGAAAATAATTATCATCTAAAAACTAATAAATAATGTCCCATTCCCTTTCACATACAAGACATGCAGCTTAGAACTTCATGCGATTTTCACATCTAACAAAAATAGTATCTTATACAACGAAGTCAATTGTGTACCGATTGTTTTACAAACTTAAGCATATCAGAGTTACTGCCCCTATATAGTACATCGCCATTTGTACAGACGTAAACACGCAAGTTGTTATCAATACTTTCATAAAATAAGGATACAAGCATCTGTAAGTAGGATTATTTGATGATATTATTGACCAAACTTTATTAATGAAATGACATTAATAGGTATTAATGTCTTGTCCTTATAGAGTTCAAAATTTTCATTTAAAATTTTACATACGAGATATATATCTACCTTAGTCTTAGCCTGTTCAGAAAGGGCACAGACGTTACAAAAGAAACCTGGATTTTTTTGTATATGTAAAGTAGAAAAACTACCTTATTTCTTTTACTTTTTTGTGGTTGCTTGAAAGTAAAAACAGTAAGCAACAGTAGTCTGTGCTTCATGTAAATTTAGACGTAAGAGAGGAAAATGTTTCTCCGTGGTACATGTACACCGGTACACGTGCTTCAAATTGGATGATAACGTTTCCCTGATAACAATATGATAATATCAATAATAAATGTTATCTGCAGTACTAATCAAGATAACTCCAAATTTATGTTGACTTTGTAAAGTCAGGTTAGAACACTGAACTCTGCTTCACTTTTTTTGAAGGACTAAGTTTCCAATTAATTAAAGTCAAATACGAGTAGCTATTACAACAATTAATTCACTTGTGAATTATCTTCCTAATCAATAGCCATCCTGCAGCATTCTTGTTCATTCTTCTTGCATATCTCAGTGAGACAAAGAAAAAAAGTAACAAATAAACTCTGAACAAAACAGCTAAAATCGTGACTTGGATTGAGACCCCGACTCTTTTCGGAAAAGAGAAAGGACGCGTGTGCCAAACATTACTATTTAAAGCTATTTTTTTTATACTTTACATATCTTAAACTGTAGCGTTAATAAGGAAGTGATTTGAATAATGTGTTTTTCTTTACAGACCTATCCTTATCTCTTTGTTGGCTCTGTTAAATTTAATATTTCCGATCAGGAAGTTTTCCATTCATTAAATAACGTTTTTGTTCGTTGTTTAAGAAGAGTGATTGTTTTGTTTTGAATTGATTTACTTAAAGGCACATTATGGCCCAATATTTTTTTTTTTTAATTTTCTCAAAACTTTTTTTTCTTATGCCACATTACAGTAAAGTTTCTAAAAAGTTAATCACAGGAATCTTTGGCTTCTGTTGCTTTTTGGAGATAATTACAATTATAGTGAGTTAGTATTTTGTATGGAAGTCAATATACATGCATGTACTTCTTTGTTGACATTTTGTTACTTTTATAACAAGTAATTTTACATTTAGCACTACTTTTTCAGGTAACAACATCTAACATCTTAAACGGTTATTTTACAGTAACAAAATTCATGTTTGCCATTTCTAAGGCATAGTGTGCCTTTAAATACTTAATTTTGAACTGGATATTTGATAAGACACGTATTCAAGATAACAACATATTAACTAGGCCATGTTTACTAAGTTATATTTCATTCAACTCTACACGGGGCTTTATCTTTATCAAACTATGTATGTGTTCTCATTCACAAATTTTAAATGTGCAACACAACCCCGTAAACAAACAGTTTACAATCGGAACTTCTCGGCTATTAGTGATAATATCATTTTAACGACAGCAACAAGAAGATAAACTTTAAGTACAAAGAATGAGCTTCCACTGTTTAAATAAGAAACAAGACTTCCATCTGCGATTATATGATTTTAAACATACATAGAGCCCGTTAGTAGGTTCAGTACTGAATCAATTGAATGAGTTGAATCATCAAGTTCAATAAATTAAGTAATAAACCTGCACTTATCACATTACCCCACCCCACCACACACCCCCACCACCCCCCCCCCCCCCCCCCCGTAAAAATAGACTTTTTAAAGTGCAAAAGAATACAGCTTCTCACATTTGCGCGTCTTTACACTATGTTTGTGTATAACGCTAAAGAAAAAAAAATAAGCAAACAAATACAAGAATAAGAATTAAACCTATACCATTAAATCCAATGCTCTCATTTAACAATATTGGCAACAAATGAACAATATATTCATGGGAATTAATATATTTATTGTATCAACCTAATATTCTTAGAAAGACTGAGACTTTGAAATGCATTTTCATAGAGACCCAACACCTAAGAATATAGTTAAGTATTCAGAATAGGCACAAAACAGAGGTCTTTCAACTTCATTAAAACGTAGTTAATGATGTGAGACGTAAATTTACTTGCGTGTTGGAGCACGTAATTTCATAAAGTTACGTTTTGCATAGCGAGTCATTTCATAGCCAGTTAAAATGTCTCGTGCATTGTACGAGAGATAACATATTTAATTAGTGACAATGACAGCGCGTTTTTTGTTTTCATTTTTTTTCCTCCAAATAAGTCATACCTTTGAAATATGATTAGTAACGTCCTTCAAAATATTTACCATTGACCTCTACACACTTTTCTAGCCTAAGAATCCATTCCGAAAAAGCATTTTTGAACTATTGTTTGGATAAACTGTTTTTACACTGGTAGAGCGCTTCTAACGGCACTACGGGTTTCGAATCGGCGACCACGAAGGCAAGATTGGATGTATGGATTGAACCCAAAGTCACAAGGAGAGGTCAGGATTATTAGCGGGATGCAGCAAATTCTCATTTCTCTGCTCCTCTAAATATGCCAAGAACCAAGACTGACCGGTGTGCATTATCATGGGGTTATTTGATCCTGCGCACCCCAGGCCTTGGGTTCTTAGTAATGTAGTTATTAACTTCAGCACTGAAAACATGGTCACGGGAAAATGACCCAGTGACACTACCGCTCTCAGGAACAGCGACACAGGCCACTATTCCATCACTGTCAATCTAAATGCCATTTAAAATGTTTCAATGCCACAGTCAAACTTCGGACTTTAGTACGTATAGAATCTACGGAAGCCATACGATACCTCCTTCACGATTACGTTTTATTACAATATAGATGAAGTCGTTTAAAGGATATATAGTTTAAGGAAATAATGTAAGCTTTATAAACATAAAATAGTTTTTTTAAAGATTTTTTTTTCTTTTCATCTTATTATAATACACTATAATTATGATCCACAAAATAGTACGCCTTCAAATCAGATAATATATCTTTCTTATTTTATCATATCATAGGTTTTATTTTCTATAATAATAAAGTGGTGTTCGTCTTCTACGTCATGTGTGTAACAATATGTGCAAAACAGAACAGGACCTCAGTTATATAACTGTTAACTTTTTCATTATAAATTATTATAAATTTTATTGGTTGTGTTCAATACAACGAAAAATTAGGATATAAAATATTGAAAGTAAATGTTTATAACATGCAGACATGCTTTTCAAATATGTCCGTCCGTATCTATTGTTACAATATATACTGTTACGTTTTTGTGTATTTTCAGCAGTGTTGTATTAGGCATAAAGACATGAGAATAAGTATATTACAACGATGTATAAAACATGGTGTATTTCATCACAAGAAGAGGCTTATCAGTTATCATCTAAATCCTAGACAATTACGTAGGCATAGCACACAATCTAATGGTAAGTGCTGTGCTCGAGCCGTATAGCGGACATATTTTCATTCATATTCTCCTTAAACCTATCGCCACTATATCTTGACTTTGATAACTTTGATATACATGCTTTGAGTTTTCTAACAGGCATTTTCCACTCTATAACATGGACTTCTTAAAGGGACCCCGCTGAGGTTTAAAAGCCTAAAAACATAACATTAGAATTTCTTACATAAATGAACTGGGGCGCTTTAAACAGAAATGTATGCACAATTAGTTAAGAAATATACTTTAAAATAAATCGAAAATCGTAGTTTTATGCTTTTCTTAGCCTAATTTGAATGATAAGCGTTTAAACGCTTTTCATTTTGGGTCATTTCTTTACAATTTGAATAATAATTCTGGAAAAACGAAGTGCGCGAATGATCTGAAAGTTTGCACAAAGATTCGTATCAAATGGTACATTTATCTGGAAAAAAATATTTTCAGTCCCATCATGTCAAAAAACCTCAGTGGAGCCCCTTCACAACCTGAAAAGTCTTTTACTTCTCTGATATTATATTTTAGATGTTCTTATTCTGTCTGAGGAGGTCGAGTCGGCAGTGCATTCTGGGAAACCGTTGGTTGCCTTGGAAACAACAATAATCACTCATGGAATGCCGTACCCGGATAACCTTAGGCAAGTTGGTTACATGCTCGAAAATATAATGTATAACATATTATCTGAAAGTTAGTACTAGAAGATTATGTATTAATTAATATATGAAAATAAGTATTAGAAGACTTATTTCTTTGAACTATTTTTTTTTTGACATTATTTGTGGCGATTTATGATTTAAACAAATGTACAGTTGAATGTAATTTTTTTAAACTTTAAATCGTGGTCCCGTGTATGGGTGCTTAAACACTTAGCACGCTAAAGAACCAAGAGAGCCTTCTGGCATTGGGGCATCTTTCTGTATCTGTAATTGCACTATCCTCCAAAATTCTAAAATGACTAATACTCATCTGGAGGACTCGCCCATATGGGTAACCGGTGGCGAGTATAAATAAACGCAAATACAAACACAAATTTAACATGGTCATGCAGGTGTCACAACATTGGTCCGGAAAAATCCCGGTATTCGGTATGCCCGGGGTCGTATATCAATTTACGTCATTGAGCAAGTCTTAATCATATTTCAAACTAAAGTTAAAATCGATAAGTTGGTCATCACATATATGATATAATTAATAAATAATTTAAGTTTTTAAGGCCACAAATTAATACAAATATCAAAAGAAGGACAGTTATTCGTTTCCCTCTATGTTAATTTGATACGATCCCGGATGCCGTGAGTTCCGGATCACAGGTGTACTGGAAAGACACGGATGAAAGAATTCCGTAGTATAATAAAGGGGGCAGGGGACCTTAAAATGAAAAATTTTGTATTTCAGTGTGGCCAGAAACATAATTCCAAATATTTCAAAATCTTTTTCACAGGCAGATAACCAGTTGCACAGCATTATTCAAGGATATATGACATACATTGAAAAAAATGATAGTTTGCATGCATTGCTCCTAAAAAAAATGACTGACAGCTATTTATGTTTACCCCTACCACCAAAAAATCACACTTAAAACATACCAATATGGGCAATCTTCGTGCAGGTGCAGCATAGGCCTACTCCAGAATCAGTCCGATTCCTTTAAAAATATCACTAACACACAGTGCAATCTATGGCATTTTCAAAAATAACCAAGTGTCAGTCATACGTTTAGATTTTTCACAAAATTTATCCAAAATTTCTCACTTGTTTGGCGCCATTTGTCAAAGCTTGATTTTTAACTTTTTCACCTCCATTCGGAGAGTCACAAATACATACAAAGCTACCAAATTGCTTAGTTTCGGGTAAAAAAAAAAGAAAAAATACTGCTCATTTCCTACACACAAACAAAAAAGAATTGCAATGACAGAGAAATTTCAGAAGTTTCCAGTACCTTCAAAACACCATGTCAGGGTTATTAAAAAATTTGATCGGGACCATGATTCGGATATGTCCCCTGTCCCCTTAAAAGAAGGTATTTCCCGTTGGCGATAATGTTAAAATATGAACATTTTGGAGTGTTATTTCGATTTACTTCAACTATATAGTGTTTTTGAGGAGGGAATTTGAAACATTAGTAAAACGACAATTATCTGTTATCTTCTGCAGGCATGCTGCTTTAAAGATAAATGTTGTGAGTAGATTAATTAAAAACAAATGACATAAATAAGTTTCACTGTTTAATTTATTGATACATGTATAAATATGCCATGATGAAGATATGTCACAGTAATTTTAAAAATAAATGTCTAATAACCATTTTTGTGACCATATTCTGATTATAAATAGCTTTACTGTGTGTGTAATCGGTGGGAGGGGTGGGGGTGAATGATAAAACGCTAAAAAAGACATTGTTTTATTATATAGTACAGCTTTAGATGTAGAAGATATAGTGAGAAAGGGTGGGGCAGTTCCAGCTACAATAGGAATACTCGACGGCCGCATACATGTTGGTATGTACATACACAAATATTACAATAGAATCACTATTGTCTGATGGTTTTACAAGTTCGATACCAAGCCTACGAACCAGATGCTCATGTTGGATATTAATTATTCGCCAGTCTCTGACATAAACACATCATGGCATTTTAAAGTAAATCTTTAGAAGTTGAAAACAAAATCACGCAAAAATAAAATTTGGAATAAGCGAATGTACAAGTATGTTATATCACAAACTGTTGATCTCGTATTTACCAGAAAGTTGAGTTTGCGGTTATATTTACTGACAATAATGTTGCATATGTAATTTATAATTAATGTCTATATATCTAGGATTGAACAAAGAACAGCTAGAATTTCTCGCCGATCCAAAAACAGCATCCGTGAAAACCTCAAGACGAGATTTGCCGTTTGTACTTTCTCAGGTAATGTGATTATAATATTGATATTTATTTTGATAAATTCATTTGTTATCACCCCAACATTATTTTTGAATCGTAGATTGATTAAAGCAAATGACACTATCCTTGAACTTTTAAATATGCATAAAGTTCATAGACGGGTTCCTGTACGAAAGGTTGCCAGTATTGTCGGTCAACTTATTTCGATGTCAGTAGTTTTAGGTCACGTGACACAGATCATGACGAGGTATTTAAGTGCGGATGTACTTACCACGAGGCACTGGGATTCATATATTCTCTTTCTCCAGAGTCTGTCGGACAATTATTATTTTGGAAGTCCAATGTCAGTTTGATAAACAGCAGAAAAAGTATATTCTGATGCCAGCTGCACGGGTTATGCAGGGTATGAAGTGGAGTTTCCCACGGTAATTGGAATTGTAAAGAATCGGGTTATTCTTCCACTTGGAGAGACCTTGAAGCTGTGTATAGGGTTTTACAGTCCTTGGCTGAAATTTTAGCTCATGAAAGAGTAAAATGGTTTTAGGATATTCAAGCGGTTGCTACAATAGTGAAAAATGGTTCTATGAAAAAAGACTTACAGGATATATAAGATTTTTCATTTTTGTTTGTAAAATTCAATTTTTCTTGAGTTAGAATGGATCCCTCGTTCGAAGAATGATAAAGCTAATTATTTATCAAAAATTGTAGATTTTGACGATTGAGGACTTGCTTCTCAAACTTTCGATTTATTGCAACATGTTTTGGTCAATTTGAGATAGACTTGTTTGCTTCCGAAAATAATGCGAAAGAAGATTGTTTTTATTCCAAATATCGGAATCCGACTTCTGCAGCCGTAGACGCATTCACAGAGTTTTGGAGCAATGATGTCGGATATTTTGTCCCACCAATATCAATAAATCATAGAGTATTGTCAAAGATGAAATTTGATAAAGCAAAAGGTGTTATTGTCGTGCCTTGCTGGAAATCAGCTGTATTTTGGCCTATTCTCTGTCAAAACGGAAATTTATACCTAGCGTTAAGGATTGGATATATTTGCCTACAAATAAACATTTTTATACTCAGGAAAGGTATTTTCGGTAATACTAAGAGGATATTTTTTCGTTTTTCGTGAAATATGGTATATATTTTTACGAAACATGATAAAATGCCACATATTTTCACGAGCCGGGACGGCAAGTGAAAATATGTGGCATTTTATCATGTTGAGTGAAATATATACCATATTTCACGAAAAACGAAAAAATAACCTTTTTATTTAATTTCATTATCAAAGAAAAATTGTTAAAAACCCCCTTGCTTGCTGCAATTGTACAGCGCGCTGTAATATATTATTTACAGATGCGTGTTTTGCACGCGATATTTGGCGTCACGTAAAAATTCTTTAAACGTCTGTACAGCGTTAATTACTGAATTAAATATATTGGTGTTCGGAATTATTTTCTTTGTTAGACCATTTTCTATCATTCTAGATAGTTTTCACAACAAAATTCAACAGAAAGTTGTTTGGTATTTATCCAATTTATCCAACAAAATGGCGAAAGAAGTCCCTTGAAATAAATATGAGTTTTGACTCCGCCCACTTTCATATTTATATTTTATATTTATATTTCATATTTATTTTTTAAAAATATGAAATATATTTGACTGATATAGCACCATATTTCATGGGTAAAATTAAATAAAGATTTAAAATTCCGAGTGATAGCTATATTTATTGATTTTTCAAAGGGAGATTAATCGTATTACTTATATCAGTATTTTACTTTAGAGTTGTCCCCCTTATAGTAATAGTGAAAAGGCAGTATTGCCAGGAATAGACAGAATTGTCAGATACGATAAAATGAATTTATCAGTTACAAAACTGAATTGATTGATAAAATGTACAGTTAAATTGATTTTATAGTGATAATTTGTAAATTTACATTTCAAGCATACTTACTATATATAATTGTTTTCTTTTATTATACGTTTATTTTCACAGACGCTTAAAGTTGAAATAGATGCATTACCCGAAGTTTTGGCAGGAAAGGTGGACCTACTTCCGGCTCTATTACACAAGTCGAGGGCTGATAGCACAAGTCGGAAATATGAGAACATTTTTTCTCGTTGGGAGAAATGGGCGAAGTGTAATGGGTTAGGGAGTGGGGATATCCTTCTTGCTAAGGCTTTTTCTTTCGCAATTTATTTGGCAGTACTCACACCGTATTACCGGCGGCCAGTGATGGCAGATCACTGCAGTGATGGCAGAATATCTGAAAATTACCGATCGGTACAGGTAGGTTATAAATTTGGTTGGTTTAAATTATATTACACAAATACGGCCCATATCATTGCTTAAAACTATTGTCCATTGAATGGAGATACTGTAAGGTAATTTTGGACTCGTTTTTTCCTGTTTTAAGACTATTTTGAGCAGGTTAAAAGTGAAAGCCTTAGAAAAAATCCGTGAAAATGTCTGTTTTCTTATTTTCAAAATATCTCAAGTTTTTAAGTAAATGGCAGGATTTCCTGTTATCAATATAGACGTTCATCCATTGGGGTCACGCAAGCCAAATATCTACCCCGTGAGTCTTTTTTCTTGAAAGTTTTACAGACGCGCTCAATCTTGTCCGGTCGAAGAAAAAATGCTGCCGTTGTAGGGCAGATACATATTATAAATGCTTGCCGTTCGATGGCAGAAATACCACGAAAGTGGCTAACATTCTGACAGAAAATCAAGTTCAATTTTTATCAATTCCTTTTTTTCTTCTGCGTTCCTTTTTAGTCAGAATGGGACGTTTAAACTATCATTTCTAATATTTTCTCAAAGATAGAAAAGTTATTAATGCGGTGTGTGCATCGAAAAAAGATTTTTAGCAACATGCAGTTACAATACAAAAAGTGATGATTTAGTACGACAAAATTTCACTATAAATAGAGAAATGAACATGAAAAACTTCATTTTTCTATATTCATGCATGTGTGCTTGATCTGTTCATATGAAATGAAAGGTCAAAAAAGAGTTAAAGAATATAACAAATAAAAAAATTCTAGTTTTTTTCCTATAAACACAGGATTTATTTTCATCTTGTGATATGAATCATCGAAAGGTTCATCTTTATAAGTTGTCATTGTTACAACTAATATGAATGGAAAAATATATAGTAAAATGGGAGCACATGATGTTAGAACTGTTGTTAATAGTTTAGCATAGTAAATGTAAATTCAAAGGCACAACTACAACGCTATTACAAACATGAAAATTTAAAGAAATGAATCCCACGTTGTCGTGTTTTCAAGAACTTGATAATATAGGAAAATATTTGAACTGTCAATAAATATTATCTTTTCCATTTTACATAAACATACATTGTTTTATGATACACTTGATGCCAGTTGGCGAGGTTTAATAGTCTCCCCTTTTATTACATCAATTTAATAATTTATAATCTGCGCCGATTAAGTAAATTTTCAGCCTTTATTTGTCATAAAGCGATGAACATTATTACCTCGAGAAATAATGTCATATGCTAGCAAATGAATATCCACTTACAGAAGTTACTTGCTGTAATATGCAATTGGCGTTTATGTCTTTAAAAAGGGAGTGCGCTGCTAAACTTAAGATACATATAGTTTTTGTATGCATGTAACTGACTACACAACGGATCAAGCACACATGCATGAATATAGAAAAATGAAGTTTTTCATGTTCATTTCTCTATTTATAGTGAAATTTTGTCGTACTAAATCATAACTTTTTGTATTGTAACTGCATGTTGCTAAAAAGCTTTTTTTCGATGCACATACCGCATTAATGAAAAAAATCAAAAAATCTACAAAACAGCAATTTTTCTTCAAAATTATATGTGAGGCCATGTTTTAACATGGAAAAACGCGTTTTTGGGTAATTTCGTTTTTTTTTTCCATCATTTTCTGTTAACCCATTTCCAGATATATTACGCCTTTCTACGCCTTTTTTCACCCCCCCCCTCCTTTTTTTGCTTTCTCAAATGGTGAAAAAAATGCCTTATTTAGGCCCCCAAACACTTGTTCTTGTTTGATAAATGTTGTTTAAAAAATTGACCACTTTTTTCGGCGCCCCCCACCCCCATCCAAAAGATACATCAGGGGTTGCCAGAAGGGGGATGTGCCCCCTTCTGTTTGGGGGTTTTTGAAGGGGGGCTGAGTCCCCTCATCGCCAAGAAAATTTGGACTTTGTGGGAGGCTAAAAATGGCCCCAGGTCGATCATAAGGTAACGTGTAACCAATGCTGAAAAGCCTTTGACTCTATCTCAATCCATTGAGAAGTGGCAGCACTTTTGAAATTCAATTTTGATGGAAAAAAAATCAAACGCAAAATAGTGATTTTTGGCAATTTTGAGATGTCCCCTAGTTGCTATGGTAACAGGAAATTTCAGACTGAACATGTGTTACAAAGGCAATGGTGTCCAGTCAACATTTGTGCCAAGTTTGATTAGTATTGAAGCAGTTTTTATAGTTTTATAGCAACTTGAACTTGTAACGGGAGACCTTTCAATGAAAACAGCCATTTTTCACAAGATGCTCATGGGGTAATGGGTTATTAACTTTTCTATCTTGAGAAAATATTAGAAATGATAGTTTAACGTCTCAATTCTGACTAAAAGGACGCAAAGAAAAGAGGAATTGATAAAAGATTGAACTTGATATTCTGTCAGAATGTTGCCACTTTCATGGTATTTCTGCCATCGACGGCAGCATTTATAATATGTATCTGCCTACAACGGCAGCATTTTTTCTTCGACCGGACAAGATTGAGCGTCTGTAAAACTTTCAAGAAAAGACTCACGGGGTAGATATTTGGCTTGCGTGACCCCAATGGATGAACGTCTATATTGATAACAGGAAATCCTGCCATTTACTTAAAACTTGAGATATTTTGAACAGAAAACAGACATTTTCACGGATTTTTCTAAGGCTTTCACTTTTAACCTGCTCAAAATAGTCTTAAAACAGGAAAAAACGAGTCCAAAATTACCTTACAGTATCTCCATTCAATGGACAATAGTTTTATAGCAATGAAATGAGCCGTATTTGTGTAATATAATTAAACCAACCTATAACCTACCTGTGTCGATCGGTAATTTTCAGATATCTGCCATCACTGCAGTGATCTGCCATCACTGCCGCCGGTAATACGGTGTGGTACTGCTCACACTCTTTAAGGTCAGGTGGTGCTACTGTCGCTGCTAATAAAGGAGTAAAAGACAGGTTATTTAAACGGCATGGTCGCTTGCTTAACGACAGTGCAAAAGATGGATATGTAAAAGACGATTTAAATGAGCGTTTATCTGTATCTTTATCTTTGGGATTGTGAATTTTGAAAAAAACAGTAAATCTCAGTAACTGTTGATATGATGCAATATCTGTGTTATATTTGTATACATGTATAATGATTGATATTGTTCATTGAAATAGTTTTCGTTCATATTCTATCATTCTGTTGTTTGTTTGAATTTTTATTATTATTATTTTAATAATAATATTATAGTCACATTTTCCCGTTTTTTAAATTTCATCGGTTACCCAAATGCTTCGGTTACATATTACTATTTGAAATTGAAAGTTAGACTTAGTTGTGTTTTTATTTGTTTAATGTGACGTAGTAGGTTGAGGGAAACACTATTTTATATGATGTAAATTATACGATGGGCATATTTTGAATAGTGGCAACAACTGTGTTTATTCATGATTTGCACGTGAAAGTACATGTATAATATACCATTGGAACAATTATTGATTTTTTTCTAACCAACCGATTTGCACGTGCAATTTAATTTAAGAAGGTAATTTAAATACATGTGGTTTTGTATGCTGGTTGTAAACATGGCTGAGTTGAATTGTGATTTGAGAGAGGAACAAAGAGCTTATTGAAAAATTCGTGGGTTATAGGGTAATGCGCGTAAGAAATAAACACGGAGCTAGATTTAGTTTAACTTTTGGTTAAATCCATACATCAGATCTTGCCTTTCGCGGTCGCTGGTTCGAAACCCGTAGTGCCGTCGGAAGCGCTCTCTACCACTGTATAATAATTTTACCCAAATAACAGTTCAAAATCAAAAATGCTTTTTCAAAATGGATTTTGAGGCTGGAAAAGTGTGTAGAGGTCCATGGTGAATATTTTGATAACGGTAATGATCATTTTTCACAGATATGACTTGTTTGTAAAAACGCCCTACCATTGTGTGCCCCTCGTATAATCATTCCTCTTGAATATTTATCGTCTGCTATTTTTGCAGGAATTAAATGGCGGGACAACAGTTTCGGGGACGATGGTTGTGGCGAATATGGCCGGAATACCAATATTTGTTACTGGAGGTATTGGCGGGGTACATCGAGGGGCGGAGTCAAGTGAGTGCTAATAATGACTTGTTATATAATAATAATAATAATAATAATAATAATAATAATAATAATAATAATCATTATCATTATCATAATAATAATGATAATAATAATAATAATGTTTTACAGATAGTAAGGAGCAGTGTAAAAGCAAAGTGTAAAATAGATGTATATTTCTGTATTTCATTGGATACATTTCTCTCGGCAATATAGAGTTAAACCGGGTACAGTACCATATCGAGTGAATTTTCCTAACTACTAAATATGGAGTAATACCGGGAAAAAATGACAAAACTATATCATCAGTTTTACAGCTTTGTCAGTTTGGATGACATCTGAATGTCAAAATCCTAGTTTCTTAAATATTTCATATTTTGTACTAGATACTTCTATTGTTAGTCCATCTCTGGTGTTTGTACAGGTATGGACATCAGCGCTGACCTAACAGAGTTGGCAAGGACACCAGTAACTGTTATATCTGCCGGGATCAAGTCTATACTAGATATTGGACGAACCCTAGAGTACTTAGTAAGTTGTAATAAGTACATAAACTTCTTTTCAATAGGTTTAGATGGTTTTAAATTTGCTTTTCTGCCGAAAAAATACATCTTTTGAAATTGATGAACAAAGCTGATAAATAGTTGTACCAAAATGAGCTATTGGGATATTTGAACGTCATTTTAGATAAAGATATATGTGTATATCTGTATTCATCATCTCATGTTTTGAAATCATAAATAAATGCTTATTTTATCTCAGGAAACTGAGGGGGTTTGTGTTTCTGCCTTCGGTACATCACGTGACTTTCCAGCATTCTTCACTAGGACCAGCGGATATACAGCCCCATATAACTGCAAGACAGCTCATGAAGCAGCCGAAATGATTTGTAAGTTATTACTTCAACTATAGTGTAAAAGTAATAAAGCAGATATTGTGCGTCCGCGTAACCAATTATGTACTATTGTCCGTTCCCGTAACCAATTATTTAATATTGTCCGTACGCGTCACCAATTATTTACATTAATAGATCTTATGAAAAATTAGTAGTACTACTAGAAGCAGGAAGGCGTGAGGGAATCTGAAGTACTAACCACGCGCCCGCTACATGTAAATTGTCGTCACATTGTTCATATATACTTTTATAATTTTTATCATCATTTACTAAAACATGTTTATGATTTCTTAATTTTTACAAACATTTTATCCTCATTCGTTTTGTTTCAGACGCTAGAGAACGAATAGAGTTACAGACTGGTACTCTAATTGCTGTACCGATACCGGAAGTGTATGATGTCCTGGGACAAGAAATAGAAACTGTGATACAGTCTGTTATTAAAGAAGCGGTGTATGTTTTTTTCATTCCATAGATAACAAACTAGATTTTCAACATTCATACAAAGCCTCAGGAAGCTAAATATCTCACACTAACTTGTATGAGAAAAAAATGTTTGAACTTTCTATAAGTAAATGATACAGAGCAAATTTCTAAAACCGTAGGTTAACGTTAATAGGATTTTCTCCCTTTCCTTTTTGCTGATGTTTTTTTTTCCTTTTGCACATGTCCGTATTTCTTATTATTTCAGAACAAAGAATATTCAGGGAAAAGAGATAACGCCATTCATTTTACAACGAGTAAATGAACTAACACATGGACAGTCATTAAAAGCTAGTATCCTTTTTAAATATCTTGATTCTCCTGACCTATGTTCTGTCTAGAATTTTGATTGTTGGAGATTCAATAAAAGTGGTTAGATGTTGAATGAGTAACACAAGACTTATGCTAATATACTTAGTCTTAAGATTTTAGATGTATAAATGACACTTTTTTAAAAGACGTTTATAACTTTATATTATTAAACTTTACTATAAGAAAATAATAATCTGACAAAATGAAATGAAGAAAAAAAAACAAAAAATTAAAGAAAAAAAATGCATCTACTGGGGTTTGAACCCATGCCCTATCGAAACTCAGTCTCTTCAGAAAGGAGATACTGCATTATATTAGCAAAAAGCAAGGTAAAACAGAAAAAGGCAACTCTAATGCATAATAATTATTTGTGTTTGAATTTGCAAGACCTTACATTGAATCCACTTATCTACTTGATTTATCTTAATTGTCAAATTAAAATCAATGTACATGTTTTATACATTGGTGTATACATGCAGACAATTTCTGCACATGCGGTCATAAAAGTTATGAAAATACAAATGACTTGAAATTAAGATAGATGTGAGATGATATTGACAGTATGGTGACTCTGAAGTGAAAGCTTCCCCCCCCCCCCCCGGCCGATAGATAAATAGATGGAATAGCAGCCCAATGACTATGTATAAAACAGTTTAGTCGGTGCACTACCGAATGCATAAGAACATACAGAATTTATTTACACTTTGAATATTTGATTTACGTCTATTCCACATTTCGTCTTCGATAAAATTGACGTCACTATTAGGAAGATGACGTCACTCTAGCTGTAAGATGAATCACTTCAACGATCATCCTATGTTATATAAATTCTTAACAAATATCACAGATATTGAACTGATAAAAAACAATGCTGCAGTTGGCACTGAGATATCTGTAGAACTGAATAAACTCCAACATACAGACAGACAAACAACAACAACAAAGTCTTCATCTAAACAAACCGTACAAGTGGAAAGAGGGCAAAGATTTATACCACCGAAAAATAAACAAGTTGTAAGTTTTTTGTGCGTTGGTCTTCTTACTTAGAATATTCAACTTAAGGCATAGGGCTCGATTTAGTCTCATATTTTTAAGTGGGCGCAAAAATAAAATGTAAGAAATATTCCTAAATTTTATAACTGCATTGTTATCTATGAGAATCATTTTTAGCTCGCCTTTTTCGAAGAAAAAATTAAGCTATTGTGATGGCTGCAGCGTCATGGTCGTGGAAAAAACCTTAATTATTCAAAAAAATAAGTTATCGATATAAAACATGGAATGCTTGCATATCTTGTAAGACAAAGGGGCTTAATTCTGAAAGCTATACTTTTGGAGTTATGCCCCTTTCTACTTAGATTTATTTGTGAAAAGTGATTATTTGAACAGACAAGCGATGTTTTAACTTTACATTTCTATCTAAAGTAGTTATCTTAACAGGAGAGCATTAACACCGCATGCGGTTCTCTTGCACGTAATTACATGTATTTAGAAAAAAATGTGTTGTGTTCAATTGTTTTTAATTTCTCTTTGTTTCTCGATCTTTTTCGTCATGCATAATTTTCCAGTAAAAAAGAATCATGCAATTTATATTCCTGTTCTAGTGTGTAGTGGGCGGATCTATTGTGGACTTTACAGCAAGAATGTCATCTGCAGATTTCAAAGTAAATGAATTTCTTATAGATTTACATGTGTATATATCGTAGTTTAAACTAATTTTAAGGTTGCTTGACGTGCCATTTTCTTATTTGGCAGGTACTGGAAAACGACCGTAATATTCAAACTCTTAATAATTAGCCGGCATTATACTTCTTATGATAATGGAATTAATTGTTCTTTTGGCATCACATAGCGCAGCCAAGAAATGTGTTGAAAATTTTGGCAAATAGAAAGCCATGATTTAAAAAGCAATGTAAATAAATGCTCTGTAATTATCTAGCTTTAATTGTGTTTTAATTGTGCTATGACGAAATTCAATACTTTTTGGCCAGTCACATTATTAAAATGTGTATAATATTCATGTATTTAAAACTTTCTTTGTGTGTAAATTGTTTTTATTAAAATCGCACGAGTTTTTTTTTGTACCATTTTTCAGATGAATGGCGGAACATATCCTGGTCACGTGACACAGTCATTCGGTGGCGTGGGTCGTAATATAGCTGATGGTTTAACAAGACTTGGTGTTGATACCTTGTTTATCTCTGCTATAGGAAATGATTCTCACAGAACAGCGTATGAAGCACACTGTAGTCACATGGTTAGTTAAATTTGAACATTGTAGCTAAAATTGCACCATGTAGACACATGGTTAGTTAAATTTGAACATTGTAGTTAAAATTGCACCATGTAGCCACATGGTTAGTTAAATTTGAACATTGTAGTTAAAATTGCACCATGTAGACACATGGTTAGTTAAATTTGAACAATGTAGTCACATGGTTAGTTATATATGAACACTGTTGTCACATGGTTAGTTAAATTTGAACACTGAAGATACATGGCTAGTTAAATTTGAACATTGTAGGCACATGGTTAGTTAAATTTGTAACACTGTAGTGACATGTTTAGTTAAATTTGTAACACTGTAGTGACATGGTTAGTTAAAATTTGAACACTGTAGTCACATGGTTAGTTAAATTTGTAACACTGTAGTGACATGGTTAGTTAAAATTTGTAACACTGTATTGACATGGTTAGTTTAATTTGAACACTGTAGTCACATGGTTAGTTAAATTTGAACATTGTAGTCACATGGTTAGTTAAATTTGATAACTTTAGTCATATGGTTAGTTAAATTTGAACACTGTAGTGACATGGTTAGTTAAATTTGTAACACTGTATTGACATGGTTAGTTTAATTTGAACATTGTAGTGACATGGTTAGTTAAATTTGATAACTTTAGTCACATGGTTAGTTAAATTTGAACACTGTAGTCACATGGTTAGTTAAATTTGAACATTGTAGTCACATGGTTAGTTAAATTTGAACACTGTAGTCACATGGTTAGTTAAATTTGAACACTGTAGTCACATGGTTAGTTAAATTTGCGCGCTGTAGTCACATGGTTATTTAAATTTGAACACTGTAGTCACATGGTTAGTTAAATTTGAACACTGTAGCCACATGGTTTGTTAAACGAGCATACAATACTGATAATGTCAGCTTATTACAGGAGGTGATAATACAGTATGTTTATACCTTATCATTGCTTACCAGCTCTGCTGTTCCACTTTAAGTTAAAAGTCTGAATTTTATTATTAAAAGTATAATTTTTATTATCATATTTTGCATAACAAATGGCTATGGCAAAAGGCAAAGATAATTATCATAATTTCTGCCTCACTCATAGTGAAAAACATTTTCAAGAAACAGATGATCATAAATATAAATAATTTTCTATTTAAGTATTCTCCTCTTTTAGTATATAAACATATATTCTGTATATTGTGTGTATTTTAATGTATATGTACTTTTGACAGCTATTATACCTACAATGTATTTATATTATATACAATGTTTAACACAGAACCTTGATGCGGTGACTAGGCTACCTAATCAGAGTACAGCCACATATTGTGCTATGTTAAAAGAAAATGGTGAACTTATGTTTGGTATTGGAGATATGGACATACACGCAGAGATTACACCACAATATGTATGTAGTGGTGCTTATATTTTTATTTATCTTAACCATGTTTTTCACTATTTCTATGTCACTTATAAAATTGAGCAAATATTGGTTTATACAGAATTTATTTTAGTTCGATTGTGTAGGAAGCTATAAACTTATAGACAAACTTTAGAATCCGTTCTTGGAACCAACCAGTACTGAGCAATTAGTGTAAAGTTTCTTGCTCAAGGAAACAACGACTTGCCCCTGACGGGGCATCTATTAAAGGCCCATTATGCCTCAGAAATGCTATCATATTTATTTTATTTCTCAAAAAGTTGCTATATTTTGTACCTTGTTGCAGTTTCCAAAAAAAATACTCATTTGCCATTGACATGAACTATCTTTGCTTCTATTAGAGATTTACAGCTTGTACGGAAAACGATAGCCGGAGACGAACAACGGTTATAATATTCGGGGGTTATCTCAAAATATTTATCATTCAATTAAATACAGTAAGTGCTATAACCTTTTTATGGCAAGGAAGATAAGTACAAAATTAATATATACAATTGTTTATATATTCATACATTAGAAATTGGCCTGTAACGTTTAATCTCTGCTATAGCGTGTTCAAGACATACACAGTATTTTACTATTCTGTTAATTTTTAGGCACTTTCTCCTTTTAGGCCCCTATTTACGGCGTATTTGAGCTGACGTGTATGGTGTCATAATATGTGCATAAGTCGGATAAATTTTATCGACAAGTTCAACGCACTCTTGTGAAAATGGTAAATAAGTGCCGATCTCAGGTAACAGTAATACTGCTGGGCATCGTTATAGTGACCAGGATACCAACTTCGTATTTATCTTTTATTCGATGTCCCGAAAAGAACTGTTTTTGTGTTTCATTCATGCATAGGGCTACTGATTCCATAAGAAGTTCCATCAATTGCTATCACGGCTATTGGACCGCCTCCGTGGTCGAGGGGTTAGAGTCGATGACTTCTAATCCAGTTACCTCTCTGGCGTGGGTTCGATCCCCGGGAGATGCTTTGGTAGTTTAGCGCGGAGGAAGGTAGTCTAGTACTGGTGTAACTCTCCAGGAACGATGGTTAGGAAACTACCCGCCTATATGACTGAAATACTGTTGAAAAGGGCGTAAAATGAAACAAACAAACAAACAATCACGGCTATTGAAATACTGTTCCAGATGCCTCTCATGGATAACCACTCATGAACCTGTGGCAAAACGACAACTATTTTTGACGTAGCATTGTTGCACTTTCACTGAAATGTTGAACAATGACGAAAGCAATCAAAGCATCATAAACTTCTGGTATGTTCGAAACCACATAAGCATTAAAGAAGTCTGTTTCTTGCAAAAGATTTAAGAGGCTTGTATGATGAAATACGAATAGATTCTAACAGATCTAAAAAATGTCTCAGGAGTTTCACAGGTCACTTGAAAGAGATAAAAGAAAACACATTTCTGCCACTTAAAATGTCTTGCCCTTTCCTATTTTTGTTTTGGGTCCTTCTGGGCTCCTTGTCACTAACCCTTGATACTGGGCCGGGTGGGGGCTGCGTTCATTGAACGCCGCCTTTCCTTGTTGATCTTGTTTATCATATTTTAAACGATTCCAAAAAATATATTACTTATTTTAAGTATCGGGTTAGGTGGTGCTCGAATGAGTTCTAAAATCATGCAAATAAGTCCAAAGAAATTGGTGATGTCGGAGGAGCCTTAACCAAAGCCGGTAAAATGTTACTTATTGCTTTGATTGGTTCGTTGTCCATTGTTACCTAAAATAAGACACATGCATGCCTGGAATTTTTTTTATATTCATTTTGATGTGACATGAAAAATTGTGTTGAAATAAGTTCAGCCATACTTCATAAAGTACTATAATTATCTTTTTGTACCGTCTTATTGCACAATTTGTTGTTCATATAAAGGGTAATTTCCCACATGGAGTTCGCATGGGCAATGTAACACTAATGGTTGTCGATAATATTATATCAAATGTAAATTGGAAGGTGAAAAAAAGACACAACAAAACTTTAAATCTGTAATTTTCACACTATAATTCTGCTTCTCTAATCGGTTAACCCTTTTGCCTTTTGTTACCTTGTTACATACAAATATGCGCATTAAACGTCTTTTAATATCATGCGTTTAGTTTCGGTCATCCTGTACAGGAGTTGCATTAGATGCTATTTCCCACCATCATCAGAATGCCGGGATCGACACGAGAGAACAGGAGGCCAGTCAAGTAGTAGGTCAGTCACATCAGGATAATAAACCAGGAACAGCTGATTTAAGGGAAAACATTGCTAATGGACTTTCACCCCTACGTACACAGAAACAGAGAAGAAAAACGAGGCTGCTTGCTGACATTATTTGGGAAAATCAATTATTTTACAACGATTTTATTAAACACAAAGTTCCAATATTGCTTCACCAGCTTGATGTCGAGAAATCTTCTGATGGATCAAATTAGATATTCAGAAAACACATATGAACGGCATTTTGTAATAGAAATAAATGCAATTATTATATTATGCTTGACCTTCTGTTTTCTTAAAAAAGAAATCATTTTGAAACGCCCCCTTAAAAAATTAGCCGTCTCCGTCTTCGTCTATTGGTATCGGCTCAAGCTAAAAATCTCTAATATGTTCTAGTTTTAATGTTCTAGGTCTCTCCCCGCGTAAACGTTTTACTATATTAGTTGGTTCGGTATTGTATTAAAAAAATATGTATAGCTTTTTAAGAATTTATGAATATTTATAAATGGACATATTTACCGTTATTTGTTACAGATATCACAATTTGAAGATAAAATAAAGACATCATCTTTAGTTTGTATTGATGGAAATATATCTGTAGATTCCATAGAGTATGTGTGTTTATTGTGTGCTCGAAATAGTATACCAGGTAAGAACATAGGGTTCTTGTTATTCAAGTAAAATCTTTTAATATTAGCACTACTGGCAAGCCATTTTTAAAGGCACATTATGTTTAAGAAACGAGTTTTTTCCCTTCTTCGGAAAAGGCATACATCAGTTTTATAACATACAACACATGGTTTTAGAGCTTTTTATGTGCTTTTCAATTATACACTAGGTCCAAATGTAAAATCATTTGTTAAAAAAGTTCCAAAATGTTAACAAAGTAGTATTTTGACTTCCGTACAAAAATACTTAATCACTATAAATAATTGCAAAATTTTCGAAGACACTGGCGTTGTTATCATTTGCTTATATACGTTTTTTACTTGACATTTAAAATAGGAAAAACTAACAAATATGATGATTTCATTTTCAGTGCTGTTTGAACCAACTGATATTAACAAAGCAACCAAGCCATTTTTGAAATTACACGACCGTCCTATCACTTACGCATCTCCGAATTTCAATGAATTAAAAATGATGGCCTCTTATTTTTTGTCACGTGACTTGGATGTGACAGGTATTTATCTGCCATTGTTTATTTCAAGTTAATTTTTTTAACTGGGGCTGTGAATCGGGCGGCCCGGGTTCGATTCCCGAAAGGCGCAGGTCCCTTTCGTTGTGATTGATCATGCAATTTTTTCTACGGTCATTCGCACCGTACCTCTGCTCTGGCATGTACAGACGTTACAGTTCCTTGCGAAAGTGAAGGCAACTAGTACTGGTAAACTGCTTAGCAGTCTGTCCAGGAGCGATGCGGTGGGTGAACTATACTCTGATAAATTCAATGTGGCCTTACTGTCATGATCCGGAGTGAAAACTTCCACCACCAACAACAACAAGATAACTGATAATAAAGACACGACTACACATTTTTTGTTGTAGAAGTTTTATACTATCTGATAGCCGTGAGTTATCAAAATATTAAAGGAACTCCACCGAGGTCAGAAAGCCTTAAACATAAAATTCGGATTTCTTCCATAGGGTCACTTAAAACAGAAAGATATACAATTACAAATAATACTCCGAATTAAGTTGATAATCGTATGTTATGCCATTTTTAGCCAAATTTGAATGAAAGCGTTGTAACGCTTCTCAATTTTGGGTCATTTTTCACAATTAAAATAATTATTCTAGGAAAAAAAAAACGAGTGAGCGAATTACCTGACAAGTTTGGTACAGAGTCTACAGACCTGCATTAAATGAAACATCTCGAAAAATTATTTCTAGTCCCTCATTTTAAATAACCTCACTGGAGTCCCTTTAAGATACCGATTGTTGGAGGATACCAAATGGTTGTAGGGTCATTATATCTAGATTATTCCTGTTTATATTATCGGGTGGTGGTAAGAAACGTTGGGTATGTCACTAATTGTGGTAGGATACCATTTGTGTTACGAGACCACTTGTCTTAACCCATTACTCGATATATACGCCTTTTAACGCCTTTTTCACCCCCCCCCCAGCACTTTGAAGTCAAATATTGATGGGGAAAAAAAAACAACACAAAATAGTGATTATTGGCAATTTTGAGATGTCACCTCGTTGCCATAGTAACAGGAAATTTAAACCTGAGCATGTTGTTGCAAAGGCAATGGTCCAGTCAACATTTGTGCCAAGTTTGAATAGTATTGAAGCAGTTTTTATAGTTTTATAGCAATTTGAACTTGTAACGGGAGACTTTTCAATGAAAACAGCCATTTTTAACAAAATGCTCATGAAGAAATGGGTTAAGCGAGTGTGGATCGTTTACTGTAAATTATAATGCGTGATACAGACAGAAACGTGCAAGGAAACGTTCTATATATATGTATGAACATCATTTGTAGTATGATAATTTTAAAAGAAAGATAAATTATGCGACCGGGACATTTAATATAATATTTATACCTTGGAAAGGCTTTGAATAGTGCACGTTGTAATTGTGACCCGCGGCCTTTGCAACCCTGTAAAATAGCGCAGTCAGGGCTTCGCCTCTGACAAGGGTCATGCCAAGCTGCATTAGGTTCATGATAAATGGCAACGGTGAGATTTAATACGTGTATATACATGTAATCAGTATGCTCTAATGAAAGTATATATCTATTTCGTTAAAGGTTAGTTTAATGACTTTTAATCTGAATTACAGCAAATACACAGTGGGACAACATTACTCCCCACTGTTTCCTTTTACGGGGACCCGCCTGTTGGAACGCTCGGGGAAAAATGGCGTAAATTTTTTTTCGTCATTTGGGGCACGCCCCGATAAATTTTTCCCGGTTTAAAAAGGGGGGTTTTCAAAACAGGTTTTAAATTTTTATGTTTTGTTTCATTTATTTTTTTTTTAAAAAATAAATCACAAAAATTTTAAAAAGTTTACAAAATTTTTCAAGTTTTAAAACAAGTGTACATACAAAAGGGTTGCGCTAAAAGTTCTGACATGACCGTAGGCGCTTGAACCCTGAAAAATAATTGTCTTTACATATATATAACTATTCAAATCACGTTTTTAAAATATTTGTAATTATGTAGTTAAATTTTCATGTTTTAATTTAACATAAACGATCTAACTTTGCAAGTAAATATTAAGCATCAATTTTACATTTGTGCGGCAATATTCGAACTAAATATAATAATTCTCTTTCTTAGACAGAGATTGAATAATTAAGTTTAGAAATTAAATGTGTACTATAGGAGACAAAAAAAATATTTAAAAAAAGAGAGCGAAGATGAAAATGTGTGTTATGCAAATGTACATGTTTAAGATATTACAACAAATAATTTGAAAACTTACACATTTAAATAATCAGTATTTTATATGTCTTATGGTTAATAGAATTATCTATCAGATATCAGTGTTTAGTACATCATGTATAATTTACATTACAGGTCCAGGGTGACGTCATAATGGACCATTATCCTGCTACTTCCGGTGACCAGCAACACACTGATATTGTCAGCGTTTCCGGCGCTGGCGACTGGTAAGCATAATAAGTCATACTGTAATTTGTTATTACCCACTTTCAGTCTTTATATACTTACAACAGTTAGTGTTCATTGTTGAATGTTATGTAAGCGTTGTGCACTTCCTTTTAGTACAACAATACATTTTTAGGTTTTTCGTGATTGTCGGTCCATCACTGTTCTGTAAATTCTAATATCAATATTTCTAAGGGGGGTCCTAAATTAAGGTATAATTTCCTTGGTTTTGGTGGACATGCAAAACGTGTGCTGTATTTTACTAAAAAATCCTATATTGTTTTTAACTTTCAGTTTAGTTGCAGCATTTGTAGCGAAGTTACTGGACGGTGAGGATATGGACTATTGTATAAGAGCTGGTCTACTCGCTGGTCAGGTGTCCCTTAAATCAAGTCAGGCGGTACCCTCTACACTAACACCGGACGTTATGTCGAGGGAAATGATCAATCAACAAATGAATGTTAGACCTCGGAGTTTGACCTTTTGTTAAAATAAATAAATAAACATATTCAAAATATCTTAATTAATCAGAGAAAAAAATGGTGTGTACATTGCAAATGTCAGCAGTGTGTTGATGATTAAAGAATGAAATATATTGTTTGTCTTGGTGTTTTAAAAACACAATGTTCAAATTAGAGATCAATTGTAAAGTTGCCAGTATTTTGCATCATTCTTTAAAACGCCCTATTTTTTATACACAGGCTTTAATAACACAGAACAAAGTTGTCAGTTATTGATATTATCGAAGATGGTCGCGCTCGACTTTTTTTCAAATATCAAAAATACTGACTAATACTAATATATTTATAGAATTTCTCATTGTATGTTGGTTCAAATTTCGTAACACTTGCTGCAAACTGGTGGTCAGTGTTTATTATACATGTACAACAAATGTCTCTGACAAAGTCTTTCACAATTATAAATTTTACTTTTATTCAAAAAACTTTCTTTGACTTGATTTCCGTCCTTTATTGTAATTATATTCCTCTTAATTTACGTTTCGGGCAACATGTATTTCTAAAACTTAAAACGGTATGCGAGTCCGTATTTTGTTTTAAGTCACGCGACTATAATGTCATTTTGGGTAACCATAGTTAAGTTATGTATACATATATAGTTGTTTTCGAATTATATATTGTTCAAGTAAATTTTCATACACACTGTTCTTCAAACATAAAATTATAATCAGAAATGATCGAAAGTTTCTATTGAAATTGTCCGACTTTGTTACAATGCTAAGTTCATATGAATTGCCATATGACTGTTTAATGTATCTTGTCTACCAAACCGTTTATTACATACAGTACACAGGAACGGTTTCTCTCCAGTATGTATCTTCACGTGTCTCCTTAACGACCAATTGTCCTTGAAACTTTTATAACACACATCACATTTCTGTGTAGATTTTGGAACTTCCACTGAAATATAAATGTATATAACGATTACTTATTAAATATATGTAATTCTGTCCTTTATATAGAAGTGCATAATCATATATAAATTCGTGTTAATTACGTGTCAATGTTAGTTACTAATTAAATGAAATTAAATGATTAATTCTTTCTTGCACATACGTATATTCTGTTTCACTGGAAACAATATTAATTATGAAAACTGGTCATCTGGGATAGTTTGCTAGAAAAGGTTCCAATTTTTTATGAAAAAGAAAGCAGTTTTTTAACTATATTAGTCTAATTAAAATATGTGACCCGGAGACTGCCTTTTATGATCCAAGGGACATGATTTTTGTCACTTTTGTAAAGGACAACACAGCAATGTTACATGCCAAATATCTAAGCTTTAGGCATTGTAGTTTCTTAAAAGATTTCAATTTTAAAAATCTATTTATAGCTTCTGTGACCAACTAATGCATCAGACTGGATCTCATTGGCGGATTTTGGCCAAACTCCACAGGGATGGTTGTTTAAAGAAATTGTGGGTAACGACGAACGACGGACAAACTGCTATCATGTCACATAAGAGCATTTTAGGTGAAATAACACCCTTAACACAGTTAATATAAAAAATACAAAAGCATCAACAGAACCTTCTCATATGTATTTTAAAAAAAGTTAAATCTATTAACTTCAAAGCTGAAATATTTGTTGGCTCTCAAGAGCAGTAAGTCTGCTTATCCCTTTGCAGAATTATACCCCCTTTACTATATATGTTGCTTTTGCACTAGAGGTTACATTTGTGTTTTAACCATTTGACATCTGCCAAAAATTGTACAAAAAGTTTTAGTAATGATTTGTCCATAAAATAGTGAATAGTTTAAAAGATATAATAAGATTCAAATTTTCTGGGCAAGATTTTATTTATTTCTCATTCTTCCGAGGACATAATGCTTGACAGGGAGAAAAATACACTAACTAAATATTATGTTATGAATATATTTTTAAAAAACACAAACAAATATCAATAATATCTACACGTGTACGAGGTCTGACAAATTTCATGTTGTTTTTATCAAATTTAAACCATCATAAAGTTTGATGTTTCTTCGGGGCAGCTCAAAGAACGTGACGTACAATGAAATTTTATAATACACCAAAGTGCCCGATACAAAAATCGATCTTGTCCAAAATTTTCAGGGTTTGATGCTAAACCCGAAAAATGCAATGCTAAAATGTCTCGTGGTTTGAAAATTGGATTGTTGTGTAATCAAGTTTCAACGGTTTGTATGTAGTTACAACGTCTATTTTTTTGAAAACGTTGTCATTAAAAGAACAAAAACATTTATTCTTCATTTAATTTTGTTCGGTGTAATAAAATTAGTATCCAATGGCAAACCTCAAAAAACTGACAGACATACGTACAGATTAGTGAGAATAAATCTTCGAAACAGTTTGACAATATCAGTGACGCACACAACGTAGTCACACACACCGTCACGTGATACTCATGCCTTTTCACTCACATACCGTCACGTGATTCACATGATATGACACTCACACACTGTCACGTGATATACATGCTTTTTCACTCACATACCGTCACGTGATACACATGCTATGACACTCACATACCGTCACGTGATACACATGCTTTTTTCACTCACATACCGTCACGTGATACACATGCTATGACACTCACACACCGTCACGTAATACACATGCTATGACACTCACACACTGTCACGTGATACACATGCTTTTTCACTCACATACCGTCACGTGATACACATGCTATGACACTCACATACCGTCACGTGATACACATGCTATGACACTCACACACTGTCACGTGATACACATGCTATGACACTCACACACTGTCACGTGATACGTCCACATACACCGTCACGTGATACACATGCTAGCACTCACACACCGTCAGGCGATACACATGCTATGTCACTCACACACCGTCACGTGATACGTCCACACAAACTGCAGTCACGTGATACACTTGTTATGTGACATTCATTTTTACTTTTTAAAAACTGACTATACTAATACTTACTTGTAATATGGTCTGCTTTCTTATATATTTAGTGTGTTTATGCTCTGCAAGCTTATATTCGTAGCCTTATTTACATGAATATTTTAACACTAGTTCTACCAATTGAAATAGTTCCGAATTTTCACGTTAGAATACAATTTCAATCACATCTTTCGGCCAATTCCGTCGGATCAACAATGCTCTAGATGTTCCGATTGTAAAGTTTCTTGTATCTTAATTCAAATACTTCTTAAAGAAAGTTTATGTTACATTTACATTTCTTCGAATTTTATCAGGGTCTATTAAAAGTAGCCAGCTTTCATGGACAATTTTGACTCTTTGTAAAAAAGATAAAATTCGGTCATTCATATAATTCAAAGCTTTTTGAATAATCAATGACAAACTCGGCTAACTTTTGTCAATTTCCGAGTCCCAGTTTCAATTTGAAAAGCTTTTAGAAGTTGTGATTGTTTTGTTGTTTATGAACTCATTTACCTTATCATACATCATACATCATATGAATGATTGCCATGTGACTGTTTAATGTATCTTGTCTGCTAAACCGTTTGTAACAAAAAGTACATAGGAACGGTTTTTCTCCAGTATGTATTCTCATATGTCTTTTCAATATCCAGTTGTACTTGAAACTTTTATAACAAATACTGCATGTCGACTGCGTAGATTTGGCTCCCCGCGCTGAAATATAGAATGTTACAGATTTAATTATTTATATCCCGATATAATCGACAAAATATTAGTTGGGTTATCTTAAGGCAACTCAAATTGAAGTAAAAAATATTTTTTTCTATAGTGAATCATTGTAAGGGAGACAACAATGACGAACCCAAATTAGTTATTTTTCTTAATCAAATGCTTTTCAAAATGGAAGACGATGGTAAACAATCAGTTACGTATATGTAAATCTGTTCGCTATAAAAACTCCTGATACAAGGAACTAATTCGCTATATGCTTACAAGGAACTGCGGATGTAAGGAACAGATTTTGAATGTCCCAATGAGTTCGTTATGATCGGGGTTTACTGTATTTCTATACTGACGTCATTTCCTAACTTTATTTTTAGAGTTCTTTATACTACACTCAAGGTGTTGTAACAGCTATATCAGACAATTCTAGTACCCATGTCATACACGGTATACATGGTTACAGACAGTGTTATACATTTAGTCATAATATTTCCTGAAAACAGAGTAAAGCTGAATAAAAAACCTGAACACTGTTTATATCGAAATATGGGGTAAACGGGATATAACCGGTTAACCTTTAATGTTGAAAAATATAATACACCAAACATGAAGTAACCGGAATCGGGAGGAAAACTGATTAAGTTCGAAAATTCTGTAACCAGAACAACTGGTAACCCAGGCAAAACAGGATCTCAGGTTCTCGATAACATTGGGCAGTTAACATGTGGTAAACCGGTACACGCATGTGACGAACACCGGATAATTCGAATATGGAGCAAACGGGTAACGCTTAACATGCTTGAACATGAGGGAACTTGAATATATGGGTAAATCGGGACATGGGGTAAATCGGAACGCGGACAATGTTAATAGCTCTACCTAAATGTTTCATTACTTTTAAAATATAACAAACACGTGGAATTATCTGTACACTACATTATTATTCACTATGTAACAAAAATGAGAAACTATTTACACAAGACTTGTGTTCTAAATTCCTTATACCTAATACACAGTAAACTAAAACGTATAAAAACAAACTAATCAAAAATAGAGAAACGAGGTGAGCTTCATACAGTATAGAACGTTTTCTAACCATGGCATATAAAAATAGTATACATGATCTATTCTATGTCGTTCACAATACTAGTATTCATTTTGAAAAAAAAAACTATAAAAGAAACACAACAACAACAACAATTTGACAGAGGAAAAAGTTTTTAGGTAACAGTTCAAAATTCCTTTTTAACTCAACGCCACTTTAAATACATCAGAGCAAAGTTCAGCCGGCAGGCTGTCAAGAAGTTTACCGAAATGAAAAAATAACTTCTGTACATGTCGGAACAGAGGTACATTGAGAATGACCGTCGAAAGGATTTTATGATCAATCACAATGAAATTGACCTGCATGGTCCGGGAATGGCCGATTCACAGTTCAACGCTCTACTTATTGAGATTACCGGACAGCTACCGTGTATATAGTATACCGGAAAGCTCCCGTGTATATACTTTTACGTCAATAATCCAACGAAAAGCGACGTTACAAACGTGTATTAACAATGCAATATGTCCATCATAAATACAAATACTAAAGTTATTGTGTCATACATCAAAAGTGCCCCTGTTCAAACACTGTGAATTCACTTATTTTCGTGGGCATGAACTTTTTGTGGTTTTGTAAAAGTAAAAATGTAAATAATGTGATTCAAGATAATCTTACAACAGACGAAATGGGATATCGTTGGTTCTTAAAGTTGTGGATTGACATATCGAAAACTAATGATTTGGAGTAGAAGAAAAACTGGTAAAAAAATGAAAGTGCATAAATCTGAGGTAGATCAAATTCAGTTTCATTATTAGTATACACAAAGAAAATGCAAATAAAAAAAGAATAATACATGTAATATAGATCCATACCTAACGAAATTTTTATTTGACATAGCACATATTATTCATGATTATTAACATCAAATCTGTTTTTCAACTGTTTCAATTGATACAGATTATACAACATTTTTTTGTGCAATCTTCAAAAAACACGAAAATACAACAATGTTATTTTAATACCTGATGTATACAGACAATCCTTAAAAGTCACCCTGTACAACACTATACAACACTTCCGGCAGTTGGTAGTGTAATTTAGTGTCAAATAAAAAAAGTAAAGTAGACAAAATAGAGAAAAAATAGTAAATATAAACACAACGGTTTTTACAGACGTAAATAAATTGTACATTTTTTTCCTTATTTCGTATTTAAACGGTCATATTTAGACTAATGCACTTCAGAATAATGAGCGACAAAAATGAAACATGTAGCCATGATTATACAAATGTATTAAAATAGAAAGAACACATTCAGCCAGGTGAGGGTTCATAACTTATATAATTAAATCAGAATTAATTATCAGGAAAAGTCATTGTGGACCATTTTCAAATGTTGCTTTAAGTTGTTTTTCTGTGAGAAGGCTTTGTCCGGACAATATTGACATTTGAATGGTTTCTCTCCAGTATGTATTCTCATGTGTACTCTCAGTGCCGATGCTGATGACTGGATTTTCTTGCAAACGTTACAACAGTATTTCATCATGTGGACAGGGAGACCCTCGGGTAAAGAGCTTGTCCGGCGGAGCTTCCCTTCCTCAATTATCACTAAAAATAAAAAAATAAAAATATATACATAAAGAAAAGTAAAATTAAAATAATAACTAACATTTTTACTTGTGTACAGCTAAACTATATGTTGTGTGACAATGATTCATTATTGCAGGGTTTTCTTTAAAACTATAAAAATACACCAAAATTTAGTTTTTGAGAAATAAAAATAAAAGCACTTTTGAGACAAAATTGGCCTTTAAAACTTGTATTGGTAAAGTAAAAGGAATGCATTCAAATTTCGTGAATGTAATCACATTTCGTTAGTATTAATATCATAGGCTTGCAAAATATATCAAGGAGCTATTTTCATAAACAAAGTTTTTTGTGCGGATCATTTTTTTTTAAAGATTCGGAATAAAATTAAGACATGTATTTTTACGCTAAATGTATGTATCTAAAAAATGTATACACTACGCATGCATATATGGCAAATGTGTGTTTGCTTATCATTCTTTCAAAGTGTGCACCAATGATGTCAAATGTAAAGTAATGACTATTATTCAAAGATGTCGGTTAATAACTCTTTATAATACTGCACATTTGTAATATCACTTTTCATTGGATAATCGTGACGTTTATATAGATTTATATACACGGCTGCTGTCAATTTATGAAGAAATCTCACTTCTTTCTCTAAAAAGGAAGTTTACTGTGTTATAAATTCGTTATAAATATTCCCGACAGGTCATTTTGCTGTATATAAATGGTTGTTTGCATTATAACCCTCGCCTAACGGCTCTGGTTATATTTCCAAACAGCCGTTTATAGAGGACCATATTACCTGTAAAAAATCTTTTTAACTTATACGCATGAATGGTCTATGCAATATGGATATTTGTTCCTAGTTTATGCATTAACATTATAAATTAGAAAAATTCGTTAATCAGAACAACTTCTTAACCAGGTAAACATGATATACTGTTTTCAATAACATGGTGTAAATCAGGTTAACATGTGGTAAACCGGTACATGCGGTTAACCGGTACATGTGGTTAACGAAAACATGTAACAGACACCGAATAATCGGAATATGGAGTAAATGGGTAACACCAAATTTGATTGACCATTGGGAAACTAGAACATGAAGTCCATAGATACTTCAATACAGACATGTAAGTGTTTTTTTTTTCCATAAAGCACACATCTCTAAACGCCAGCTGCTGTGAAAATTGAAATTCTGGATGTCCTTATTATGTGTTCAGAGATAATTCGCCGCTCAAAGAACAGATAAGTTATTTTTATAAAAGTTATACCGCAGATATACATTTACATAAAAACAGTAACCTTTTTTTACAATACAATGTCCGCTTCAATGTTACAAAACTGAAGCATCTAAGTAAAAACCAACATTTTTTTACTTGTATATCATTCCGTCATAAAAGTCAGAAAATTACTTGCATATCAAATCTTTAATTAAGATTCAAATTAAAGGTTTATCTTCTATAAAACATTGCGCATCATTTCTGAATTGTAAAAGGATGTCTTACACAAAATAAGTTGAGTGAAATCATATCTAAATTTTTGTTTTCTTTTGTAATTCTAGTAAGAAAGATATCACTTAAATAATATACATGTATACCTCACACTTTATTCAAACATATAGGTACAAGAGCAATAGAAGTTCATTATCAACTTAATATAAATAATAGTAGCTTCTAACTCTATGTTCACTATAACAAATGCAGACATTCGTGTAGAAATATAACAACAAATGCAGACCTTCATATGGAAATATAACAACAAATGCAGACCTTCGTGTGGAAATATAACAACAAATGCAGACCTTTGTGTGGAAATATAACAACAAATGCAGACCTTTGTGTGGAAATATAACAACAAATGCAGACCTTCATGTAGAAATATAACAACAAATGCAGACCTTTGTGTGGAAATATAACAACAAATGCAGACCTTCATGTAGAAATATAACAACAAATGCAGACCTTTGTGTGGAAATATAACAACAAATGCAGACCTTAGTGTGGAAATATCACAACAAATGCAGACATTCGTGTGGAAATATCACAACAAATGCAGACCTTCGTGTGGAAATATCACAACAAATGCAGACCTTCGTGTGGAAATAAAACAACAAATGCAGACCTTCTGTGTGGAAATAAAACAACAAATGCAGACCTTCGTGTGGAAATATCACAACAAATGCAGACCTTCGTGTGGAAATATCACAACAAATGCAGACCTTCGTGTGGAAATAAAACAACAAATGCAGACCTTAGTGTGGAAATATCACAACAAATGCAGACCTTAGTGTGGAAATATCACAACAAATGCAGACCTTAGTGTGGAAATAAAACAACAAATGCAGACCTTAGTGTGGAAATATCACAACAAATGCAGACCTTAGTGTGAAAATATCACAACAAATGCAGACCTTCGTGTGGAAATAAAACAACAAATGCAGACCTTTGTGTGGAAATATCAAAACAAATGCAGACCTTCGTGTGGAAATTTAACAACAAATGCAGACCTTAGTGCAGAAATATACATGTAACAACAAATGCAGACCTTCGTGTGGATATACTACAACAAATGAACAGAGGAAAGGTTTCTTTAAGTTGACTAATTACAAAAACGCATAATATTTTTAGCTTTGATGGCATTTTTTCTTCAATATACGTATGTCGCAACTCCTGTATCCGCACATGAAAACGATTAATGAAGATTGGTTCAACGGCTGATAACAGTAACTGAGAATAACTGGTATAGGCCAATTAGAATATAATTCCGTGAATCGTGGTAGATTTTTTTTATTATTTTCTGGGGTTAAATTTTTTAAAAGATGGACAGACAAGCTTAGAGCGTCCCTTAAAAGGGAGCATTAAAACGACAAGAGAAAATGTGTTTACAAACAATATTTATTACTAACATCATATTATACGAGTAATTTCAAGTTTGTTAAACTTTTTACACTTCCCTACTACATTTACGCCACAAACGTATTTTCACAATAAGATATACAATGGCATGAACTATTTAACAAATCTAGAGCTATTGCTAAAAACACAGATTAACACAACACATTTATAATTTCTTCAAAACAAAGAGAAAACGGAATCCCAAAAAGAGTCCAACACAGCAAAATAGAAAATGTTGCAGGCTCGGTTTGATTGAGCATGTTCAAGGACGGTACTTGCATTATGCAAGATCCCATCCACGGCGACGCCCCCGAGCACCGGCTTAATCATAATTGAACATTCAACAAAAAATATTTTACAAAACAATCATTTTCTCAATATGTATCTAATTTATCAACATTTTATGTATGCAGAACTTTCAGAGGTCTGCTACTTCAATCAAACTCTTATTGTTTGTTTATTTATTTGTTGCTTTTTGCTTTTCTTCCCATTTTATAATTTAATCAATTTTTACTTTTTGCGGTTTTTGCTGAAGCGTTTTTGTGTTACTTTAACAAGAAGGCGAGATATGATGCATTGTGTTACTTTTATAATGTGGAAGTATCCTATGCATAACTTTAATTCTGTAGCGAGCTATAAAAGAGTTTCTTTTGCATTATTTAAATACTTCTTTCATTCTTAGTTTAATACTTCATTCATACAGTCTAGTTATTTTTCTTTTGAATATTTAATCCATGCCGCATCCTCATATGTGTGTACATGTTGCTAGTTTGAGAGAACGCCTTGCTGCACACGTGACAAACATAGGGCTTCTCTCCAGTATGTTTTCTCATATGTCTATCTAGATCAATCTGGGAGGCACAGATCTTGTTACAAATATTACATCTGTATGCTTTCATCCCAGCCAACGATACCTGATCACCTACTGCATTTAACACACCTGAAAAAAAGCAATATATTTATAAATACACATATATGTTTTGAACAAAAAAGGCAAAAAAAAAGATGAATAAACATGTAACAATAACCTGTTCAAAGACAAGTACTAGTATCTGTTATTTCATATAGGTAATGAAAGCGCTGAAAGATTTGGTATAAAAATTGTTATTAATGGCGCCTTCTCTTTTCGATAAGATATTTTGAGCCTTTTTAAGGCAACAATCATAACGCATTGTTATTCTTAAGATATTTTGACCTAGAAGAATGATTAAACGAGCACTTTTTTTAATAATGTTTTAAACCTTAGCGACAGTTGGGTGAGAAATACAACAGCGTTATAAGCAAATGTGCTGCGGTAGTAATCTCTGTTGAAAATAAAAGCATTTAACTCAAAAAAATATGTGTAAATATTTTTTAACAGAACTAAGTCAGTTTCAGATGAGTGCATTTAATTAAAGGGGAAAAGAAAACGTAGGTTTTTTGGTGAGAAGGAAGCAAGATAGATATGCCAGCTCAAATTGGAAACTCCCAAGACCTTTCAAAAAAGAAAAAGAAATCAGAAACCTTAAGAAAACAAGTACATCAAAAGCTTACCAACAACAAAAAATAATACATAACAAATTTTACACATCATTTAAATCTGCACTTTTGAAAAAAAAATCTCCTCTAGACTAAAGTCGTAACAACTTAGAAAGTAAGAAAACGTATCTGTTAGCATAAAAAAGAATTTTACATTTGTCAATTGAAATCTACAGGTTTTTTTATTGTTTTGGAAAAAATAGCTAGATAGTCGATGACACATTAACTTTTATTGAAGGTGACTTGGAACGCGACCCTTTACAAAGTGTGCAAGAAAAACATATTGTTGAAAACGATTTATATACATGTACATGTATACAGAACTTGATAATATTATTTTAGAAGTGGAAAAATGCAATTTATTATTCAGTGTGGCAATACCACGTGACTATGACGTCATTTTCGGCATCATTTCCAAGACAAATATTGCTCGATTCGGAAAAGAAAATAGCCGTAAATATTTTATTTCTGTACCAATTTCTTTGGGATATGCACCAGTCTACGGGGGAAAATATAAGCTTTCCACAGATGTTGGATCTTTGTCAGTTTATAAGCCGTTTTATCAAACACTTTGCATAACCTTGGAAGTTGCTTGTATTAGAGCGGGCTTCAGTTGCAAGCTATTTCGTTTTCTGGCGTTATTTGGTCTATGCCATGATTAAAAAGTCAGGTTTACATCAACCGGGAGTACGGAAGGCAAAACTCTACCTAAATATGTTCATATTTTTATTATGAATGACATAAATCTTACATTTTTCTTCAATTGTCAATTCTGGCACCAGTTCCAAGTCGAAAAAAAAGGACTACAGTTTAAAGCAGATTTTAGAATCCGTTGCAAATGCGAAGCAACATGCCTACCGATCTCTTTCTACAAGTTAGTTTTTCATTGTTGATCTTTCACAGAGAGATTGTGAAAAAACTGATTGTTCCTTAAAGCAAATGACACTTACTTGTATCGCAATAGTGCACGTCAAAACACATAGATTTAGTCCTTCCTATCGAAAAATAATTTTTTGGTTTCGTTTTGAAGATGTTTAAAGTATTGCTCATCTTATCCTATGTAGTAAAATATGTTTTATTCTATTTCACACTGGCGAAATTGATAAGAAATATATGTGTTCTCAGTGAGCGAAAGAGTTAAAATATAAAAAAAACTTTTGTATGCTACGTAAAGGGTTACACTTTAACGCAAGTGTTGTAAAGCTTAAGGTAATTTTTCAGTCTATTTTTTGTAAAGAGTAACTGACAAACACTGGTCACACTCGTGAAAGTGATGAATATGTTCTTCTGTCCTCAAAAGAGAGACTTTTGAAAGGAATATATACTATATTTTTTCTGGAATTACCGTATAATAAATTTCTATGGAGTTTGATAAACGAAATCACAATTCGAAGTACTATGCACATGTATCATGTATCGGAATTAAAGTCATGAATCTAATTGTCACGCGCATTAACATGACGTTGACATTTTATGCTTATTAAACTATAAGCACTTTCATCATCAGTCAGATTTTGTTCTTAGTGCAGAACAATTTTAAATTTTTAAATATCATTACATATAACTTGGAACTTTGCCGTGTAAACCTGATAGTATTGTTACTTAGTTGCATTACTTATGATTCTCTATTTATCAAAAAGGCCCAAAATAGCCATGAGTCGCCAATAAAGAACGAGAATGGACGCCATGTGAAGTAAACAAAGTAGAAAATAGTAAACAGATAAATGATTTTACAAACTAACAGTCATCGATCACAGTCAAATTTCTTGAAACAAAACATTCAAAAAGACGGAAATAACAATGATTATCAATAATTATATAAATATTTACATAAACACCTGTAAGAGCAACATCGGCAAGATCTATGACTGGGGTCCATATGACACTGATGCGTCCATTGAATAATTGATAGATTACATAAGCTAAGTAAAATTACGATTACATTTGAAGAGTATATTCAATTTTTATCTATCAACTGTCAAATGACTTAATTCTTTATTTACATATCAGATAATTCACTTATTTGGCATATGCATTATGTTTATCATATTTTAGATTTTAATATGTGGTCCTTTTTTTAAATCTTAAAATGCTACAAAAATCCTGTTGAGGGCATCTGCAGGTCATGCCGCGTGCAATAATACATGCATTTACAGCCACTGACCACATCGATAAGAAATAGTCCCAAATAGCCCTATCAGTTTTATTCAGTTGATAAAGACATTATTGTTAAAACATTCTACTCTATTTAAATGTTTTCAAACCCCTTCCTCTCTTTACAATGTGTATTGGTGACCTCTCTGATAAAGCTGGGTTGACTAATATAATTAACTTAATTTGTCAGATATGCAGTTTATCAACAGAAATAAATTCAATAATAAAATAAATAGTGTTTAGTGTTCTTAAGTGAACGAAGTTATATCCAGTTCACGAAAAACGGTTACCGTGGGTATGAAACCAGGATGTTAAAATATTTTTTATCAACGAGTGCCATTGTGTTAAAAAGTTGAATCTATCATACAGGTTCTTTACCAAGTATATATATGAAATAACTCTTTACAAAAGAATAACCTTTGACTTTAAAATTGCCGCGTTGAGGCGTAACGCTTTTCACAGCATACAAATGGAAGTGATCCTGAATGTGCACGTTCATTGGACAGGCTAGCTAAGTCAAACCGAGCCTGCAACATTTTCAATTTTGCCGTTTTGGGCGATATTTAGGGTTTCTGTTTTCTCTCTATTTTGAATATTCCACGTTTAGTATTGCTACACATGACACTAATAGATACCGTGAAAAGAGCAAATCAATTTCTTTACAAATACAGACAACAATTTTACGACTTTTAAAATCACTTATAGCGCAGCGAGTAAAAATCATTTAAATATTCATTTGTGTTTATGTAAATTGTATAGTAAATAAAATGTGTTTCATGGTTAACATAATTATAGAAAGAGAACGGAAGGCATGTTTCTTTGCATTTGCAACGGATTATAAAATCTGCTTTAAACTGTAGTCTTTTTTTTTCGACTTGGAACTGGTGCCAGAATTGACAATTGAAGAAAAAGGCAAGATTTACGCCATAAATAATAAACATATAAACATATTAAGGTAGGATTTTGCCTTCTGTACCCCCGGTTGATGTAAACCTAACTTTTTAATCATGGCATAGACCAAATAACGCCAGAAAACGAAATAGCTTGCAACTGAAGCCCGCTCTAATACAAGCAACTTCCAAGGTTATGCAAAGTGTTTGATAAAACGGCTTATAAACTGACAAAGATCCAACATTCTGTGGAAAGCTTATATTTTTCCCCGTAGACTGGTGCATATCCCAAAGAAATTGGTACAGAAATAAAATATTTACGGCTATTTTCTTTTCCGAATCGAGCAATATTTGTCTTGGAAATGATGCCGAAAATGACGTCATAGTCACGTGGTATTGCCACACTGTTATTAGGAAATCATTTCTACAATATTTATGAAAGGGCGATACTGTTGGTTGTCACCAGTCGTGCAAGTCAATTGAAGTCATATAGTTCACCGAGACGCAAACCCAGTACGGTTATAAAATTTATAAATCTAAAATGTTGCCATCAAAGCGTCTATGATATCGACAGTGATAGTTTTAACTGATATTTATGGACCTGCCCGTTTAAATCCAAAACGAATCGATATACGTAACAAATATGATGTACATAACCAAATTTGATGTACATGACCAACTGTTCAATGGATGGTTTGATTGGGAAAATGGAAAAGTTACCAGAATTGGAAGAGCTCTTACGGGCTGTTCGATTAGTAGCCTGCTATTTTCAGAAGCTCTTCTATCTATTCCGCCAGATAGACAGAATTACGACTTTGAAGAGGTAAGTCATGTGATCAAACAAACAAAATCAATGATTTTCTAAATTTATTTGAGAAAAAGTACAATAGAGCAGTAGATAATGTTTACAAAGAGTTGTGCTCAAAAATAAACGAGCCTAAAATAGAGTGTATGTACATTCGTAACAAATGTGTAAAATAACATGTGTGTAATGATTGTAGATTAAATGAAAAACATATTGTGAAAAAATAAGTGTTCTTCTAAAACTAATTACGCTTACAGCACAGAAAAAAAGTTCAAAAAAATTACAACACAAACATTTACACAGCATATAACACCTGCATGCAATGTCTCGCATTTGTAGTTTATTTGCAAATAAACAAACAAAAAAACGCAATAGAAAAAAAGAACTTGTTGATAAAGTAAATATTTACAATTGCAGTAGAAATTATCAACATGTTCGTTCATAAGTATCGAGCGATAAAGTTCATGTATAACAAGAGCTGTCCTAATTAACTTTTCATATGATAAATTAAAGCCAAGAAGAAAAGGGGACAGAATAGTCAACAAGTATTTCAAGTTTAAAGTATCAAAATACAAAGGCAGATAATTCAGCAAAAAAATCCATTCAGGATTATCTGCCCTTTAAAACAGGATTTCAATGTTTAAAGTTAACAAAAGTGAATACCTTTGACAGGTTTTCAAAAAAGGGGGGATAACTTTGCAAAATATAATTTAAGGATTATCTGCTCTTGTGATATAGCATCACATGATGATAATGAACAAGTTCACCAAGTTTTAAGTCAATAGTTCTGGTAGCCTCTGAGAAAAAGGACCTTAAAATGTTACCACAGAGACCTTGACCTTTCATCAATGACATGTTGATTGCAGCGGCTAGTGTTTACAAATAAAATATTTACACGCAATCATTTAAAATTCATCAAAAGTTACACTGCGGAAACCAATTGTCTACGGACAGACGGACGGACGGACAAGTCATACCATTACACGTCCCGCAGAATCTTCAAACTTATAAAAACTATAAACTAGAAAAGTCATATTGCAATTACATTAGATAGCGATACTTAAAGGTCCATTCATGCTATATTTTCATTTCTAGAAAGCTTTTTAATTTTGATGTACTTGAACAGTATCCAAAAAGTTACTCATTGGCCAGTTACCTGAATCATCTTTTTCATGTGCTGCTTTTTGGCAATAAATTTATTTATTAAGTGATAGGTATTTTGTATAGCAGTCAAAATACTACTTTGTTTACATTTTACTACTTTTATGACAAACTATTTTACATGTATCGCAACTTTCTTCAGCAAACAATTCAATCTGGAAACAGTTAATTAATAATTATCTACTACACAAACTTTTCTATCTCCAACGTTTCGAGAGGTTAAATCCCTCTTTTTCAAGGAGTTTCTGAAACTCCTTGAAAAAGAGGGGTTTAACCTCTCGAAACGTTGGAAATAGAAAAGTTTGTGTAGTAGAATTCAGCAAACAAGCATGTAACATTATGTAAAACCATAATTTAAACATAATAAAATTCAAGTTTGCCCTTTCTAAAGAAATAAAAATTAATTTGTTTCTGAGGCATAATGTGCCTTTAATTTCATTCCTTATTATGTACATTTCTTAAGTGCCTGGAATAGGAATACTTTCTATCAAAAATTTTGGCGCAAATTTCACAAACATAAATTTGGTTTGAATGTTTGGCGCTTATATGTCCGTGTAAAGAATTTTTAGATGCGAACGTTTTATAACAGATATGACATCTGTGCTCTATGTTGTGTGTAGAACTACACGTGCTGATATGCCTTGTTAAACAGGATTTATAACTAAATTGTGCCTGACAACGTTCACACGTATATTTAGGTGAGCTGTGATGCTGCCGATTGTGGCATTGGAGGTCTTGTTTCCTTCCGTATTTCTTGTCACAAGTCTCGCATTCATATTTCTTTACTCCCATGTGAACAGTTGCTATGTGACGCTTCAAACTCTTGGGTATACTAAATCGTTTGGAGCAATATACACATACAGTGTTCCTCTTTGGTAATTGTGTGTGTATATTTGAAACATGATATTTCAGTCTGTATTCTGACGTATACGACTTCTCACAGTGCTCACATTTGTACAGCTTACTACTCGTTCTGACCCATGGACCTGTAACAATAAAATGAGATCATTTAGTGAATGATGTAAATAAATACTGAAGTAGAAATAATTGCTAATCTTAAACTATCATCTTCTCAAATAGTCAATTTCTCTCCTCTATCGCAAGACATCGCATGATTATTTTTGTACCAAACATTCTAAAAACCTATTTCACCAGAATGTTTTTTAACATACTCTGATCATATCATTCTGACCCTCTCCCATCCCCATCCACCTATAAACCATTATAATGTATTATGCTATACACATACAATGTAATTATTATGAATTTTCTACCACATGACCACATGTGTGATGAATGTCGGGCTTAAGATCAAATAATGTTTGTATCCATATCTTATACAAATAAAGAATAGGCGCAAAAAAAAACAGTTCAGAAAATTCACGTACAGCTATCTACGTAGCAAAATGGCTACCTCCTTATCTACAAAGCTGTCTCGCAGAAAAGATATCATATATTTTAATATTTTTTCTTCAATGAATACGAGGGGCATACAAAAATTAATGGTAACCACTCAATTTAAATGCATGTGTCTTTGTACATGTATTATATACGGTTGGAAATATTATTGATTTTTTTCTAACCAAAAGTCAATTTTCGCACGATTTTCACGTGCAATAAAATCTTAGCAGATCATTTAAATACATGTGGTTTTGTACATGTATAATAAACCGTTGGAAATATTATTGATTTTTTGCACGATTTTCACGTGATATATAATTCTAGCAGGTAATTTAAAGACACTTGGTTTTGCACATGTATAATATACCGTTGAAAAGATTATTGATTTTTCGCACGATTTTCACGTGCAATATAATTTTAGCAGATAATTTAAATACATGTGGTTTTGTACATGTATAATATACCGTTGGAAAGATAATTGATTTTTTTTCTAACCAAACGTATATTTTCGCACGACTTTCACGTGCAATAAAATTTTAGCAGTTCATTTAAATACATGTGCTTTTGTACATGTATAATATAACGTTAAAAAGAATATTGATTTTTTTTCACTAACTGTCTACTTTCGCACGATTTTCACGTGTAATAAAAGTTTTAGCAAGTCATTTAAATACACGTGGTTTTGTACATGTATAATAAACCGTTGGAAATATTATTGATTTTTTCCTAACAAAAAGTCTATTTTGGCACGATTTCACGTGCAATAAAATTTTATCAGCTCATTTAAATACATGTGGTTTTGTACATATATAATATACCGTTGGAAAAAGTATTGATTTTTTTCTAACCAACAGTCTATTTTTTGGACAATTTTCAAATGCAATTAAATTTAAGCAGGTTATTTAAATACATGTGGTTCAGTACATGTATAATATACCGTTGGAATGATTATTGATTTTTCTAACTATAATTTCTAAAATGTGCTTTTTGATGTTAAACCATACTGTATATAAAAATAGGTTAACATGATAAGTCATATATCCTTTTTATTATAAGTATTTTTAGCGTATCTAGTGTAAGTAATAGAAAGAGCACTGAAACACGAGGTTATCTGATTTGTACGAGGGGGCGTAGCCCCCCGAGTATTAATCAGATTACCGAGAGTTTTGGTGTTCTTTCTCTTTTGTATCATAGTCAAACATAAAAAAACGTTCCCTGTAGTTACAATATGAAACCCCGGCAAAAATGAACCAATGAACGAGCATCTAAATATGACATTTCTGTCAATTTCACTTTCACTGCCGTCACAATATGTAAACCCCAGCAAAAATGAGCCAATCAATGGGCATGCTCTGGAGTGCGGGTAACTAATACCCGCACTCCAGTTAACGCACTGTGCATGTATATGTATACGATTTAACCCTGACACATTTTCAACAGAAAGGTCTCCTAACTATGATACAAAACAAAGTTAAATTATCTCATTCTATGTGGGAGATGGGGAATATATACAGATACTGACAGTTTAAAGTATGTTTGTTTCACCCACAATCTTAATACATTTGTTTTTTGTCTGCAAATAATATTGTTTTTAAATAATTGTTAGTTTTTAAAACAGGTCTTAAATCGTAAACAAGAGTGTCTGTAATGTATGTACCTCATCTCCTGTCTGTAGTAAACAGTAAATATAATTTTAAATACATAGACATTTTATTCTAGAAATATGATATATGTCAAATTACATAAATAAGTTGTTTTATCCCTATGTTTTGATAATCACTACTGAACAGCTCATCCATGGTCTGACAATGAGTGATACATGATTTTGTAAAACCATTTTTGTATTTTCTGATCGTAAGATCAGTAAATACATAGCTAACGTCCACGGTCTAACACAAAATATCCTAACAGTCCTAACAACGCAAAGTAGTTCTCACTCAAAACTGCTTAAAAACCAGCAATTTAAAAGAAAGAATAATTTTTAATGTAGGCATTTAACGAATTACAGTGCATTAAAAGTTTAGATTAGTCAATAGAAATATGAGGTTACAATCACAAATTTCGCGGATGAATATCTTTTTTACCCAATGAAAAATGTTCGGCTATTTCCGTAAAGCTTCGGATTATCATGAATATCATTTTAATCAATGAAAATGCTATTTTTAGCTATGCCGATTACCGAATACTCCAGAGCGTAGTACACAAATAAATCTGACTGTCGAGTAGTGGAATATATACATGTCGGACTGTTTTGGCGAGAAGATTTTCGATCAATTATTTTCATCAGTGTTAAACAACACGTTTATCGTGAACAAAAATACCTCGAAATTAATAAGGATTACAAACACGAAATGGAAATTCTCAATTTAGAATTACATAATGTATTCGTTTTTATTCAAGGTTCATTTTATTTTTTTTTTTTTATTTATATTTTATTTTTTATTTATAAACAAAACTCATGGCCCTTAAGGGCATAAGAGTGAACAATCAACAAAACAAATAATAATAATACAAACATGGCATGAAGTACATATGTATAACTTCGCCGTGGTGCAGAGGTAAGCGGTCTCGTTGAGGGTGTGAGAGGCCTATGGTTCAAATTCTAGTCGAGGCAATTCTATTTTTTTTTTCATGCAAAATTCCATATGTAAATCTCAAACTGTTATAGAAGAAAATCAAAACGCTGTCGCTGCGTAAGATGAATAATAGTACAATGTATATAAAAATAAACTTATACAGGAAAGTACATACAGATAGTCAGTATGATTTAGATTGCAAAGATCAGAAAATACCATAGAGCTGCAGCCCTTTGATTTATATTGTGCGATAGTGCTTTACTACCAAATTTAGAATTTTACAGTATCATTTCTTATGGCAGTTTTTTAAGTCGAGGTCAGTAAAGGTTATCAAACTTTTAGAATGTAAAAAGTCTATTATGATTTTGTAATTAAATATCTCAAATAACTTTTTAAATAATGACAATGTGCAATTATGTAATCCTATTGCAATTGATTTATATGATGTAAATGTTGAGATGTGAATACGTAAATAAGGGAGGTAAATCTACAGTACATATTATACCAATCTCCTACGCAGTAATCTCCCCTTATCAGTACACGGAGAAAACAATCTGTAAAGGGAGGTAATCACTGTGAGGAGTTTGGTAATATGGATTGTGGAGTTATCCCTCTTAGTACTAGCTATAACAAGTCTCTTGTAATTCTTTGGAGAATGGCTATATACAATTTCAATGTTTTAAATGTTTTATATGTGTATAGATGAGACTATAATTAAAAATAAAATTTTAAAAAAAACAGTCTATTTCACACGATTTTCACATGCAATATAATTTTAGCAGATCTTTTAAATGCATGTGGTTTTGTACATGTATACTGTACCGTTGGAATGATAATGTTGTTTTTTTTTCTTACCAAAGTTTTATTTTTGCAGGATTTTCACGTGCAATAAAATTTTATCAGGTCATTTCAAAACATGTGCTTATGTATATGTTTAATATACATTTGGAAAGATTATTGATTTTTCGCACGATTTTCACGTGCAAAAAAATGTGCAAGTCATTTAAATACATGCGGTTTTGTACATGTTTAATATACATTGGAAGGATTATTGATTTTTTCTAACCAAAAGACTATTTTCGCACGATTTTCACTTGCAATAAAATTTAGCTGGTCATTTAAATACATGAGGTTTAGTACATGTATAATATACCGTTGGAAAGATTATTGATTTTTTCTTACCAACAGTCTACTTACTTAAAGGTCCATTCATGGTATATTTTCATTTCTAAAAAGCTCTTAATTTTGATGTTCAACATTGTATTTTCGCACGATTTTTACGAGCAATAAAATTTCAGCATAAATAAATGTGGTTTTGTACATGTATAATATACCGTTGGAAAGTTTATTGATTTTTCGCACAAATTTCACGTGCAATACAATTTTAGCTGGTCACTTATATACATGTGGTTTTGTACATGTATAATAATTATAAGTGGGAAAAATTATTGTTTTTTTCTTCTAACCAACATTCTATTTTCGCACGATTTTTACGTGCAATAGAATTTTAGCAGGTAATTTAAATAAACTTTTTGTATATGTATAATATACCGTTGGAAAGGTTATTGATTATTTTTCTTACCAACATTCTATTTTCGCACGTTTTGATTTTTCACACGATTTTTACGTGCAATCAAATTTTAGTAGGTCATTTAAATACATGTGGTTTTGTACACATGTATACCGTTGTATAGATTATTGATTTTTTGCACGATTTTCACGTGCAATAAAATTTTAGCAGTTCGCTTATATACATGTGGTTTTGTATACTGGTTGTAAACATGGCTGAGTTGCATTGTGATTTGAAAGAGGATCAAAGAGCTTATTGCAAAATTCGTGGTTTATTGATTATCCCCGCCCTGGACGGCTAATTCCCGCTACCTCTAAAAAGACATCAGCACTGTCAATGCCATAGTTGATGAAAATACATGGTGGAGAAGAAAAGTGACATATAGGGCCTTAGTGCATCCTGCGTTTTCCATATTGAAAGAAAAGTTTAAGTTAAGGAAAATATGCGCCCGTTGGATCTCGCATTAGCTAACTTCTGACCAGAAAATGGAGCGGGCTTAAAACGCATCGGTCTTATTGACTAGGTTCAAAGATAAAGACCCTTAGAAAAATTGTCACAGAGGACGAAACGTGGCTTTATTTTAATTTTTTAGCCCGACAATAAACTCAGTAACTAAATGTGGATAGTGGGAAACAGCGATCGCCCAGTTGTTGCTCGATGTAGTGGGAGCGTTAAAACAAATATGTATGCTCTATTTTTGACAATGATAGAATATTGGCCGTGTCAACACCATGATAGAGCGATTTGCCGTATACCTCCGAAAACGGCAGCCATGTTGTTTACTATAGGTATAAGTTGTATCATAGTTTGGAGACCTTTCTGTTGAAAATGTGTCAGGGTTAAATCGTATACATATACATGCACAGTGCGTTAACTGGAGTGCGGGTATTAGTTACCCGCACTCCAGAGCATGCCCATTGATTGGCTCATTTGGCTGGGGTTTACATAATGTGACGGCAGTGAAAGTGAAATCGACAGAAATGTCATATTTAGATGCTCTTTCATTGGTTCATTTGTGCCGGGGTTTCATATTGTAACAACAGGGAACGTGTTTTTATGTTTGACTATGATACAAAAGAGAAAGAACACCAAAACACTCGGTAATCTGATGAATACTCGGGGGGCTACGCCCCCTCGTACAAATTCAGATAACCTCGTTTTCGGTTTGCTCTTTTCTATTACTTAAACACATATAATTCACATTGACTAACATTCATGAACAATTCTGTGGATTTCAATAAACCATCATATTAGTAGTTAAACGTTTTACGTTGTAGACATTTTGGGGGAAAACAGAAAATGGAAAGCAAAAAAAGGGATATCTATATTTTTAACTTAAGAGAGGTCTGGTTTACAATAAATTTGGGAAAGGACACTCATAAGCTTTTTAGCTTTCTGCCCAATCCCAAAAAGTATTTTGTAAATATTGTTCACTTGTTAAATGTTATGTTGAATAAATATGTTTAAACCAATACAACAATTATCTTAAATACCAGTCAATAAATGAAAGTGTTATGAGCACCGGAAAATTAAAGGAAAAACGGAAAAATAGTGTAATGAAAGAACGGAAGGATGAACACTGGCATCCTGTTTCAAAGAACCAGTTCGGTAACATAGAAACATCATTTATCTTCATACTTTATGTGATATAACTCACTGTTCTAATGTTTTGATGTATGCACATATAAGCTGTAATTTATCATTATACACAATTTGAGAACCGACTGTTTCTTACTGGATTGTATTGACAAATTACCGGTAAATATAAAACATGTATGGATAATTTTACTTTTAATTTCAATAAACGCGTTTGTTACATTTACATTTATATCTTACATTTAAAATCAATAAATTCAATATGAACTTGGTGAACAGTCGACTCCACTATAACAAACTCGCTTATAACGAATTATCGTTAATAGCGAATTAAATCTTACATCCCCGGCCGATTTCTTTATTTTATATCAAACATTGCTTCTTAATACGTACTCGCTTAAAACGTATTTTCGGCTTTAGAGAACTGTTTTTCAAGCCCTTTTAGCAAACTCCGGATATAACGAACGATATTAAACTGTGACAATTATTTCGTTATAAGCAGAGTCGACTGTATCAGTAGATTGCTATCCAATAATGACATACCTGATCATGTGGCACTGATATCAGTATATATTTTTTATTAAATATTGCCTCTTGAAGTGTGTCATGTTTATCAACACAAACACAATTGTTCACTGTTTTAAAGTAACACATTTTGCGCCAAGTTATTTTAAAATCTGTCATGGCAATATATGACAAAGATAAAGTCATGACCATATGTGTCTTTATCATTCAAGCATGACCATTACTTTTTCGGCTGCTGAACAAGAAACTAATTTCGTTCTATATTAATTTCAAAATACATCTATCAATGACAAAATCGTTGACTACTTATAATAGTACTGCAAATTTTCTGTAAGAAAATCTCTTTAAAACATTATTTTTTTACTTTCTATGCAACTAACTAGACTTAATTTTTTGGTATTAATAGAAGTTTTATGATATGATAGTTTCAAAGCCAGTTTCTCTATAAGCAAAGCCACATCTTGTCTAACACTTTATTTTCCCCCTTTTATAACTTTTTTCTTCTTCGTTAAAGTCATATGCGTGAATGTACTCTGTATCCCCCATCCATATTTCAACGTTGTAAAACTTGGAATGTGTAGTACTCGTAAATGCAAGTATATTCTGTTTCTTTGTGTAATCCACAAAATGTAGGTTATTTCTGCAGCTTTTAATTTAAGTAGTCAAATATTCTTAACTCTTTGTAAACCATTATTGTAACTTTGAACAAGACTGTTTATTTAGTTGACGTAAAACTCGGGTCATGTCGAAGTCTAATGTGTCGATAGAGACCGCTACTTTGTGAAAACCCTCTGTTACAATACTGACAAATGTAGGGTTTTTCACCAGTATGTTTGCGTATATGTTTCATCCGGTCGTGCTTGCTAAGAAAAACCTTCCGACAGAAAGGACAGCCTTGTAATGAAAGTGGACCTCTTCCTCCGGATCTAGCCACATTGTCTATACCGGCATCTAAACTTACTGTACCTGTAAAAAAAAATTAAAAAAAATATTTTAGTATTTAATTGACTGGTTATCAGTTATGTGCAGAAATCATTCTAAAATATATAATGTATACTTTACACACTCGTACTAAAATTATCCTAAATTGTTATCAGGGAATAAAGTTGTTCACTTATAATATCAGAGTAAATACTGGCTGAATTATTATCACTGTATAAAGTAATTCGATAATAATATCCAAGTAAATGCTGGCTGAATTATTATCGTGTTATAAATTTACTAATATTATCAAAATAAATATTGGCTGAACTATTATCTTATTATCTTTAACAGTTGTTCACTAATAATAAAATTTGTAGACTCAAACTCTATGTCCGTGATCAAATTTCAACTGAGAATTTTTGCATCGGGCGAGGATCGAATCAGTGACCCCTGATAACTGTTCGGACAAGTAGAAATTTTCAAGAATTTGATAAAAAAAATATAATACGGACAAGTCAAGAAATGGTTTAAATATATTTATTTTAAACAATTTCAAACAGTAAGGTAACAAATTATCATAACATAGACAAAAATTCAAACACCATCCCATACACAAACTAGATCTGCTAATATACGACCAGTTATAAACACAATTAAAAAAGCAACAACAAACAAACTAAAAAAACTTACGCTTAAAAATTGACGAACAACATATATTTATCAAATAAACTTACAGTTCATAACAATAACAAAAGTGGAATATACTATGAATATGTGTCAGTTATTATACCCAGCATAATCAGTAAAATGTTACTAAAAGTGTGGTATGTATTTGCTTTTTCTGAACTATTTTTAGTCTTTTAAAGCAGCACGCCTACAGATTCATGTCAATTTTCATGAAATTTTTGGGAAATGTATTTACAAGCAAAATATTGTGAGGTGAACAAATAAAGTAATTTACATATTGCAAACGGCACTTACAATCCAAGAAAATTACCAAAAAGTAGTCAACATATGCAAAAAGAGTCCTTACTTCGTTAGTAATGCAGTAGAAATATGGTGATAAAATACAGCAAAATCAATTTTAAACCGCGAAATACATGCAAAATTGAACTAGGATCTTGAATGTGTTTACTTTTCTTAAAATTTAAGTACATTTTTCTCCATATTGATTTTCTTGAAATACTTTGGCTCATCTGGAGGCGTGCAGCTTTAAATAGGAAGTGTTTCAACGATTGGTTTATAACTTTCTTGTAACGATTACAACAAAATAAATTTCTAAAACAATTAAACTTATTACAATATCATGTAAAATTTGTAGAACAAGTCGGATATTTCAGGTACAGCTTGAATTACTCAAAGTATATCATTCCGCAATTTCCGGCAAAATGTCAGTTATTTTCCATATACTTTCTTGACAGGATTTGTGCTGATCCTGGTCTGATAAAGTGGTAATATTTTTATCCTATGTAAAGTATATTTATATTCTTCGTCTAATATTGATAGTTTAGTATAAATTCAAATCTCTGTAAGTATCCGGAATCATGTACGTATAGGAAGTCATTTCGGTACAAAATTTGGGTCATGAAGTGCCCGGATGTGCCTGTACAGACTGCTGCATATGGTGAAGGCCTTGTTACAATAGTTACAGACATGGTTCCTCTCTCCTGTATGAGTCAACATATGTCTTTCCAAGGCGAGCCGTGACCCATTCACTTTATTGCAAAATTGACATCGAAATTTTTCCGCGATACTGACAATTTGTGACGTCATGTTGTCGTCTGCTGTTGATGGAATCCTCAGACCTGTTCCAGACAGTCGGACTGAAAAAGAAAAGAAAATATTTGCTATTATTAGAAATAAAGAAAACTTGACTCTGTTTAAAACACTGCATCTAAAATAGGTGTGTATAGATGCGATACAATGTCTATGGGTCGGGCATTTAACCATTGAAACTACATATCATAATTGTTAAATTTAAATATTAAAATAAACTTAAATGATTATACAACAGCAGTTTCAAACACATTGTAATACATGTTTAATGTTTCGTGGTAATGTCAACAGATGTCAAACTAACCTTCAACCGACGTACACGAATGTCATAGGTTTTGATTGATAATTTTGTACATAATTTTCTGCGTTTTGGTACTGAATAACTTGAACAACGCCAAAATGTATCACTGCGCGCATTGATTTGACTTGAAGTTTTTGGGCCCATGCAAGAGAAAACACATAACAAAGTAATTTACCGCCTTCCAAATAAAAATGACGGAGACTAGAAAAAGAGGAGAATAGAAAACTCAACAGCAAAATGAAAGAATTCATTATGAAAGAAAGAAAAAACACAACAAAACGATCAAAGGTTTGGTAAATGCAATGATTTATGATCTTTTTATTGGTAATTACACTAACACAATCTAAACAATAACTTTAAATGAGAAAGAAATGATGCAAGTATACATGAAATAATTTATTGGACAAACCAGTCCTGTCACTATCTAATGATACATATTTTCATTAAAGCTGCATTTTTTTCAGACTAATAGTTTGTTGTTCTTTTTTTTTCAAATAAAATTTTAAGTTTTAAAGTATTTTAAATGTAAATAAAAATAAATGTAACATAAATCATTAGTTTATATAAAATAGCTACATTTTGTAGCATGCATATGACACTAAAAATCCACATATATGACCTAATATAGGCTAAAATATGCAAAATAACCTTAGTAACTCTTTAAGCAGCAAGGTCAAGATATGGGGATAAAATCGACATATTAAGTTAAACACGTAAATGTTTTTAACTGATTGTAAATATTGAAACATGTCTTTTTTTCTTCTTTTTTTTTTTTTTGGAAGTTTGATTTTTCTTCTACTTTTGTTCCGGAACTTGGAGTAAACATTTTATACAAGGTGAATAGTTGTACGGTCCGGATCGTCTAAGGGATGAAAGCTGGGTCATGTAAGGCTCTGATATGTCTATATAAGCTGCTGGAGATAGTAAAAGCCTTCCTGCAGTACGAGCATACATATTTCCTCTCTCCTGTATGTGTAGACATGTGTCTATCGAGAGCTGCCTTCGTGCCGTTTATCTTATTGCAAATTTTACACCGGAAGCGTTCCATAGCCAACGCGATACTTGCAGACGTTGATTGCATTTGTGACGTCATGTTCCATATTCCACTTGTGGACTTTTGATGCAATACTCCTAAAACATAAAATAAAATTATCAATTATTTTGGAATTTCATTGTTTAAACATTTGTTGTTACGGAATTAAACACAACAAAAATACATTTTGTAAAACAAAAATACAAAAACACAATAGTTTTATTGTATCTATACAGAAATATTGCTATATACTTCAGTTTTATAATAATACCAGCTAAAAATCTTCCATCATTTTTACATTATTGGTGAAGAAAGGGCACTATCTCGAGAATATTTATCTATACAGTACAAATAGTCTGAAATAGAACATACACAAAGAACAGGGAGGACCGATATATATATATATATATAGTCTAACGTGAATAATTTTATTGATTCTTCTCTTAACTTAACATAGTGGTTTGCTTTTCAGTTAAGTAAAATACTTAGCTGATTGGTGGGCCTATTGAATATCCAGGAATGCACCAAGTTATATGTTGATTTACATGACATTAATTTTGTATACCATGCCATTATTAAGAAGTCCTACGAAAGACGTATTTTCCGTCTTAAATAATAATAGCCACACAATATAAAGGATATGACGAACGTTAAGAAAGAATGTTAAGAAACAACAGGTATTATATGCAAAATGTTGTCATAATCAACTTATCAAGTTATCTATTGCAGGTATTTTTTGGTTATTTTAAGGTGTTTTGGTTATTTCAGGGTCAAAAGAATCGTTATGCTTATCACTAGTGAATAGGGCTCATACATTTATAAAATTTCAATGTTTCAAAAAAAATTACCTTCATTCAGTTATTATTATATTATAGCATTGTTTGTGAGAAGTTAAACAAAGTATGTTTTGAAATAAAAAAACAATTCTTCATTCATTTATCTGTGTATTAGTTTATTATTTACAACAAAATGAACAAACCCATTGTGATAATACATGTCACATAATCATAAAAACATTACAATAGCAACATCATATATTGATAAACCAAAAGCAAAATCAATATGTACTGCTGCAATACAGAGATACATGTATAAGCCAAGCTTCAAAAACTGGGTTGATTTAACGGGTTAATTTCACATGATAACTTATATATACCATTAAGCATATTACAAAATGATTATCTCCTCATATTATAACTTCTATAATATTTGATAATATTTTTTGTTTCCAGGCTATAAAATGTTCACATATGTGTTTCTTTATGCAAGTTCCATCACTATAATACATGTAATACAAACAGACAAAATGAACTTATAGAAAAATAGTAAAAAAACGGCAATAATTTTCAAAACAATAGAAAGTTCACAAACAAACATTCATGTATTCAGGTGAAAACGATTTCCTACATACATTTTGTACATGTAATAAGTTTTACAAGAAACTGATATACAAAAAAGTAAAAATTTACTCCAAACATTAACACTGAAGTTGTTGCTTCTTTCACCACAAAATTCAAAAACACTTTCCAACAAACGTCATTGTATGTTTTGTTTAGAAATATGCACAGTAAACATATGTGTTTTCTGGTTACTTTTGTTGGCAAACCTCTTCTCACAATAAGTACAGGCATATGGTTTCTCTCCAGTATGTTTTCTCATGTGTATTTCCAATGCTACATTTGAACGTTCTCGCTTCCCACAAAACTTGCAAATAAATCCACCTGAAAAAAAACAACACAACAATGATCAGTTTAAAATAAAAAAAAAAAAATAATATTAATCAGTTAAAAATAAACAAAAGGCCCATCTTGAAGACACATATTCACATAAAATGATGATGTAATGATATAATAAACAAACAGTATTGGTTGCAAGGTATCTATAAAAGCACTAAAAAGATGTCTGACATAGTCAAATCTGTAATCAAGTAGTCTAATTGTCCAACTGCTTTAATTATTATATTGTCATGCAACTAAATTTACTATTAATTCACATTCAACTTTAGAAATACCAGCAAGCCTCCTGTATTGTCCTTACAATGCAGAGTGACAATTGCCACTTCATTTCATCGTTTCCAAAAAAAAAAGAGCATAACTCAGTCTGGTTGTAAAATCCCACCTGGTGGCCAAGTGTTTCTTAGATCCAACCCAATGACACAGTTTTTCTAGATCCAAACCAGTGATCTTGTTTTTCTAGATCCAACCCAATGACCTAATTTTCTTTTAATCAAATTGCTTCATGATGGAGTTACAATATATCTTGATCAACATTTTGAAACAATGTTTTCCTTTTATCTGCCCACTGATTTATATTACATTTCATGTGATAAATATTCATGTGTATAATTATAATATCAGTCTCTTCTTAAAGAGAATGTCAGACATTTCAAAACAGTTCAATTCATCTTACATTTTGATTTGTTAGCTGCTGTTTATTGATTTTATTTTTTTTTTTTTTTTTTTTTTGCCGTTTTGGGGGCCCTCATGGACCCCTGTTGATAGGTTGAAAATTCCCCCAAAAGATTTGAAGTTTCTTACTCAATGCACCTTGATTTATGGCAACTTTATGTTTTGTTATTACAGTTTCAACTGACCTTATCCTTTGACCTTTTGATCTGAAAATGGATGTGACAGGTAGAACACATTAAGGTCAATTCACATTTCAATGAAATAGCTTTACTAGTATTGAAGTTAATGACCATAAAAAATACTTGATGCCAACCCAAAATGCAGACAAATGGGTGTTGACAATAGCTCGATCTGCATTTTCTTGGCAAAGTGGACTAATAAAACACTAAATATTTATCAGTACAGTCGTAAAGTGTTATACGACTTGTTTATGATTAAATATATGTTTTAATTTGTAGTATAACCCGGGACACTCTGTAACAATTGCCTGAGTTTTTTGGTTGAGTTTTTTTGTAGTGTAGTTGATTTTTTGTTTTGTTTTTCTTGTTGGGGCAAATGACAAAGTTCATGAAATGGGTTTGTGTATCTGGTTTATGAACTACTGTGTGCAATTGTTTGTTGGTGGATAATTTATTTAATACATGTGAGCCAACATAAATCATTCTCAGTGTCATGGTCCTATATCATGGAGTAAACTAAAACCACTCACTGCCATGGGGTAAATTTAAACAAGTAGTTGCAACTGAAACAACCAAAACCACTCTCTGCTATGGAGGCAACCTAAACCACTCTCTCCTTAACCATTCTCTACCATAAAGACAACTAAAACCACTCTCTGCCACGAAGGAAAATTGACAGAATTATAATTTTTTCAAAAATAAACCATCCAATTAAATGATTGTGTCAGTAAAGAAACTGTTGTTCCTATGAAATCACTACATTATTCTGTGACAATCTAAACTTTAAATTTCAAGTTCTGAAACAATTTGATAATATTCCACTCTAAGTTCTAAATTCTTCCATGATTTATTGTCCTTGTTATACATTGTATTAAATATACACATGTGTCTGGTAAAATACAGATATTCTTTAATGTTAATATATCAATATCACTAAAATGTTTCTATTAAGGTCATCGAGTGTGGTTTTTCCCAAGGAAATAGCTATAAAATATTATAACAATAAAACAAATACTTCTTGTCTTTTTAGTCACTTTTCTACACAATTTTTGTAACAGAAAAATAATTATTCCCTTATTGTCACTCATTGTCTATGTAATATGGTAAACTCTTGTCGCCATGTTGACTCAGCAAGTGTCGTTTTATATTGCTTTTATGTGAAAATCTTTTCTCACAAAGTGTACATCGGTAAGGCTTCTCTCCTGTATGTGTTCTAACATGTACCTCAAGCTGATACCTGTAACAATGATATACACAATATTATACACCTGTAACAATGATATACACAATATTATACACCTGTAACAATGATATACACAATATTATACCCCTGTAACAGTGATATACACAATATTATACACCTGTAACAATGAAATACACAATAATATACACTTGTCACAATGATATAAACAATATTTTACACCTGTAACAGTGATATACACAATATTACACACCTGTAACAATGATATACACAATATTATACACCTGTAACAATGATATACACAATATTATACACCTGTAACAATGATATACACAATAATATACCCCTGTAACAATGATATACACAATATTATACACCTGAAACAATGATTTACACAATGATATACACCTATACCAATGATATGCACAATAACATACACCTGTAACAATGATATACACAATATTATACACCTGTAACAATGAAATACACAATATTATACACCTGTAACAATGATATACACAATATTATACCCCTGTAACAGTGATATACACAATATTACACACCTGTAACAATGAAATACACAATATTATACACCTGTAACAATGATATACACAATATTATACCCCTGTAACAATGATATACACAATATTATACCCCTGTAACAGTGATATACACAATATTACACACCTGTAACAATGAAATACACAATATTATACACCTGTAACAATGATATACACAATATTATACCCCTGTAACAGTGATATACACAATATTACACACCTGTAACAATGAAATACACAATAATATACACTTGTCACAATGATATACACAATATTATACAGCTGTTAAAGAAGCCTAGTAGCCCACATTTATATTGCATGGGATTTCATCTAACAGTTCAAAGGAAAGAGCCCAAATAAATAGCATATAAACAAACATGTAAGTTTTGTAAATATATGCTGCCTATTGGACTGTCCCAAAGTCAAAGATGAGAAATGCATTTCATAAATTCAGCAGCTTTAAATAGTAAAATGATTGTAAGAAATTTTATAATAATCTCATTCATTTATCTATATTAAAGCAAACTTCGTAATTCCTACATAAGTATGTGGACACTTTAATAAAACATGACTAAAATTATAGAACATTTATATTTTATAATTACCGGCTTTGTGTAAGTTTTCCACAAATTGGGCACCTATGCTTTAAATTCAAGCCTGCAGTTGGAATACCACATGTTGAATGTTCCATCATCTGACCTGAAAAATATATAATAAAATCATTATACACTGTGTCTCGTAGAAATTTCTCCTAGCCCCGAGGATGGAACTCGCAACCCCTAGATTACAAATCTAATGTTCTATATTGGATGCAGAAATAAAAGAAAAATTCATCGTTTTCCTAATCAATTTCTACTGTTACTAAATGAGGAAGGACTCATAATTTTCTATAATACACATAGGAACTTTTTTCATGAATATTTAAATGAAATTTAAATCACTTTATATGTACACTTAACATCTCTTTTACCAATATGAACATTTATTTTTTCATGAAAATCTATGAGCATGAACCTGTTGGTATGCTATGTTTTAATAGTTCAGAGTTTAGAATGATAAATAACACAGATAACTGATTTCATATAATTCAGATAATATCACAATTGATGTGCAACTAAAAATATCAAAATCCATTTACTTTATCCATAATTGTTTGGTGCTTATCCTTTAATGGTGGAGTTCCTAGTACATGTACTATGTACTATTCCTTATATTTTATTCTACAACACTTAAGTACCGGTAGAACAAAATGAAGTTAGTTCTACAATTATAAACCACTAAATTTTAGCCATCTGGTGTAAAGGGTATTACTGTTCACTTGGAGTTCTGGTGTTGACCTTAATATTTCACCACTAAAAAGCCTGGTGAAAGATTGTAACTTTTATGCCAAGTTTAATATAATTCTATATAACTTGGACTACAGTGTACAGTGTATATATTATACAATTTTATTCTCTTATAGTTGACATTATCACACTCTTTCTTGATCTAGTTTAATATTATCAATCACAACACTTTAACTGGATAAGCCCTGAAAAGGGACATGAAGCAATGCTATCATCATATAATTGGATTTCACTGAACTCTCAGATTAAGGTCATTTTACCCCTTAAATCAATAACAAAAATCATCGTCTTAGAAAAGTTGACCAATCAAACATCTGTGTTCATTGTATTATTCTTTTCAACACTACTGAAAGTTCTCGTGTCCATGCTGTGATAAAATGTGAGTTTTCATATTGCTTTTGTGGGAAAATCTTTTCTCACACACTGTACATTGGAAGGGTTTCTCTCCAGTATGTATTCTCACATGTATATCCAGTTGATATCTGTGAAATACAAAATAAAAAAATACAAAATACTCTTTATACAAAACTTGTAAACAACTCATTCAGTAAAAACTTAGTGAAAAACTGTTGTAACTCCTTTATTGTGTTATATAAGTAACAACCCTTACACAAGAAGCCCTTTAATCATTCTTTAAGTTAGAAAAGTATTTCTCCGTAAAGGAAATTTATCTTAAGTCATTACTAATTTGCTCATATAACCTCTTAATTCTAGTTCCATACAATGTCTTGTCACAAAATAAATGCCATAAGAATAAATGAAACCAAAATTGAGAGTTTGATTTTGATAGTTAAACATGATGATAAAGTGAAAAGCTTTGTTTCTAAGAAAATGAACTTTAACAAAAAGGTTAACAACTGGGGTAAAAAAATCTGGTTAACCAGGGCAAAATAATCCCGGCTGGCCACAAAAACGGCATAATTTTACAAAAATAATTCTGGATTATCTGCCCTTTAATATATGGCATCACAGTATGATAGTTATCCACTACGCAAAATTTGAAGTAAATAGCTTTGATAATTTCTGAGAAAACAGACTTTAACACAAGAATCAACCAATGCAATTACAGACCCTAGAGGGTTGTAAAATCACTCTGCAGTTTTAAGTTATTTTTTAATTAAATAACCAAGGCAAAAACTTTTATTTTCTATGATAGTAAAGAGTTTAAAATGTCACTATAATCACCTGCTCTGTAAAAATTTCCCACAAAACTGGCACCTGTATTTTCCTAGAGCAGCTAAACGTCTGTCCAGTGAAGATAACGATTCATTTAATTGACCTGATGAAGAAAAAAGAAGAAAAAATGAATAAATTATAGAGATCTAGTGATAATAAGATTTGTCACTGATTCAAGGCAATAGGCATATCATTGATATATCGATATCAGATGACAAATATCAACGATATACCATTTTATCGAAAATTACCGAAAATTACTTGTCTGTCATTCACTTTCATACCCGTTTAAATGATTTCAGTTGAAAACATGTTCTGTTCAGTGTCTTGTTTATAAAAGCCAATTGCATGATTTTTTTCCAGACCATTTTTTTTGTCATCATTGCTTTGAAATATTTCCTTTATGTAACAAAAGTGTAGTGTTAGACATTGAGACTTGCTTCAGTATATGTTTTGGGTGAATTTTCCTAATTTCTAGACATTTAATTAATAAGTCAAAATTATCGATTTTGTGAAATGTGTCGATTATTGATCGTCAGAGAAATATCAGCCATACATCGATATTCTTTCTATCAATGGCAGCTCTTGTAACAATAAATATTTACAGATAAAATAAATTCTTGCTTTGATTATATGTACATACAATAAAAAGAAGCTCACATTCCTTTTTTAACATCTTATATATATATTACTTACTAATTAATTTTCGTGTTTATAAAGAGATCAGCAACATAAACTCACCTTTTGTTTTATTGAACTTGTGTCTGTGTTAAATTCAATTATATAAATATTATAAGACAAAGAACTTTTATTTATATTTTGTTTATTCTTTATCAAACTAAAATGGAAATGGTTATGTGAATATGATGATCCCTCATCTACAGGATTGTATACATGTATACAAAACTTAACATTTGGAAGTCATTTACTGACAAAGATACAAGTAAAGTAGCATAGGGCCAAAGGAGCCAATCTACATTTATTTACACAAAAAAAAACCTTCAGAGTAACTACTCAAGTTTATGAATAATATTCTAAAGAGTAAGGCTGTATACCAAAAACTAAATTAACACACAAATTATTCATATACAGAAATTCCAAAATAAAAGAATGAGTAATAAAGTCAAACATGTGAACAAAGGACACCCAAGGGTGAGACAATATACAATCTTTATAGACATGTGGTCTTTACATTCAAATGTCTATTTTTATTCCATTTTATTAATATAGGTTATATCAAAAAAGTGGCATTCAATTAAAGGGTTAATCTATATATATAGAGGTGACTTTTAACACAGGTTTGACTGTACAATTTAAAGTTCAAAGTTAAAAAAAAAAGAAGAAAATAATGAAAAAAGAAATTCAGAACTGAAAAGACAAACCTACCATCTACAACTGTTGTTCATATCTTCATACATATATACAATACATTATAATACAAAATACATGTAGGTCAACATGACCTTTGTTCAGATATTTTAATACAACCATTATTCTATATGTCTCTCACATGTGAAATTTTGCTTAACTTTTTACAGAGCTTAATACTTGATACTGGACTCAAAATGCCATCCTTAAAGCTACATTAAATAAATTTTATAAAAACAGAAATAGCGACATTTCATTAACTAGAACTATCGCTGAATGCGATTCATACCCCCACCAATGTCCTTGACAGAAGAGGACTTGGAAAGGTGGTTAAGGCAATAACTTGTGTGGCACAAATACATAAAAAGAAATTATCTCTGGTGAAAAAAAGACTAACAGTACAGGTAATAGTATAAATATATTATCAAATCATGTTCGAAACAGTTACAAAAAAACCTTTCATTTTCCCTATGTACTAAACATTTTATTTTTAAGTCAATTTTTGACCTTCAAGTGTGGCCTTGACCTTAATCTGGCACACGGGTAACATGGGTTTTGCACATCGCCCAGTTGGGGTGAACATTTGAGTAAAGTTTGAAGAAAATCCTTCCATTAGTATAGAATTTATAGAGCCGACACAAAATACTGTCTTAGTATTGATTGTATGTAAATTTGAAGACTTAAAAAGGGGCATAACTTTGTCAAAATGCAAAACAGAGTAATGAAACTTGACCTGCATATCTTATTTGCTACATCTCATATATCTTAAAGTTTCAAACAAATACCTGTGCTAGTTTCAGAATTATTCAAGTACATGTTAAAATTTAAGAACATTTTCTAAGTCAATTATTGACCTTCAAGTGTGACCTTGACCTTTAAAAGGCACAAAGGTGACATAAATTCTGCACATAACCTTGTTGAGGTGAACATTTGAGTAAAGTTTGAAGAAAATTCTTCCATTAGTATCGGATTTATAGAGCCGACACGACATATTGTTATATATTTGATTGTATGTAAATTTGAAGACTTAAAAAGGGGCATAACTTTGTTAAAATGCAATACAGAATTATGAAACTTGACCAGCATATCTTAATTGTGACACTTCAAATACATTTTAAGTTTCAAGCAAAAACCTTTTCTAGATTCAGAAATATTCAAATAAATGTTAAAATTTAAGAATATTTTCTAAGTCAATTTTTGACCTTCAAGTGTGACCTTGACCTTAAGCCGGCAAAAGGGTGACATGGGTTCTGCACATCCCCTTGTTGAGGTGAACATTTGAGCCAAGATTGAAGAAAATCTTTCAATTAGTGTAGGACTTACAGAGCGGACACGACATACAGTGTAATATTTGATTGTTTGATATTTGACCTTCAATTGTGACCTTGACCTTGAGCTGACACATGGGTAACATCGGTTCTGCACATCCCCTTGTTGAGGTGAACATTTGAGCCAAGTTTGAAGAAAATCCTTCAATTAGTGTAGGACTTACAGAGCGGACACGACATATAGTGTAATATTTGATTGTTTGATATTTGACCTTCAATTGTGACCTTGACCTTGAGCTGACACATGGGTAACATCGGTTCTGCACATCCCCTTGTTGAGGTGAACATTTGAGCCAAGTTTGAAGAAAATCCTTCAATTAGTGTAGGACTTACAGAGCGGACACGACATATAGTGTAATATTTGATTGTTTGATATTTGACCTTCAATTGTGACCTTGACCTTCAGCTGACACATGGGCTACATGGGTTCTGCACATCTCCTTGTTGAGGTGAACATTTGAGCCAAGTTTGAAGAAAATCCTTCAATTAGTGTAGGACTTACAGAGCGGACACGACATACTGTGTAATATTTGATTGTTTGATATTTGACCTTCAATTGTGACCTTGACCTTCAGCTGACACATGGGCAACATGGGTTCTGCACATCCCCTTGTTGAGGTGAACATTTGAGCCAAGTTTGAAGAAAATCTTTCAATTAGTGTATGACTTACAGAGCGGACAGGACATACTGTGTAATATTTGATTGTTTGATATTTGACCTTCAATTGTGACCTTGACCTTCAGCTGACACATGGGCTACATGGGTTCTGCACATCCTCTTGTTGAGGTGAACATTTGAGCCAAGTTTGAAGAAAATCTTTCAATTAGTGTAGGACTTACAGAGCGGACACGACATACTGTGTAATATTTGATTGTTTGATATTTGACCTTCAATTGTGACCTTGACCTTGAGCTGACACATGGGCAACATGGGTTCTGCACATCCCCTTGTTGAGGTGAACATTTGAGCCAAGTTTGAAGAAAATCCTTCAATTGGTATGGGAGTTATAGAGCAGACACGAAAATGGAGACGGACCGACGGACCGACCGACCGACGGACCGACGCGACAAAGCGAATCCATTATAGCCCCCCCACATTTTGTGGTGGGGGTATAATAAATTGGGTTTCATATCGACTCCAGATCTTATCATGGTGTCAAAGACAACCAAAATGAGTTTTATAATCAGAAATATCTGCGACATCATTGTGGCAAAATCGGAAGTACAATTTCTGTTCAATTTCTGGTTGCATAAGAAACTCAGCCTTCGGATCATCTGCACATCAATACTAAATCAACAAACATGGCTATAAGTAGCAGTCCTAATATAACAATATATTTCCGCATTGTAACGGATTTTTTCATACAAATTTAATATTTTTATGAGATGATTACTCTTTCCTGAACGCCATGCCAAGTGTACCGTGAAGCTAAAACGGTTAAAGTGTGTTTGCACATGAAAATCTCATTTTTGCTGTGTTCTGTATAGCAACTTATAATAACACTGTGACGTCACTAGCACATACATGAACTGATTATAGGCTTCATTTGCATATTAAAATTCGTTTACGAACTTTAGTGTTACCGTGTGGTTTTCCGTTTATAATCCTTATTTATGAACAATGTTTGACGAGATTTACAACAATACTGTTAAAAAAGTTAATGAAACTGTATAATGCTTAGTTTTTAGGCTGACAGTAAAATATTTTTACATATTTATTTAATGTAGCTTTAAACTAAAATATAACGCAAGTATAACATGATTCATTCAGGAGTTATGGGCCCTGGACAGTATTAAGTCATCTTATCAAATAATTATTTTGGATTATCTACAAGTAAAATTATGATGATCAAAATAACAGCTTCGTTAAATTCATAAAATAAATTTCAGTCAAGCGTAAAAAAGATGAAATTTCCGGAATGATAATAAATGTTCTTAAATGACAAATTTTCAACTCTTTATTACCACAATATGTCATATTGAATCCTTCCTAATGAAATCAGACTCCCAGCAATATCTTTTATCTTGATGACGTCTCAAAATTTTTCCGCAATTTTTTTAGTTTTTAATCTTGGTACATCTTAATTAATATAACTCAAAACTGTATGATTTTCTTTTATACATAATTATGAAATTATAATTACTATAGGTAAAATGATTTAATAAAATTTACAAAATTTACTACTGAATAGTAGTTAATGGGTTTTTATTTCCATACTTTGTCCTCTCTCTGTGAAACATGAATACTGTTATTTTTTTCTGTTACATGGGGCAAGTTTGCAAATTTTGCAAATGTCACACAAATAATGTTCAGTCCTTTAGCTGGGAAAATTCACCTGTTTACCTACAGGTGTGTTAAAATCAGATATTTAAATTTAACTTTTCATTCTCCAATAAATCATACAGTCATTATTATCACACAATGATTCAAAATGATCAGTTATTATGGAAATATTTTGTTTTAAGAGCACACAGAAAATAATACTCCCTAACCTTTTTTCTTCATTTCATGTGCACAACATAGTGGGTTTTTAAATTTCCCTTGTGTGAAAATCCTTTATTACAATAGCGACACACGTACGGACGTTCACCAGTGTGAATTCTTTCATGAATTTCCAGTGCCTGTTTCGTGGCCAGAGATTTGCCACACATCTTACATTTAAATAATTCTTCCCCGGTATGTAGTCGCTGGTGTATTCTTAATGTTCTCCTTGATGCGAAACATTTCTGACAGAATCGGCACTGGTTATTTCCAGGTTCTTCATCTGACGGAGTTTCGGTATCTTTATTACCTTCCTTTCCTGCTTCTATATTACCAAGGTAACCAGGTGTCAACTGCTGTACAAAGTCTGTAAGTACATCTGAAACACATTTAAAGGTTCATGTATATTATATGTATAAAAATGTTTGAATTTTTTTCCCTTTAATATAAACTAATTATATATCAAACTATTCCACCACCAACAATTTCAATAGTACATCAGTTTTTTTTGGTTATATTAAGTATAGGTTAGATTTTCAAATTCAAAATGTCACTTCTTAAAACTTCCCTAAATCTTTCTTCAAGAGTTACGAATTTACAATCATTTATATTGTAAAATAACTACTGAGTAAAGAAAAGACCACAAGACTAGGAAAGAATGTAATATTTGCACTAGAATAAGGTGCTTGGTTAAAATCATGTATTGGCAGGTACGTTATGACTTAGGTTGGTAAGATAAAACTGTAAGGTTGGTAAGATAAAAACTGAAGTTTGTAAGATTAAAACAGTTAGGTTGGTAAGGTAGAAATCGTGTAGGTGGTAGCGTGATAATTGTGAGGTTGGTAAGATAAAAACTGTGAAGTTGGTAAGGTTAAAATTATGTTGTCGTTCGTGTGATACCTGTGAGGTTGGTAAAGTTCAAACTGAGAGATTGGTAAGGTTAAAATGATTAGGTAGTAAGGTAACAATTATGAGCATAAGTGATTGTTTAATAAAAAAGCATTTTGAATTATATTGAAACTTTCAACAATTTATACTTCAATTATATTGAAACTCCCAACCATTCATACTTGGGTTATATTGAAACTTTCAAGCCATTTACAATTTGGTTATACTAGAACTTCCAACCATTTTTGAGTTATATTGAAACTTTCAAGCCATTTACAAGAACTTCCAACCATTTGAGTTATAATGAAACTTTCAAGCCATTTACAAGAACTTCAAACCATTTGAGTTATATTGATACTTTCAAAAATTTATACTTGACCATATAGCCTGCCAAACATTATTTTAACTACATGTAGTCTAAGGTATTTGATATACATAACTGACAACAAGATTGTCAGTTTATTAAAAAAGCACTTTCTTTTCTTATAAATATATGTATTCTGATATAGTTAAAATATCTTTTTAACACTACTGAAAATTTGACTGGGAATCCTAGTGGGATGAGAGTGGGATCCCAGTAGGATTTAAATTGGGATCCCACTGGGACATCCCAGTGGGATTTCAATTGGGATCCCACTGGAACCCACCAGGAAAATTGGTCAGAATCCCACACCATCCCAGTGGGATCCCCTTATATCCCAGTGGGATCCTGAAATTTTCCTTAAACAGGGAAATAAATTATTTTGGGTTTTTTTACAATAATTTAAGTAACATTATCAAACCACTTTCAGATGACAGCTGTTTGTTTTTTTTATTTGGCATGTACCCTAAGAACCGAATATCTTTTCTTCTCCTACTTAAAATACACAGCCAATAAATGTTTAAACAACCAGAAATTCAATGACTATCTAATTAAAGTGGTAAACATTGACAACATACTAAAATTTGCTTCACATTTCACATTTAAGCAACAAATATAACTTACACACTACTGTAAACTTAGAAACAAATTGTAAAACTGAGAAAACAATAATTTGACCAGAAATTAAAACAGTCAGTACTTAAAATTCCTTTGTACATGAAATATTTTCAGAGGGCATCCTCCATAAGTACTTCCCCACCGATTAGTTAAACTCAGGTATCATTACATATCCACTGAAAACCTTATACTTAAGTTAGATTCTGAAACATGGTTATAATAGTCTCCCTTAAATCAGGAATGGCATAATCAATTGTCCGAATCACCCAGGTTACTCACAGTCCCACAGTTTGAATGGAAAAGTGAAAAATTTCCAAAATTTGCATTATAAATATCATATGGATAAGAAAAAATATGTTTCAAGTAAAATGGACAAGTATTAAGTAAAAATTAGATTTCACTTGCCCTACTTTTACATCAACCCTGTATCAGACTTAAAATGTAAACTTATTATTTCAGCTTATACTTCACCGATACAAACTGGTGAAATATACTGGTTGTGTAATGTCAATATTGTTAATGTCATAACTGGTTTGACTAACAATGCACAATTCTCTCTTTTCCTTGGAACGAGCAAGTTACAGAGAAGGCACAGGGCATTGGCAGAAGATTTGAAGAACTTGGGACAGCGAAAAAGAAAACTGAAACTCCTACCATTTGGACTTAAGCTGCCGATGTTCTGACTTAAATGCTGAGTGGAGTGGCCCTTCAAAGAGGAAGGGACAACAAAGAAAGTGTGCTAGGATGCGTGAGCCTCGGCACACAGAGTGATGGCTCGAAAGGCAGGCATAACAGCTCTTTTTTTAGGGCTACCACCTTTTCATATTGTATCAGGTTACTGTACATTTAGGTTCTAATTGACTGCCGTACAATGACCTACTTTAGGCTCAAAATTCATATCTTTGGCTCAAAAAATCCTTGGAACTTTCATGGAGGTAAATTATCACCACTTCGTGCTTCAAAACTAACCATTCAAGGACATGACTGATGACATGTCCAGGGTCAGTACTCGGCAGCAAAAGCTGCATTTAATGCCTGGGCAGATGGACCCTCTTGAAGCATTGACTACCGACTGACTTAACCAAGCAAAGCATGATATTGACTATTTTATTATAATTATTACAACACAGTTACAACATAGACACAAGTACATTAAACTTCAATCATAATTAATTGTTTATAAACATCAAACACTGTTTTGATCATTCATAAAAAGCTTCTTAGTTAATAATTATGAAATAATATCAGTCTAAGAAGTGTTTATCGGCTAATTTCAACATTACCGGTTAAAAGTTGATGTTCAGGAACTGACCACGAAGGCCCAAGGCCTTTAGTTTTGTTTTACTTCTCTGACTTCAGTGACAGAATCATGAGGCATGTTAAAATTGATCTTTCTTCACTTTGTGATAACAAACTCTACTAAGTAAACATTAAGCAACCAGCGCAACCAGCATCTTCTTATATTATTATACACAGTTTACTCATATAAAACATTGTCTCAGTTTCCATGGTAACAACTTTTCTATTCTGTGGGTTACATAAATCTTAGATTTTGGATTTATCATTCAACAGTCTCATATATATGTTCGAACAAAGAGTCCATATTTGAATTATTAATTTAGAAAGTCATAGGAAAGGGCTTAAACTTTCCTCATCACTGTTAAACACTCTTTATTTTTAAAACTTTAACAATATCTAGACCAGTCCTGCTATTTTTTTTTGTTTCAACCAACTATCTTACACATTATGTAAGTCACATAACTGCAAAATTATTATTGTTTGTAGGGCACTTATTTTTGTTGTTTTCGTGGATAGGTCAATCTATGAATTTGAGATTCCACAAAATTTCATTTTGTCTGCTTTAATATTATTTTTCATCCCATTACTTACATTTAACCTTCTGGAAAAATAAACATTCCACAAATTTAAGTACCCACGTAAATGTTCTTTTTGACAAAACCACAAAATTTCATGTTCAAGAAATTAAGTTAATTCACAGTACGACTTTTCCCTATTTTCAATACAGTCACAGATTTTTTTAACTTCATTCAAGACAAAGGCTTCTCCAACAAAGATTTGTAACATCATAAAAACAGCTAGCTCCCCAAAACTACTGTAAGTTGTACACTATTGATGTGTATTAAAGTTGTATACTACAACAAGCTTTCTTTGTCAATATGAATGACAGCATGAAGTTTGAGGTTATTTTTCTGGGCGAAACCTTTCCCGCAGACGTTACACACGTGAGGGCGCTCGCCGGTGTGAATTCTCTCATGAATGGTCAGATCGGCTCGGGACCGGATATATCTTCCACAGTATCGGCACTGAAACTTTCCTCGAAACTCCGCCTGGAACTGATGCAGACCTTAAAAAAAGATAATTCAATATTTAAGTTATACTACATACAAAATAAGTTAATGTTGAACTTGGAAGCAAATCATTAATATATAAAAAAATTCATATTATCTAAATAATGAAATAATTCTACATCAAATGATAAAACATTAAAGAGCAACTTGGCATTTAGCCAAGAATTCAAAGACTAAACATATACGCTTGAATACACAAAATATTTGTATTCACATGTACAGTGTATCCACTAATACAAATAAAACATGCATTTCATGAATTATTCACCCTCCAAATAATAATGAAATATCAATATCTGAGGGTAATGGAAATATATTAGCAAAAATATACTAGCAGGTAAAATATCTATTAAATGGCAACAAAGGAAATTGTATGTATATAATCAACATTAAAGTGGTAGAAAGAAATCATCTAGTATTTCAAAAACAGCATCAATGAATTCAAATCATAAGAGAACGTCATTTCAATTAAACAGGTTTATTTTCACAAACAGATATCATGTTCAAGTTATTATATACAACAAAACATCATGATACAATGTCAAATATATAAATCAACAAAATCAAAATTAAATTTTTTTTTAAAAACTTCTCATGAACTACAAATTTAATTCATTTAAAGTCAGTATCAGTTATGTCCTACAAACTTTCATCATTTTATAAAGTAAGCAATGATATTTTATTGTCTTTCAAGCACACTTGTTACAGTCTTCAACTTGACATATTTTACCCCTCAGGTAATAAAGGTCCAGTACTCTAATCACAGTAATCTATCATATCAGTTATCTCCCTTGATTCTATCACACAGCTTACAGCAGCTCGCATGTCACAGATTTATACTACCCTCTCAGGTACACATAAATTACACCTGGGTATTGTTATATACATCCACTGGATGCTTGGATAAATGAACTGAATATTTTTCTACAATATGTTTAAGTAGTATGTACTGAATGTTCCTCAACAATATGTTTAAGTAGTATGTACTGAATGTTCCTCAACTTTATGTTTAATTATTATGTACTGAATGTTCCTCAACTATATGTTTAATTATTATGTACTGAATGTTCCTCAACTATATGTTTAATTATTATGTACTGAATGTTCCTCAACTATATGTTTAATTATTATGTACTGAATGTTCCTCAACAATATGTTTAATTATTATGTACTGAATGTTCCTCAACAATATGTTTAAGGAAGCATGTACTGAATGTTTATCTTCAAGATGTTTAAGTAGTATGCTCTGAATGTTCCTCTACAATATATTTAAGAAGTATGTACTGAATGCTCCTCTACAATATATTTAAGTAGTATGTACTGAATATTCCTCGTCATCATGTTTAAGTAGTATGTAATGAATTTTCTTTTACAAAATGTTTAAGTAGTATGTACTAAATGTTCCTCTACAATATGTTTAAGTAGTATGTACTAAACGTTCTTCTACAATATGTTTAAGTAGTATGTACTGAGTGTTCCTCTACACTATGTTTAAGTGTGTAACACTGTGAGATTTTAAGTTACTTTTGTTTGTGAATCCTTTGTTACAAACTTTACACACAAACGGTTTTTCTCCTGTATGACTTCTTTCATGTATGAGAAGATCAGCCTGTGACCGGATAAACTTCCCACAATATTTACATGGGTATTTTGTCTTTTTTAACTGGGGAACTTGTTGGTGATAGTATTGTTGTTTTTGCGTCTGTTGTTGTTGTTGTTGATAGTGTTGTAGTGTGTCTTGTCCAGTGTTTGCAGGTAAAGCTTGTAGCTGATTCCATATAGGAATAGAACCTGAAAATATGGAAGTAGAGTGTGAAAATCAAATAGATATTTAAATCAACTAAACATTAGTGAAGGATAAACCTAGAAGAAAGCATATAATGTCCCTTTTACATCATCTCAAAAACTCTTGTTTTAATTTGGTTTTATTCTAAATCTGAATGATTTGAGTAGTATAATAATGTACAGGGTTTTCCTCTACAATATGTTTAAGTTAAGTATGTACTGAATGATTTTCTGTACAATATGTTTAAGTAGTATGTACAGGGTTTTCTGCTACAATATGTTTAAGTAGTATGTACAGGGTTTTCCACAACAATACATTTAAGTAGTATGTACTGATTTTTTTTTTCTACAATTTGTTTAAGAAGTATATCCAGGGTTTTCCTCTACAATATGTTTAAGTAGTATGTACAGGGTTTTCCACAACAATACATTTAAAGCTGCACGCCTCCAGATTAGCAAAAATATTTCAATAAAATCAAACCTGAGAAAAATGAACTAAGACTTTAGGAAAAGCATAAAGATTCAAAATTCTGGTAATAATTTACATGTTATGTGTCATTAATGACCGATTTTCAGTATTTATAACTATATTTCTACTGCGTTACTAACGCAGTAAGGGCTATTTCTGCATATTTTGACCTCTTTATGGTAATTTACATGGGTTGAAAGTGCCATTGATAATGTGTAAATTGCATTCTTTTGGTAACTCCACAATATTATACTTTTAAATACATTTTCAAATTTTCATGAAAATTAGTATCAATCTGGAGGCGTGCTGCTTTAAGTAAGTTGTACTGAATTTTTCTTCTACAATTTGTGTAACCAGTAGTTAGACCATACCAAAAACTGTTTAAAAATTTACCGGTATTAATACCGTAAAAAAGTACAGGTATTTTTAACAGTATTTTCAAAATTAAAAGCAAAGAATATAATTTCATATGAATATACAAAGGAAAATGAATAAAATCAAAGATAATTTACATCAATAATATCACAAAAAGAATGCGAAATGGCCGGAAATATCAAGGAAGATCACTCCCGAGTGTTGAGGTAGTGATTTACGAAAACCTTTACTAATTACATGCTGCATAAATTCAAACACTTGATACAACATGATACAACATTTATTGATGTATTATTCTTAAAAACTATAGTTACATATTTTGCTATAAAACATTTCTGCAATTTACATTAAAATATTCAAATTTAATAATATACATGCCCTTGCTGATGTCAACATCATGGTGGGCTCTAGAACAAAGTGTTAATTTAGCTCCTAAAAGATGAAGGTGGAGTTTATATACAATTAGTCAAACTTTCTGCCAGCATTTTGTTGAAACATCTTAGACTGATAATTTAATAATAAAACAAATCAAAGTTTCCTATAGAAATAATGAATATATAATGAATAATGCTGATCAAACACTTGAAAAGTATGGAGTATCGGTATCGATAAAATACTGTATGAAGTTGTTTCACAAGTATCAGTATTGTATCGTATGTTTCCTTAATTAACGATATCCAACCCTAACAGGGTTTCCTCTACAATAAGTTTATGTGGTATGCACTGAATGCTCCTCCACAATATGAAAAGTAGTATGTACTGAATGTTCTTCTACAATATGTTTAAGTAGCATGTACTGAATGTTCCTCTACAATATGTTAAAGTAGTATGAACTGAACGTTCTTCTACTATATGTTTAAGTAGTATGAACTGAACGTTCTTCTACAATATGTTTAAGTAGCATGTACTGAATGTTCTTCTACAATATGTTTAAGTGTGTAACACTGTGAGCTTTTAAGTTACTGTTTTTTGCGAAGCCTTTGTTACAAACTTTACACACAAACGGTTTTTCTCCTGTATGACTTCTTTCATGTATGAGAAGATCAGCGTTTGATCGAATAAATTTCCCACAATATTTACACGGGTATTTCTTATTCGTTTTCTGCGTAACTTGTTGTTGTTGACTATGCTGTTGTTGTTGATAGTAGTGTTGTTCTTGCGTCTGTTGTTGTTGATAATTTTGTAGTGTGTCTTGTCCAGTGTTTGCAGCTACAGCTTGGGCCTGATTCCATATATACATAGTACCTGAAAATATGGAAGTAGAGTAGAAAATTATATTTATATTGAAGCTAATTACACTTTATGGAATTATAAACATGAAGAAAGCATGTTGTGTCCCTTTTACACATTCTCTTTAGCATAAGTGACACAAAACTGTTGTTATAATGTTTTTATTCTAAATCTGCAACTGTACAAATGCCAGAGAATATGTAACAGAACAGATATTTGCAACACTGAATTTTTTTGAATAGAGAAACACTTGGAAACATTGTGAAAAATATTACAAACTTTGTTTCAATAGTGACAGATATAAAATTTATTTATAACTGATTTTATTTCATCTAACAAACCATCCAATAATGAAGATCATGATAATCTTAATATTCGACATGGGATCATTCATTAACAATGTATACACCAATGTGGATTCCACTTGAATATTATGTACAAATTAACAATCCACTAAGATATATCAGTCTGCGCATGCAATACATGCAGTATGATAAAGAAAAACAATCATATTTATTCTATATCCAGATTGACAACAAAACTGCAGTAACTAACATGAAACAAAAATGGACTTACAACAGTATTGCCGTCAACCCTTGTTGAATTATAACATTAAGGTCATCCCATACATCAATAATATTCAGTGTTTAAAATACCAGTAATTTGACATGACAGGATAATATGATAAAGATTTATTTATTAATATTTATCATTTAAATTAACCTCAAATTGGCCTTAGTCTATTTTTGCTTTTTCATTAGACAATATACAGACAGAGAAACACACTAACACACACTTAAGACATGCTTAATTTTTTAAAAAAATACATAAAAAAAATTTCCCCCAAGAGAACAGTAGTGCCTTATCACATGTACAGCATACTAGTATTACCCTTTTCCTTGTTGTACACAGTACACATTGGCAAAAAGAGTATATAAATTTATAATTACAAAAATCATGCCCAGTGTTATATACGGTAATTAAAAAAGAACTCCACTTCCTGTTTATGCAAGAAAGGTACAAGTTAAAGAAAGTTAATATATATATATATAATAGGCACCCAAGAAATTTACAGTGAGTATGTGTAGCCTGTGCTTGCATATTGCAAAACATGGTTCAATAGTAGCTATCATTTAATTGTATTACTTTTGCACTGCCAATAATGCTCACTTTGTTTCTTTTTTTTTCCTTCTTCTAGAAACAGATCATCAATGGGACATGCACCTCTTATTGCTATGAATTCATAATTTTCCAATCTATCAAAATATATTCCCAACTTTGCATAATTTTGTCAAACACACACATTGTCATTTCGATCAAAATTTGTACTTGTAAAAGGTAGAAAACTATTGACTTTGTGCTACCATAGGTCTGTTCTCTAAGAAGTCATCTGTTATAAAAGACCATTTTCAATTGTCTAAAATGATAATTATCTATGAGATTCAAGTTTTAAAACTGTTTCAAAATTCAAAAATCGCCATGTTGAATTCTGCCTTATGCCGTGATACCATGTGTTGTGACAGGTTACAATTGCAATTAATAATACCGTCCATGAACAGGCTCGATCAAACCAAGCCAGAATGCAACATTTTCAGTTTTTCCGTTTTGGGCGATCTTTAGGAATTCCATTTTCCTCCATTTTGAAAAGTTTAAATGTCAATCTTCCATAAGCAATAGTTACATGTATTAAACACGATCAAAATTAATTTTAGAAATTGTCTGGTTTTATATGGACCACAGCATGAGCTTTCAAGTTGCTTTTAGTCGAGCATCCTTTGTTACATACAGGACACACAAAGGGTTTCTCGCCAGTATGAGAACGCTCGTGGATCTCGAGGTCAAACTTGTTCCTTATCAACTTGCCACAATATCTACATGGGTATTTTCCTTTCTTCCCGGATTGCTGGTCAACATATCCTAAATTAACACGCTGATTACTGGTTGCTTGCTGACCTATGTACTGATTACTTTCATTTACTCCAAAGGTAGACATGTCCATACTCCCTGAAAGTAAATTTTAAACATTTTTTAGAAAAAAAATTGTCATGCTATTAGTTTACATTTGTCTAATTATCTGGTAAACACCATTCTAGCCAACATGCCAACATTGAACATGCAGTTCCAAAAAGCATTTATTTGTAAAGATATTACCAAATTTACATTTTGTGCAAATAAAGGGAGGTAATTAGAAATTTATTTTTCTATTAAGTCTATGCCAAATTTTTTCAATATGAAATGAATGCATATATTTTATTGATTACATATAATGCCATTAAACATTTGAAGTACATATTTTACATATTCCTCGATGTTTGAAAATTGTTTTATAAGCATAATTATATACATATATATAATTTCACTTACATTCATTTATATATAATTTCACTTAAGTGTGGTATGCAACCTCAATTACAACATACAGGATTTTTAACGATCAGTTTTATAGAAACTAGATTAGATATATCTTTTTGCAGCATTAGGCAATAAATTGCAGAAAATGTTATCACTATGACTGTATGCAGTGAGTTTTAATGAGAGAATATTGGTTTTATAAATAAATAACTAGGTCGGATAAATTTCATTAACATATCAGTAATTGAATATTATAAGAGTAAAATACAGCTAAGAGTAATAGTATAATGACACAGGTAATCTTTTATGAGATAAACAACTTATAATGTATTATGAAACAATAAAGCTGATCATTTATTTTTAAACATTTTCAATCACTTTTAGTAGACCATGTTGAGAAATTTATTAACAGTGCTATTTTACGTTTGTGCAATGTTCATACGTTTTTTTCATACATTTTTTTGTTGTTGGGTTTTAACTGTACAGGTCATATGGCCACATTTCAACTTTACCTCAGATGCCCCTCATTGCAGTATTTCAAACACGAGCAGGGCATCCGAGTTCTATAAACTTTAGCTAGATAGCTCCTCACATGAAAGTATCCCAGACATGATTCTAAACCAACAGCAGTTAGTTTCTCCAATCAGTTATAACATTATAAGAATAAATTGTATTTAAAATTCATTGACAAATAAACACGTTAAACACAATAACATTTATTTTGCTTCAATTTTTCTCTTTAATTTGTCTTAGTAAATGCCGACACAATGCTGACTGAAACAAAAGATTGAATGAAACAATTAACACATTAATAAATATTTACATCAGTTCATCATTGCAAGTCAGCTCTTATGCTTCTTGTATTATTTTAAAATCTTTAAAGAAAAATCTTTTACTTTAAACCACAGGCGCTAGTCACATAATCAAATATTTTACATAACCGGTCTATATATGTATATAAAGATATTATTATTATAGTATATAGCCCATATAAAACTTTAAAAAGTTTGTTTCAAGCACCTGTGCTTTAAACCAAGGAAAATGATTTTTTTTTTTTAATTTTATCAAAATATAAAAAATTAAGGATTTGTATTACTGAATTTAATGTTTATCAAATGAATGGAATATATTGCCGTGAACATTCTTTAGTTTCACAACACATAAACAGTTTATAAAAAATATATCTAAATGTTGAATAACACAACATTATAATATAATGAATAAAAAATCAATATAAAAACATTTACATGTATTGTCATACACATATCAATGAACATTCTAACACTCTTAAAACTTATAATTCCCATATCAAACAGATAGGACCATCAAGTCAGGCCTATCATGATTATATTCCTATGGATTTGCAATCCTACCGTGTTTTATCCTCAGAATTTATATCTATCTCCTAATTAATCAAAGAAACATTTATGTGCCCCCCTAGCCTATTGAATCTAAAGTACCAGGTAATTTAAACTATTGTCAACAATATAGTGCCAGACCAGCCTGCACAGAACACCTGTGCTATCTAATAATACTGTATAGTGTTGGCAGCTAAATTTCTTTAATTTTGATATTGAAATCCCTTTAACTTAGAATAAACTTTACGGCAAATCCAATATTCAATCAAAAGGAAAAGAAACAGTTAAATTTCAAACACTGCGTCTGACAACAACATTTTCATACATAGTTTTATAATCAAACTTTTTAAAAATCTTTTTCTAATACAAACAAAACATTAAAGAACACTTTCGATCCATATCTGAATTTTTTCCTAGTTTTTTCCCACTTGGAAAACAAGCAGCAAAATTTACTCTTTCAGTTTCAAATGCACAATAGCGTGTCCTTTCATAGAGTTTTTATGGGCAAAACGTTTTCCACACACACCACAAGCATATGGTTTCTCTCCAGTGTGAATGCGCTCATGTATCGTAAGGTCCGACTGGCAACGGTTCGGTTTACCGCAGTATTTACACAACAATTTCGGATTGACTGGTTTAGCCTTCCTGCCAATAGGTGACGACAATGATGTTTCAAAACCAGACTGTGTATACATCATCCCCACATCTGAAACAAGAAATTTCTATATAATAATATATAGTCACCATACATGAAACAACTTTACATTGTCTACTAGTCCCTGCACACAACTTCTACTCTTGTATATGAATGACCTAGATATATGCTCAACAAAGGGTAAATATTAATATTAAGCTCTTGTCTTATGTTTATACAGCTTAATGACTCTACCTGTCTTAACAATTAATATACCAATATCTTTCTTTACTTATGTATAAAACGGCAGAAATTGACAAATATAAGGAACACCAATGCTGCTTGCTCTCTAACCCATACATCACTTATCTATACAAATTATTTGTTCTGTAAGTTTGACAACAATTACTAGTTCATTACTTGTTTCTTTTTTTTTTCAGTTTATTGCATGTATTTAAGTTTATTACTAATTCTCTCAATTAATTTCTTGTACTCGGGTTCATTACTAATTCTTTCAATTATTTTCTGCCCCTCAAGTTCATTTCTTATTCTTTCAGTTCAATTTACTTGTACTCGGGTTAATTACAAATTAATTTTTTTTTCAATTCTTTTCTGGTCCTAAATTCATTACTTATTCTTTAAAGTCATTATTGATTCTTTCAAGTAAATATCAAATCTTTTGTTCTTTCATTACTTATTCTTTCAGTTCATAATTCTTCTTTAAGTTCATTACTAATTCTTTCAATTCATTTCTTGTACTCGGTTTCATTACTAATTTTTCAGTTCATTACTTGTCCTTAAGTTTCTAACTAATTCTTTCAATTCATTTCTTGTACTCGGTTTCATTACTAATTTTTCAGTTCATTACTTGTCCTTAAGTTTCTTACTTATTCTTTCAATTCATTCTTGTACTTGGGTTCATTACTAATTCTTTCAATTATTTTCTGTTCCTTAAGTTCATTACTTATCCTTTAAGTTCATTATTTATTCTTTCAAGTAAATATTATATCTTTTATTCTTTCATTCCTTATTCTTTCAGGTTGTAATTTTGTTAAAAATCATTACTTTTATCTCTAAATATTTTAATAATTCTTCCAATTCAATAGATTTTTTTTTGGTTAACAGCTTTTTGAAGATGGAAGTATATTATACTGTCTTAAATGAAATTGTTTGAAGCATCAGATCATTCGACCATGATTTTTATGTCAAGTATCCCCAACATTAAAGCTGCTGCAGGTCAACATTGTACCCAATCATTCAAGGAATTTACAATCATTATACAATAATAACACTGAAAAGGGACTCTTTTAATGTTTTATTCTTCACTTCTATAACAAAGCACATGACAATAAATACACCACACAACACAAATCTTCAAATTAAATGTTCAAAATGAGAACAATCTTCGTTACTTTAACACAATTTTCAATAACTTGGCTTTAAGGTTTTACTTGGCAAGTTGTTTTATATAACAACTTCCACACAAACTCAATGGAGTAGATCAAATTGCAAATTTTTCAAACATATAAATTATGATTCTTCCTAACCAGTGACAATACAAATATTTGATCATTTACATAATGTTCTGATACTTGTTAAAATAACACCTTGTGAAAGATAGATCGAAATTACTAAAATATGGTATTTGAGATAGATGCAACAGGGGAAGAAAATTGGGGAAAATTGATTCCATGGTAAGATAAATGTAGGGGAACCAGGAAAACTGGAGGGGGATATATTTCATGAGAAGATAACTGGGAGAAATAGATTACATGGAAAAATCAATGGGGAAAAATATATGTTGTGGGAAAAAATGATTCCATAGAAAAACAACTTGAGGAAAACAGATATATCACAATAATTATTGTTGGTTTGTAAATCAAAGAAGTTACAGAGCCACTGGTAGAATTTAATTTTTTTTTAGATTGTATCAACTTGATGGGGTGATAACTGGAGAAAGTGAAAGCTGCAGTTTATATTAGGAAGGATTATGGCCCTTGTACTGGTATGTGAGTGCAGTATGATCCCTTTCATACATCTTTAACTTAGTGCAGTAATGGGTTAAGTCCTTCTAGATTTAATAGTAGTTAACCAGTTATTGCACTAAGGTGATGTCATGTGGAATGATTAAATATATATTGCTAAATAGCTGAACCAGACAAATTTTCCATGCATAACTACTGAGAATAAGTAACTTTCCAATATCTTGGCTTTTGCCTTTTTAATAGTAAGTATGTTAATATGAAAGCCATTTAGTACATGTAGAATTTCAGCAATATCAAAATGACCTAAAATAAAAAATGTTTTTACCATTATTATGGAACATGTTTTTTTTTCATACTTCATGTCATTCAAAATTTTCCTTCCTCATGTGAACAATAGAATGAGATTTAAGGTTACTCTTGTGAGCAAATCTTTTATTACATATAGAACATGCAAACGGCTTTTCTCCGGTATGTATTCTCTCATGTAGACGTAATGCTGCCGGCGTGGGTAAACATTTCCCGCAAAAATTACACTGATGTTTCCGTGGTGAACTTGACTCAAATTCTACAGATGGACTTCCAAAAGTTGTATAATCAATGTATCCAGCTGAAAAATAAAAGAAAGAAAACATTGTGAGAGAATATATCTTAATTTCTGCTTTATAACTTATCTATATGGTCTATAAACTAACAATCTGGGTTAAAGTATTAACTGTGTAAAATGTATCCAATTCTTCTTATCAAAATTTTAGTATCATACAAGTTCAAAGGTCAATGGTACAATATTTTCTTTTTTAAACTTTTTTTGACAAAGAAAAGGAAAACAATTTACAAGGTTAGCTAACCTTGAAAGCAACAATAATAACAAGATCATTATAAACATTAACATTACCTTTTATTTAAATTTACTAAAATCAAATACAAAACTTTCATTACATAATAATACAGCATTTAATAATAATATTGTTTAATAACCTTAAATTAATGTAAATAGACATATATAAAATGCTAGAAAATATGACAAAAGAAATAATAAAATTTTGTAACAGCTGGAATTTTGTATTTAGAAAACTTGCTACATTTATTTGTTTTGATAATTGTTCATTCCAGAGATTTGAATAACTATTGAATTAAAAGACAATAAATCATTTCCAAGAGTTGTGCTTTCACATTATTTTGCACATTCTTACTAGTGGTAACTCAGATTCTAACCAATGTTGATATAAAAGTAATGTTATTCATGTTTAATGTTCCTTAAGCTCACTGTATTTGCATTTTGTTAAGACAGAAACTTTTTGTTTAACTTGCATGTTGTTTATATATACACAAGTTAGTTTTCATTTTCTCAACACTTTCCTTTTTCACATTTACAACACATTTTCATTTCCATTCTATTTTCCATGAAACACAACCCTTATTGAGCTGAAATTTTTTATTTCATTCATGAATTCGAACAATTTGGTATGAATAATTACACATTAAATTTCATTTTAATGATCATGGATGAGGTCATCATTTTTATTTTGCTTGGGTACATTTCCCTCAGTAAACAGCACTATAGGGTTATCCACAATATTTTTGTTGTGTAGAGTATATTTCCTTTTGTACCAAAAACTGCACAATTTCATCATGTTATTTTGGCATGTACATTTCCCTATGAACATAAACTTCAATTTCATTTTAATGATCATGGATGAGATCATCATTTTTATTTTGCTTGGGTACATTTCCCTCAGTACACAGCACTATAAGGTTATCCACAATATTTTGCTGTGTAGTATATTTCCTTATGTACAAAAACTGCACATTTCATCATGTTATTTTGGCATGTACATTTCCCTATGTACATAAACTTCACATTTCATCATGTTATTTTGGCATGTACATTTCCCTATGTACAGTACCTGCACAATTCATCATGTTATTTTGGCATTCCTATGTACAGAAACTTCACATTTTATCATGTTATTTTGGCATGTACATTTCCCAGGACCTGCACATTTCATCATGTTATTTTGGCATGTACATTTCCCAGTACCTGCACATTTCATCATGTTATTTTGGCGTGTACATTTCCCTATGTACAGAAACTTCACAATTTATCATGTTATTTTGGCATGTACATTTCCCTATGTACAGTACCTGCATGTTTAGTCATGTTACTTTTGTGTGTAAAACCTTTGTGACACACTGGACATATAAAAGGTTTCTCTCCGGTATGCATTCTCTCGTGGATCTTGAGGGCCCAGTTAGAGGTCTGTATCTTCCCACAATATCTACACCTATGTTTGAGCAAACTTTGGATTGTAATACCACTTGACTGTTCAGTGTCATCTACGACGTCACCATGGAAATCATTCACACTGCTTCCAGACACTGACCCTGTAACATACAGAGAAATAAAAGTTTTATTCCCAGTTTCAAACTTTTAATCAAACACACAGTTAAACCTAGTAACTTGGGGTTCTAGTTTTGGTCCAGTGAACAATTGAACAACACCAACAGCTTTTTATTTTAATTTTTTTATTTACACGAAATAAGCAACAAAATTTTAACAATCACTTTTGTGTTCATTTCAAAAATGGGAGATTATACTTATGACAGCTTTGAGAATTAATAGCATGTGACCATTTGAAATGCAAAAATACATTTAGTAAAAGCTTTTAACAAGTAACAGTTTATATACAGCTTCATATAGAACAGTTAGCATAACTTAAAGGACCCTGAAACTATGTGAATGTATGTATTGTTGCATGCAGACTTGACTTAATGGCAAAAAATGGTAAAGTTCTTATAACAGTATTAAGTAGCAGTCAAAAACCTCCTAAAGTAGGACACCCAATCATTGAAAATCTCTCAAAGAAGGACAATCAATCATAGATAACTTCTTAAAAGAGAACACAAAATCATAGAAAATCTCTAAAAGGACATCTTATCATAGACAACTTCTTAAAGGATGGCATCAAATCATAGGAAATGTCTTATTAATCTTAAAGAAGAACACACAATCATAGAAAATCTCTAAAAGGAGAACACCCAATCATAGAAAATCTCTAAAAGGAGAACACCCAATCATAGAAAATCTCTAAAAGGAGGACACCCAATCATAGAAAATCTCTAAAAGGAGAACACCCAATCATAGAAAATCTCTAAAAGAAGAACACCCAATCATAGAAAATCTCTAAAAGGAGAACACCCAATCATAGAAAATCATTCAAAGGACACTCAATCATAATTGAATAAATGAAATTTCCGGCATGGGTAAATCACACGGAAACGCCAGTCTGCTATGCAAGAATAGAAAATCTCTAAAAGAAGAACACCCAATCATAGAAAAAGTACTCAAAGAACAAACATGTAAAATCAATATCATAATCAATCTGAGGGAAGGCTCAATGGGTATAAAAGGATCCATTGGTTTTAATTTCAAATAAATACTAAAACATTCAAATTTCTCAACATTTTAAACTTCAAATTTGCTTTAGGTGGGGTGTTATTTTAAAACTTAAATTATTTCAGTGTTACAACTTATGTCACTTTCACCAGTATAAAATCAAATAATGATGAGAATCATGAAACAACTTCTATAATTACTCCAGGCACCTGTTTTACACAAATGGCAACAATCAAATGATATTTAAATATGTCAAATCACAAATCTTCAGCATTGTGAGAATTATGGCAAGTTGCCCTATATTTTTACCTTGAACTTTCACCAGTCCTCTAAGTTTTTCATTCATCCATACACTTGGCATAGTATTTTTATTAAATAAACTTTTGTTTATATAATTTACATTCCACCTTAAACTTTGGCCTTCCAATTACAATCCTCCTTCAACATTGACCTATTATTTTACACATGACATGAAATCAAATTATCACACAATACTGAATTACAAGTCATGTATTAGAAAATCTGCCTTGAACTTTCATCAATCCTGAACATTTTAGATGTTCACTGTTGAAAGATGAATGGCACATCCATAATATATTCTTCATAAATTTTTATTTACAGTGGCAATGTTGATGTAACAGCAAGTTGACTCGGACATGCCATTAATATATTCTTCATTCTCCAAAATTTTGATTATATTGTTAGGAGCACACTGTACAAATAAATGTATTAAAAATTGGTGTGTGCTTTTGACTCATGAGTTTTGAGGTGTGATTTTTGTCGGAACTTTTGGCCACACACTGAACACGAGTATGGTTTTTCTCCAGTATGTATACGTTCATGACGCATTAGTGCCCACTTAGTTGGCTGAACTTTACTGCAGTATCTACAGCGATGAAACTGAACATTCATCATCTCTATCTCCATGGAAACATTTCTTGTTTGACCTTGACCTGAAAATAATTAATCAAAACTATAGCAAATTATTACTCCCTGGTTCAAAACATCAAACCATCCTCCAACTAGAGTTCAAAACTATAGTTTTAGTAATTTTCTCAACAATTTCACTACAACAATGATAAATTTAAGCTCTATATTGAACTTTGACCTCTACACAAAGCTCTGCCCAGTGAACTATGGTAACAAAATATCCTTTCTGTGAATAAAATATCAACAGAGCAAAATCATTTCAACACAGTGATTATACTTATAATGTTCATTTAATGGAAGTTTTTACAAAATACACATAATTTTTATATACAACATATAGTGAAAGCTAAATGCCTGTAATTAACAACACATATCAAAAGTTATATACATTTACCAACACATATCAAAACTAACGATTCCTTACAAATAAGACATAAACTTTCATTGATGTAATACATGGGTGCAAGTTAAAAATTTTGAAAAACCTGAAGTATTTGTTTGGGGTGGGTCCAGGGCCCCCGGAAGCTCCTGCATTATAGCACATTTGAAGGCCTAAAATGCAATTCCCTTGAATGATTACATGCCAGATAACATACATACTGTAGTATAGTATTTTCACTTAAATATTGCTCACATAATTATTTTCTTCTTTTCTCTCTCTTTTTCTTAATTATATAAACAAAAACATTTCAACATAAAAAGAAATGTGCATTCATATATTGTTTCCACTATTTAATATTGTGGTTCCAACAGTAAAGAGTGATAAAACAAACCAATATATAAATAAATTGAAAATTGAGTTGATTTGTACCGAGTTTAAGTTTTAATTAGGGCTGAGCTGACCCTGATTCCATACAAACAATAAATTGTTTTCAAAAAAGATAATTAAAACAAGCCTGGTTATGTTTCACAGTAAGTTTGTTTTTCATATGGTTTGGATCGTCTGCGTGCATTTAATTCTTTTTTTCCCGCTGGATCCATACTTGATGGATTTTCCACATACAGTGCAGAAAGCTACGCCGGGAACATCTGGCTTTTCCAGCCAGTTTTCGTAGTTATCCCCGTTTCGATCACATACAGACAACCATTCCCATCTCCATTTATTTTTTGAGGTCTTCTCGATATCTTTTGTATTAAATCCTTCGTGTAGAAACTTCATTTTGACTAACAAATTGTACAATTACTTTCTGTTTACATATTACTCTGTAGCCGAATCGGTAACGAAGCCGCTTTTTCATTGGATGATTATAATTAGCGCGCCAATCTAAATCATTGTAATAAATTCACGGATAAAATAGCATGCCGGGATTAATAATACATGTTTTCGTAAACATCTCGTATATCTTCGGAAACTATCGGCAGTTTCCGCGAAAGTTTACTATTGACACTTCGAGAACAACCGTGAGCATCCGTATGTTTTATAGTGTTCTCGATTATGAACTTCTAATCGGTGGTACTTCTCAGTTTGAAAGAGTAGACCCGCACCATACCCCTCCAAATATCTCAACCGATTAACGTGATTTGCAAAAATGATCCCTCCGGCACGTGAAAAACCGGAACTTCCGGCACATGCCGGAAAACTTGCACCCATGGTAATAACAAAATTTATCAGGAATTATACAACTTCCTCACATACCAATGACTTTTCATTTTCTTCTATAACACACCAATATTCTAATCACTAGTTTCACAAGAATTATGTCATATTATATAATTGTATAGAACTTCATATTTCCCTAAACAGAACACAAGTAATGAACAGTTAATTATTAAAATAACATAACTGACTTAATGCCAACATGATAATGCATTTCTGGCCGACCATATATGGCAATATTTTTTGCCACGTTTTTCTGAATGGATAAGTAACTGTCAAACAAATTCTTGATTTTTTAGGAATGGGTCTAAGTATGCCAAATTTGGAACATTTTTAATCATGAAATTCAACAAATTAAGAAAACAGTCAAACATTGACTTTAAATTGTCATTTGAAAATTTTTGGAAACTGTAACTTTTTCAAATTTTGTAGACCTGGTCGATTTATCAGACCTGTCTCAAAAAGCTCATTAACAATGCCATGGTTTGATATAATTAGACTAGATACTAGTAGTTATGACATTTGAATGTTTTACTCTTCATAAATGAAGTAAAAGATTAGCGCCGTAGAACAATTTCAAAATATCTTGTTGAAGTAAATCACATAATTAAAACTACACAAGTCAATTATTAGTTACATCCGGTAAAACACTTATAACACAAAACTGAGTTATCATTCTTTTTAGAAAATTTCCTTTTAAATTATCATTCTGTCCCCCATGTTACCCAAAAGTAAAACAGTATAGTGTATAAAACAGTGTAAAATAGTTTGTATAACAGCATTGTTCTGACTTTTTGTCTTCATTCAACGAAACACTGTCATATGAACAGTCATGTGGGATTTCAAATTATTTTTCTGTGCAAATGCTTTGTGGCAAACTTCGCAAACAAACGGCTTAACGCCAGTGTGAATTCGACGATGGATTTCCATCTGGGATTTAAACTTGTACTGAATGCCGCAATCAGGACATCTAAACCCGTCACGTTTCGTTGGAATCTCTTCTTGTAGACCTGCTATTGTATACGAGGTACTGTCTGAAATTACGAGAAGAAAATAATCTTATTACATCATAAAGTTTGTACACTTCTTCATTAATCTGTACTTATTTAGGTTTGTGATCAACAAGCTATATAAACGTGATACATATATATGTTATATTATCTCTACACTAACAACTGACCATGCGGCAAACTTAAATGCATAAATAGATACTTTTAAAATCAAAAAACTTAACAACATCAAAAAAAAATACTTAAGGAATTATATTTATACTTTTAACAACAAGAACTGTCGGAGGACAGTAACGCTCGACTATTCGAAAATTTGTCACAAGGGTGTTTCATTGAGTATAATAATGCTTACCTATATGAATACATAAAATTGTCCGAAAAGGTACAAACTCTTCAAGTTTCAATACATTCCCTTCAGTAGTTATGGAGAATATCAAGCTTACATGCCAAAAACTTAACCAAGAATTCATGAGTCGAAAAAAGGGGCATAATTATGCAAAAAAAGCAAATCAGAGTAATTGGGACTTGTACCAATCATCTTAGATAATCACAGAGACCAAGTGGTGTGAAGTTTCATTCAATTTCCCTTCAGTAGTTTTAATGGAGATACCAGCTTACACGCAAAAACTTAACCAAAGAATTTCTAAGTCGAAAAAAGGGGCATAATTATGTTTAAAAAGCAAATTAGAGTTATGGGACCTTGTGCCAATCATCTTAGATAATCACGAGAGAACAAGTGTGTGAAGTTTCATTCAATTCCCTTCAGTAGTTATGGAGATACAGCTTACATGCAAAAACTTAACCAAGAATTTCTAAGTCGAAAAAGGGGGCATAATTATGCAAAAAAAAAAGCAAATCAGAGTTATGGGACTTGTGCCAATCATCTTAAATAATCACAGTGAACAAGTGTGTGAAGTTTCAATCAATTCCCTTCAGTAGTTTATGGAGATACCAGCTTACATGCAAAAACTTAACCAAGAATTTCTAAGTCGAAAAAGGGGCATAATTATGAAAAAAAGCAAAATCAGAAGAGTTATGGGACTTGTGCCAATCATCTAAGATAATCACAGAGAACAAGTGTGTGAAGTTTCAATCCATTCCCTTCAGTAGTTATGGAGATACCAGCTTACATACAAAAACTTAACCAAGAATTTCTAAGTCGAAAAAAGGGGCACAATTATGTAAAAAAAGCAAATCAGAGTTATGGGACTTGTGCTAATCATCTTTATATAATCACAGAGAACAAGTGTGTGAAGTTTTCATTGTCAATTCCCTTCAGTAGTTATGGAGATACCAGCTTTTACATACAAAAACTTAACCAAGAATTTCTAAGTCGAAAAAGGGGCATAATTATGAAAAAAAGCAAATCAGAGTATGGGACTTGTACCAATTCATCTTAGATAATCACAGAGAACAAGTGTGTGAAGTTTCAATCAATTCCCTTTCAGTAGTTATGGAGATACCAGCTTACATGCAAAAAACTTAACCAAGAATTTCTAAGTCGGAAAAAAGGGGCATAATTATGAAAAAAAAGCAAATCATAGTTATGGGACTTGTGCCAATCATCTTAGATAATCACAGAGAACAAGTGTGTGAAGTTTCATTCAATTCCCTTCAGTAGTTATGGAGATACCAGCTTACACGCAAAACTTAACCAAGGAATTTCTAAGTCGAAAAAAGGGGCATAATTATGAAAAAAAGGGCAAATCAGAGGGTTATGGGACTTGTGCCAATCATCTTAAATAATCACAGTGAACAAGTGTGTGAAGTTTCAATCAATTCCCTTCAGTAGTTATGGAGATACCAAGCTTACATGCAAAAAAAACTTAACCAAAAGAATTTCTAAGATCGAAAAAGGGGCATAAATTATGTAAAAAAGCAAATCAGAGTTATGGGACTTGTGCCAATTATCTTAGATAATCACAGAGAACAAGTGTGTGAAGTTTCAATCCATTCCCTTCCAGTAGTTATGGAGATACCAGCTTTACACGCAAAAACTTAACCAAGAATTTCTAAGTCGAAAAAGGGGCACAATTTATGTAAAAAAGCAAATCAGAGTTATGGGACTTGTGCTAATCATCTTATATAATCACAGAGAACAAGTGTGTGAAGTTTCAATCAATTCCCTTCAGTAGTTATGGAGATACCAGCTTACATACAAAAACTTAACCAAGAATTTCTAAGTCGAAAAAGGGGCATAATTATGAAAAAAAAAGCAAACCAGAGTTATGGGATTTATGCCAATCATCTTAGATAATCACAGAGAACAAGTGTGTGAAGTTTCAATCCATTCCCTTCAGTAGTTAAGGAGATACTAGCTTACATACAAAAACTTAACCAAGAATTTCTAAGTTGAAAAAGGGGCATAATTATGAAAAAAAGCAAATCAGAGTTATGGGACTTGTGCCAATCATCTTAGATAATCACAGAGAACAAGTGTGTGAAGTTTCAATCCATTCCCTTCAGTAGTTAAGGAGATACTAGCTTACATACAAAAACTTAACCAAGAATTTTCTAAGTCGAAAAAGGGGCATTATTATGAAAAAAAGCAAATCAGAGTTATGGGACTTGTGCCAATCATCTTAGATAATCACAGAGAACAAGTGTGTGAAGTTTCAATCCATTCCCTTCAGTAGTTATAGAGATACCAGCTTACATACAAAAACTTAACCACAGGGACGCCGACGCCGACGCCGACGCCGACGCCGACAAATGGGTGACTGCATTAGCTCGATTATTCTGCGAATAGTCGAGCTAAAAATATAAAAATATCACCAGTATCTAATCTACACGCAATTAAACATAAATGCTTGTGTCCTGAAAATATTCAACCATTTCTTAATACAAGTAAAAAACAAACAACAACAATTTCTGAATATTAGTAAAAACGAACAGCAACAACAAGTTGTCTATCTTTATTCATCCAGTAATTTACAATGATAAGCAGCATAAAAATGCATAATTACAAAAAATTTAGTAGTTCTATACATTGTCAATATTATACATTTCTATCTTCATTGTGCAGTTATTTAAGGAAATCTTACAATGTTCCTATATAATCATTTATTTCCTTTATTGTGTAACATAACATGTCTTTTCATGTCGTACTTTCTTTTAAATCCCCGATTACAGATCGGACAGTTGAACGGTTTTTCTCCCGTGTGTACCCGCATATGTACAACAAGGTGGGAAAGCGTGCTAACTTGTAGTCCACACACTTTACAAGCCATCGGGACTTTCTGAGAAGAAAAGTTTTTCCTAGAACTGGATGTGATTGGCCTCATAATGTGATGTCTCGTTTCTGGATAAACAGGACTTGATGTAGAATGTAAATCATATAAATCTGGGTCATCTTTAATTTCCTGCTTACAACCTGTAATTAAAACAATGTGTCAGTTTAATGAATCTGCGATCAAGCTTTGCTGTAAAATATATCCTTTAGTGCAATTTTAAAACATGTAAGACAGTTTGTATATTTAGGCCCCATATCACCAAGCATTACCCCCATCTCCTAAATCCTAGCTGACTAGATTAAAACTATGTTAGTACAGAGGACAAGAGAGCAAAAATTAACAGACATTACACAAGTTAAAACATTCAACACTTGTAAATGTGTCAATAATTTCCGAGGCATTTTTTGCTTTCTTCTTTAATCATATGATGTATTTTCACAAGCTTAACGTCTACGCCTTTTGTATCAGCACTGCCCTTGTATGCACAGGATCCTTTCTTTTTCATTGTTGCCATGGAAATCTGGAAACTGAAAAATCTTCAAAAATCAAACAATGATTTCCAAGCAATAAAATGTAACTATTGTTATTGAAGTTTCTCAAACTATAAACAATTGGTCATCATGGTGAAACTACTTTCAGTCATTTTCAAAATTATAAGATACATGGTATCAGTGTGATCACCCTAATAAACATGCTATTAAAACTTGAATGACAATGTTACGTACCACTTTAGAAAAATATACATTACACCCCTGGTATTTATAAGGTAATAGGTAAGTACGGAAAGAACCATCTCTTGTTTTTATATCATAGAAAACAATTCCTTGAAGGTATTGCTCAGATCCATCCCTAGAAGCTACCCACAGATCAATCCATTATGGTGCGATTACCACACAGCAAAATCCCTTGTGGTTTGATTACCAAACAGCAAAATCCCTTGTGGTTTGATTACCACACAGCAAAATCCCTTGTGGTGCGATAACCACACAGCAAAATCCCTTGTGGTACGATTACCAAACAGCAAAATCCCTTGTGGTTTGATTACCAAACAGCAAAATCCCTTGTGGTTTGATTACCAAACAGCAAAATCCCTTGTGGTTTGATTACCACACAAGCAAAATCCCTTGTGGGTATTTGATTACCCAACAGCAAAAATCCCCTTGTGGTTTGATTACCCACACAGCAAAATCCCTTGTGGTTTGATTACCAAACAGCAAAATCCCTTGTGGTTTGATTACCACACAGCAAAATCCCTTGTGGTTTGATTACCAAACAGCAAAATCCCTTGTGGTTTGATTACCACACAGCAAAATCCCTTGTGGTTTGATTACCAAACAGCAAAATCCCTTGTGGTTTGAAAACCACACAGAACAATCCCTTGAGGTTTGGTTACCACAAACAGTAGTCTCTCAATCCCTTGTGGTTACATTACCACACAGAAAATTACAGTCTGGTTTGATTACCCCAGAGAACAAACCTTTAAATTGTGGTTGGAATTTTAGCCAAACTGAATAAAATTAGGATTCTTTTAGGAATTTAGGGACGATTACCACATAGAAAAATCCTTCGAAGTTTGATTACCACAAAGAACAATCTATTGTGGTTTGATTACCAAAAAGAACCTCTTAGAAGTTTAAATTTTCCCACCCAGAATATACCTTTGTTTTTTTTGATTACCAAAATATGAAAAATTCCCTTTTCTTTGGATTACAGAAAAAAATCTAATGTTACCCTACAGAAAACTCCATGGGCCTTCCCTTTTCAGTTTTTTCCCCAGAACAAAAACTCTTGCAGTTGCCCCAAAATAAAATCTCTTGGGGGTTCCACAAAAGAACAATATATTGCAGTTAACACAAAGGACAATCTCTTGCAGTTGCCACACAGAACAATCTCTTGCGGTTGCCACACAGAACAATATATTGCAGTTACCACACAGAACAATATATTGCAGTTGCCACACAGAACAATCACTTGCAGCTACCACACAGAACAATATATTGCAGCTACCACAAAGAACAATCTCTTGCAGTTGCCACACAGAACAATCTCTTGCAGTTGCCACACAGAACAATCACTTGCAGCTACCACACAGAACTATCACTTGTGGTGCCAACTTACCAAAAAGAACAAGCCCTATAATGAATCATTTAGTGCCATACATTGCAGTTACCACATACAGAACAATCCCCTGTGAGAACAATACAGAACAGTCCTTTGAAGTTATCACGCCCCATTGCACCTCCATCTTTTATGATGTTTTTAACATGCAACTGTTTGCCTTTTTTCTTACCACACAGTACTGCAACTCACAAGTACCATAAAGTTTTTCAATTCAAATTACGGTATTTCCTAGAAATTTGCAATGAATGGCATAAAACCCAGTATAACTATAAACAAGTTTTCTTATTTTAACTAATGTTCCTTCTTCAATATCACTGCATTTTCCCCTTAAATCTTTTTCCCCCTTTTGAATTCCCATTATATTTTTAAACAAAAGAAAAGAAATTTCCCCAAAAAAACTTATTCGGGGTAATAAATCATTTCCATTATTTTAAATTTTTCTAAAAACCCATCCAATCAAAATAAACAAAACAAAAATTTCCCATATTGGGTCCCCCAAGGGGTTTTGCCATAACATTTTTTTTCCCAATTTTTGGAAAGTGTTTTTTTAAAAATTGTTTTGAATTTAAAAGTCATTCCTTTTTGTCAGGGACCGCCCCGGGGGCCAAAATTTTGCAGTGCCCTTTGGAAACCTATAAAACCCAAATGTTTGTGGCAAAAGTATCATCAAAAAAAATCATTAAGGATATATTTTTCATTTCGCTTAAATTTACAAAACCAAATTTAAAATTACATTTTTAATAGAATGAAATACCTAAAGCTGGGGGGTTTTTTTGGGAAATTTATTCTACAGTGTATATTTTGCAGCCATATTTAATTACATGCCAATTTGACACAGGATATTCACTGACCTTTAAATAAGTAGGAAATTCCTACTCATCATTCCAAACTAGAAGTTTTTTTTTTCAAATAACCATATAAAAATATATTCAACAAAGACTTGGACACATTTACTATAAACTTATTAGCCCCACTTCCAAAAATGTTGATGTATTTATCAAGACAAGCTTATACTATTGATTTACACATGATTTTCCAGTTTCTATGATGAATTACTCTATAAGGTATATTACTTATCAGATTATTATGTAGATTACCCCGAGTTGAACCACATAGCCAGTTAGTCTATACACTGACTGAACAACTTCCTCACATGCAAAATATTCTGATGTCACATAGCAGGTAGTTTACTTACAGGCGTAATTCTTGGTGTGTCTGTTATCATTTTAGTAGTCTTTTGTGATTACCAGAACCACAGACGGCACTTTGCATCGCAGTTTAAAATCAAAAAACCCTATGGAAGCCGGGGTTTGGGGGGGGGGGAACATTTTATTTCTAAAAGAAACCCTTTTATAAATTCTTTCCACTACGGGCCGGGGCCAGTTTTGTTTGATACGAGGGTTTTTAAAACTTTTTTTTTGTTTTTTCTAAAAACTTTAATTTTAGATTTAAGTTTTTGGGAAATCTTGAAAAATTTTAAACTGATCCCATTAAAAAAAAAGGGAAGGGAGCTGTAGTGGGACAGAAAGCTGACATAAAATGAAAAAAAATTTAAAAGTCAAAAAAGATTTTTTCTGTAAAAAACCATGGGGCCAAATTGATTCGGGGCCCAGCCCTATGTAAGAGAAAATAGCCTTGGCAGTGGCCTCCTTTTTTTTTTTTAAATTTTAAGTGTGTAAAAGTTTAAAACCATTCGCGGGCCTTTAGTCCCAAACCCCTGCACACAAAATTTAACAGAAGTGTGAAGCGATGCCGACATGACACCAACACTTCGGTGATACACAAATAGCTTCTCCATATTCATTTTTTCTTCTTTTTTTTTTTTTTTTTTTTTTTTTCGCATAGTAATAAAAATGGGATTAATTGTACAGAATTGCACATAGCCCCTTTAAAGATAAACATTAAGAAATGAACAGCTTTAAAACACCTTTCACTTCAAACTTTATCAACCTTGGGTGGTATTTTACTACAACTTATCACCAAACAGCTTATGTCATACAATACATATGTCATAATTCTGCTATTACTAACTGTACTCACAGTTTATCAGAAGATAGGTCAATAATAATATAGTTTCCTATGAAACCAAGGGGGAATAACTCCTCCAAGAGATCATGATCATATTGTAAAATTATCTGCAGGGTTATATATATAGGTAATGCTGCTGTTCATCTGTTTATCATAACTAAGTTCATTAAGGTCATATGTTCACATGGTTATATAAATCAAATTCATTTCACTACCACATGTATATGAAGTTATTAAAGATAAAACAGCTTTCTCCGCAACAACAATAAAAATTTTATATATAACTGTTTTAGGAGATACTAGTGCGGACCAAAAATGGTCATAATAAAAATCAAAGTACATCAAATACCTCAACATATTTAAACACAAAAATATTCAAAATCTAAAGTGTATTTAATAGTAGAAACATCAAAACATAATGTATTACCATCCTTAAGTCATATTTTCAAATGTGTCTTAGTTTTTTGAATATCAATCCTCATTTTCAATTTCTCTTTTTAAACAAACTGACCTTATTCCAAAATTGCTTTTAAAGTATTGGTCCTTGAATTAAGGTTTTTGTAAGGGTAAAGGTGTTAGAATTGAAGTTTGAATATTAATTTTTATGTTGGATATACAATAAACAAATAACACATATTTTAAGTTTTGATGTTTCTATCAACTTTAAAAATTATCAAACAAATAAAACCAAGATACAAAACAGGTTATTTGGAATGCTGGGAGGAAAATTTTTGTCATTTGTACACTTTATACCAAAAGAAATTAAATCACAGGTAATCTACTAAAAACCCATCAAATGTTTTTCTTTTAAGTGCAACCAAATAAATAGTAAAAATGTACAATAGAAAATAGCATTTAAATTTCAAACTTTTAAAACTACTGTATTCAAGGGAATTTTTCAGTCTTTGTCCATCATAAAAAACCAAGTTTCCTATGTACATATGTTATTGTCTTACCACAAATAAATACCAGAATCATATATAATCAATACATACTAGCTAGCATTAAAATTTTTTTAAATAACTTGTATACCAATGTCTTCTCTCAAATACCTGTTTAACTTGACCTGTCATTTATTATAAACATGAAGTGTCACATTTCGTGTCAAAGTGGTGTCACCCCGGTGTCTGGGCCCACCCTCTTTTGACAGGAATTTTTACTACATAAAACTTCTCTGGTTTATTTGTATCCATATAAGAAGCCCAGATTATTCAGTAATTAATTTATCATTTAAGTAATTAATTGATTAATCAATTAATTAAACTTAATTAAAGGCAGATTACAGTGTTTGTAGATCTGACATGGGAAATATAGGTCTACTAAATCATTGTTTGAGAAATAAATTCAGATTCCTATAACAACAAAACATGTGAATCTATTTTCACATAATTCAAAGTAACCCAGCAATACTGTTATTAATTTTAAAATTTCTTGTCTATATTAAGAAAGTAGAAAGTAGCAGAATTTATAGTACCATGACATGAAGATATTGTACAAAAATTGCACACATATCTAAAACTTTATAAAGATTTTTGACAGGTTTTATGACCTATAGATGTAAAGTGGTTGTTTGCATAATTCTAAATAACTTGAGCTGCTCCATGTGGCCTATATCTCAAACATCACTATATTTTATACAGTCATAAAACCTGTCATGAATCTTTATAACAAAATTTATAATACAGCAAACTTAAGTTTATTTGAGAAAAAATAATGAAATTACTTTATAAATTGACAGCAATGTACATAGTTTACATAAAACATAGGGATTATCCAATGAGAAGTGATGTTAAGTTCACTTACAAATATGCAGTATTATAAATAACTTATATATATGATATCTGAGTGAACAAAGATGAAGAAAGCCCCTGACATATTTCAGCACTGTATTGTGACCTGACAACCATTCTCCAGCTTGAACTTTATCTGACAATCTCATCCTAGAGTTCTACCTTGAACTTTATCTGACAATCTCATGCTAGAGTTCTACCTTGAACTTTATCTGACAATCTCATGCTAGATTCTACCTTGAACTTTATCTGACAATCTCATGCTAGAGTTCTACCTTGAACTTTATCTGACAATCTCATCCTAGAGTTCTACCTTGAACTTTATCTGACAATCTCAAGCCAGAGTTCTACCTTGAACTTTATCTGACAATCTCATGCTAGAGTTCTACCTTGAACTTTAACTGACAATCTCAAGCCAGAGTTCTACCTTGAACATTTACTGACAGTCTCATGCTAGAGTTCTACCTTGAACTTTATCTGACAATCCATGCTACAGTTCTACCGTTGGAACTTTAATCTTACAATCTCATGCTAGAGTTCTACCTGAACTTTAACTGACAATCTCAAGCCAGAGTTCTACCTTGAACATTTACTGACAGTCTCATGCTAGAGTTCTACCTTGAACTTTATCTGACAATCTCATGCTAGATTTCTACCCTGAACTTTATAGATCTGACAATTTCATTTCATCCTAGAGCTCTATCACAGAAAAAAATGACAAAATTTGAGTATGTGTGGCAAACGTCCAATTTGGAACTGCAAATATAATTCTAACATGATGATAAAGGACCAATACAGAAAACCAAACAGTAATAACTGTGAATATTTTACCCTCAGTCAAATGAATGGGTGCCTAAAAATGTTGAAGTAGAGAACTAGCTATATCAACAAACTGTAGTAAATCTAGCAAATTTATGGGAAATTTCATGTGGGATGTCACTATAGATAAGTGACATGACAATGGTGTCATCTTGAGTGGGACTTGTAACATGATGATGGTGTCATCATGAGTGGGACTTGTAACATGATGATGGTGTCATCATGAGTGGGACTTGTAACATGATGATGGTGTCATCATAAGTGGGACTTGTGACATGATGATGGTGTCATCTTGAGTGGGACTTGTGACATGATGATGGTGTCATCTTGAGTGGGACTTATAACATGATGATGGTGTCACCTTGAGGGGGACTAGTGACATAATGATGGTGTCATCTTTGAAGGGGACTTATAACATGATGATTGTGTCAACTTGAGTGGGACATGTGACATGATTATGGTGTCATCTTAAGAGGGACTTATAACATGATGGTGTCATCTTGAGGGGGACATGTGACATGATGATGGTGTCAACTTGAGTGGGACTTGTGACATGATGATGGTGTTCATTCTAAAGAGGGAGTTGTGACATGATGATGGTGTCATTTACATATCTTTACCAAGATTCTAAAATGATCACAGATGAATGTAGAATAACACAGATATATCTTTTTATATCAAAACCAAATCACCTCAAATACCTTTCAATGCATACCTACTATAAATATTCATAAAAATTGCATCTATAGACTTCTAGCATGATCGTTGCCCTATTTAGATGTTCACAAACTGGAGAATGGTTTGGGTAGAAGTAAGGTATGTAATAATGACACTTACTGTAACCTTGGCTGATAGCCATAATCGGCAGCACTTCCTGAAGCTCCCTGCATTACAGTTCTTGTACATTTTGACATCTCACTTCCTGGGAACTCATTTGATCCTGCATTTGATTCTGCCCTAGCTTTCCACCCCCGTTATTTCTAAATCCATTTCTGATTCAGTCACGGCTTCAAAAGTTTAACACTAAACATTTGGGTCAAGCTCCAGTAGTGGGGTCTGAGGTTCACCGGAAAGAGTCTTGTGAAATTTGCGCTTGATGTGCATTTTGAGTCTGAGGGTGATATTAAATTTGATAAATCCGAATCGAGACTCAGACCCCCTGGTGGAACGAGTCACTATATTTTGAGCATCTGATGCTTCATTTGGAATGGTTGATGAGGATGATTCAGATTTTGCATCATCGTTATCAGAGGGTTGCCGTCCTTGACCTAGCGAGGGTGTGGAGGGCTTGGTTGAGGTGACGGAGGTTTCACTATTTCCAGGAACACTAGAAAGTTGTTTGAACTGAATCATTAACACTTTGATTAGATTTATCATCGTCATCTTCTGGTTCTATTTTAATAATCTGACCATCAATTTTATTACCCATTCTTGGGCTCGGACCTTGTTGATCAAAGTTCAGTGATGGTCGAGTAGGTCGTGCCATTGGATAAGGTTGATGCCGCACCCCAGGAGATCTCATTCTACCCCCTGGAGAGACTCGACTCAAGGCGACTGGGTGTAAACCTTGTTGAGGGGAGGGATATCTAGGTGATCTAGGCATGAATCGCGGACCACCATACCTTGGTGGTGTGACTGGAGCCATGCTACGAGCCAGAGCTTCCTCGCGTTCTTGAGCTTCTTTTCTTTCTTTCTCCTGCTTCTGTTTATGATGTCCTGTAATATAAATAGTAAATACATGTATCTATATTACATAATCAAACTTGTGTAACTGCTCATTTTTATAAATCCCCCCCCCCCTCATAGTTATAGTAAGTGTTAACAGATAGCTATATAGCATAGAGCAGAGAGCTAAGTTTATATGATAAATGACTGAGACATAAGCTAAAGCCTCGGTCTCACTTACTCCCGGCAAGAGCCCAGGACCATCCCGGTAAGTTACCGGGATGATCCGGGACGATCCGGGATGAAATTATTGTTGCGGTCACACTTACCCCGGCAGCACTACGGGTAGTTCCCTACTAACCACCCAGGATGCGCTCCGGAATCATCCAGGCAGAGCCAGGTGAAGCTACGGTTCATGCCGGTGCTTCCCCGGTCGTTCCCTGATGACGCCGGAAGAGCCCCGGTTGACCCAGGCAGAGCCCCGGTCGATCCAGGCAGAGCCCCGGCAGAGCCCAGGACGATCCAGGCAGAGCCCCGGTAGAACCCCCGGTGGATTGAAAACGCCCGAAAATGATAACTTTGATACATAATTTTTATTTAATATAATATCTATTGTTCCAGAATAGTAATTCATGATGATTTCCTGAAAAAATCCTTATGCCATACTGGATAGAAGGGAAATGGAAGGCTTTTAATACAAACAAGTTCAATCATCGCAAATTGTCCTTATTCTTATGAAATGATCCGGGCTTTGCCGGGGCTTCTACCGGGGCCTACCGGGATCAACCGTAGCTCTACCTTTTTCCTCCGGGGCTCTGCCTGTATTTACCGGGGCTCTGCCCCGGCATATACCGGGCTCTAACGTAGCTTCTACAAGCCGGCTATATCATACCCGGATATCCCGGTTTGTGCCAGCAGAGCTACGGTGCTTTTCCGGTATAACCCCGGTCGTTCCCGGCAGAGCTAAGGATGAAGCCGGCAAAGCTATACCTTCCCGGATCATCCGGACCACCCCGGTGACATAATTAAATATTTTATTCCATCCGGGGTGATGCCGGATGTTCCCGGATCATCCCGGATCATCCAGGACTTTTGCCGCAGAGTTACGGATGTACCCCGGTTTTTCCCGGTCCGTACCCCGGTCGTTCCCGGATCACCCCGGACGTCTACCGGGGCTTTGCCGGGGCTCTGCCGGGATGTAAGTGAGACTGTACCTTAAGATTGAACTTTAATTTGCTAGATTTATGTCACAATTTTCCTAACAAGGGAGATAAATAATTCAGATATTTCACAGACAATATTAAATTCACAATGCTTAGTTCCTTACATGACAGTAATTTTTTGTTGGTTTTACTGTCAAAAAGTCAAAAGTTTTCCTGTACAAAGTCATCATTCTGCCCATCAATACATTATATGACAGACAAAAAAAGCTAACAATTTAAACCAATGAATTTCTGTAAATTTGGTAAATTTTTGTTTTCAGCCATGTGGTTGATACCTAGTGTGTTAAAATTTGAATAAAATAAGTCTTGTGTTTTTGATTTTAATAAAGTTTCACTTCCAGGTCAATATATGGTCATTCAGCATGTATAAATGTTCATACTAAATCATTTTAAACTTTATCAACATTTTATTTTAAAGAAATATTTTTCAGTATAATATAATTATAAGTATTGGCATTGAGCCCATTGTAGACCAATCCACTTGACAGTCTTTTTTTTTTTTTTCAAAAACAACCTGTGGCATTCTAACAGGGGAAACTGAGAATGGAATTTACTCACACATTTTATAAAATTTTCAATTTCAATTTAATTTAACATGCATGGCATATAGTAGAGGCAATTTATAGGGACACCCATACATGTACATATCTTGAAATTATAAATGGTTATGTCCAGACTGAAACATTTAAAACATTTAGTCAGAATGAAAATATCATACGTTTTAGACAGAAGCCAAGGAACTGTGATTTGATGTCCTCGTGATCTTCAAGGAACACCTTGCCGGAGTCTGACCCTAGATGACACAGGGTCCCATCTGAAACACTTGCTGTTAATATGACTGATTCCTCTTCTGTTGTGCTGGCCAACTGTTCCACCTTTGAATTATAGAACAATCATTTTTTTCAACATAAGCAATGACTTGGTTCATATGAGTCTCTTAATGAGACAAAATGAAAAGCTGACCAATGACCGCCCCTGATACCTGATACTCAATTTTCCAGTGCTAGAAAAACCTGTCTCACACCGCCCCCCCCCCATGTAAGAGAAGTCGCGTGTTTTAAATGACATCAATCACACGCACCTTTTATGAATGAACTAAGTTCTTAAGATGACATCATTGTGCTGTTATGAATGAACTTGAAAAATTGCTAACTGAAATTATAAGTTTTCTTAATTCTTTCTGAAATATCAGAAGTTTATGAGACAAAGAAACACCGGCTGTCGTCACAGACAGGAATATTATTTAGCTCTTGGATAACTGTAAGCCAAAAACTCTACCGACCCTCATTATCACCGTAAACAGTTACTGTCTATAGATAAAGGGGGGGGGGGGGTCAATTGAATTAATACCTTATTTATACCGATGATAAATTTTATAAAAAATTTCATAAGATTTAGCTTGATACCATTTAAGTTCACCAATCTATTAATTTGATGTCCAATAAACTAAACAAATTATTGATTTTTTTTGATAATACTTGCCAATAAATAGATTTATCACACACCCGTGCCGATTTTGCGACTCCGTAAATATGGCCGTGCATATATTTTGACGTGACGTCATTAGCGTTATACAAACATAGCGTTAAGACGCGCTAAATGTTAGCGTTATACTATAGGCGCGTAAATGAAAAATGACTCTTATTTCACTTTAAACGTTCTTTATTTTGGGTATGTGATAAATAGAATATTAAATTCGTGTAAGTTCATTATTGAATTTATTGCACTCGTTGAATAAAATAATATTATGCTCGCCAGAGGCTCGCATAATATAAATTTATTCAACTCGTGCAATAAATTCAGTATTGAACTTACACTCATTCAATATCCTCTATTTATTTGCTTTTACATTTACCAAACTATTGATTCAATTACTTTCCTAGATTTATTAATAAACTTACCAACTGTTGAATCTGACTTTTCAGCACTGCCTTCAGTATAACCTTATAACCAGGAATCTCCTTGATCACTTCCATGTCTGGTTTCGCCATCGTGTCAAATCTCTTCCAATATACTCTAACTTGTTTATTGTGTCAGTCTAATAAATGTATTTAAACGATGTCTCTTATCTTGCCAGATGAAAATCTTTTTTTTTTTAAGCCATCACATTGTAGAGGTTGGCACAATCATATTTTCTTTTATTAAGTTCAGGAATCAAAATGAGTCCAAAAAAATAACAAATTATAATATTCTATATAAATTGCTTAGTTCTTTTAGACTGCTTTCTTTTCACCTTGTTGACTGACTCCTGAAAAAGTGAAATTAAATAAGTTTTAAAATCTCATAATAAAATTCTAAAATTTATATAATTTATGAGTACTAATACATACATGTAGATTCCCCAATTCAATACCATTAAAAAATAAATATCCAAATATCTATGATAATAAGTCTGAGATTGTTTACTATTCATTATGTTAATACATCCTCAGTAAAATAACGCATATACCGTAAAATTCCTAATAAACGCCCCTCCCCTAATAAAGCCTTAAAGGCCCCCCAGGCCTTTTGATAAGGAATACAATATACTCATCAGTGCTGAACTCACAATTAAATTCATAATTTTATTCAAATCATTCAGAATCCATTTTATTTTATAGTAAACACAAATATGTATAATATGAACTTTAAAACCTTAACACTTTTTAATGTTATTACCAACACTTGCTAACACTAAATGTATTTACAGTGATTTTTGGATTAAGAAAAAAATGTGTTGTAATAATAGCCCCCTTTTGGAAAATGTTTAGCCCCCGGGGGCGTTTAATAGGAATTTTACGGTATGCAGAATCCCAACTTTGAAACCTCCGCATCCTGCTGCAATCAACATGTATACCAGGAACTGGAAGTCAATTCATGTGTCACCAAGAACCATGTTTTATTATGCAATTAATTTTTTCAACTCCCTGGTATTTTTTTACTTTTTTATTCTCTTCAATTTGGAATGAGTTTTCATTGTGAATAAAGTTTCAAATTTGCACTATGTATGCAGTTACAGGCTGTATAATTGAATCATTGAATGTTTTGTACCACTGTGTTTTTCTTGAACCAATAAGGATTCACCTTACCAACTACACTTTAGCCTCGATAAAATCGCTCTCCCTTCAGTATAACGCTCATAGACATAAGCTCCCAAAAAAAAAATTTAAAAAAAAAAATCCCCCCCCCCCCCTTAAAAAAAATTCTGTAGATCTAGGTTTATAGAGTGCCATATTCGCTATAACGCTTGTTAAATTTGACAGTCAAGTACAATAAACAATTGTAATTAGGACATTTATGATTGCCAAAGATGTGAAAACATGCACAGGTTAGCGTTTATCCGCTCTTTTGTTGATTTACCAGTCCATCAGTAAGGCATCAAATTGTTTACAAAATCTCAAATTCATATCATAACTGTGACATGGGCAACCGGTGGTGAGTATAAATAAACTAAAACTCACACACATATCTGTGACATGTAAACTTCCCTGAATTAAATAACCAGGGCTCACGCTGTCGGTCGCCATAGTCGCCATTTGCGATTATTTTATAAGATTGGCGAATATTTTTGCATTTTGGCTACAAAATCTGGCGATTATTTTTTACTTCCAACAGTGTTTATATAAGGTGTAAAAATCGATAATGAATGCAGTAGACCCAATTAACACCAGCGGGGTGCATTTAATCGAGTGTCAACTTTTTACCGGTCACGTGCTGCCAACTATATTGCCCGAGGTGATAAAATACATGCGAAGATGTATAATTGTATAAGTACTTTAAAGAGATATTGTCCAGCATTTATAAGAGCCATCAAATATCCGTCAATTAGCCACAAACATCGTTTTAAAATTGATAAACCTGGATATTGACTTACCCAAAATTTACCGTGAATTGCAGTAATTGCAAATTTTTGATTTTTTTTTGTTTTAAGCTACTTGACTAAATCGCCAGTGGAAAACAATGGTAAAAATATTTAAAAAGTATTAACTTCAAACTACTATTTGCACAACAACCAAAATTGTGAATATTTCTTCAGAAAACAGAAAAAATCCGATTGTTCACATATTTTCGCGACACGATAGTTTGATATTTATTTAAAGGTGAAATAAGCTATGTTCTGTTTAAAAATCTTTTCTAATATGGCAGAAAATTTGTATTACATTGGTGATGATGATATTTTTCAGTAAATTATTCAGAAAAAAGGCTGCATTCTGTGAATAAGTTTGCAAACTTGTGTTATTTCTATAGGCTAATATGACCTAGATCTACTCCAGTTCTGTGTGAAATGTGGAAATTGACAGTGGTTATAGCTGACAAAATTTGATTAGAACAAACAAAAAAAAGTTTGTTCTGATAACAGCATTATGTAAAGTTTTAATGAATCTTTAATATTATTGTTATACAGTAATTATACTAATTATAACGTTTTTATTCTGTTTCTATAATAACAATTAAAGTTGTGGTTCTATTTAAAAAAAGGTTTTAGTTTATCAATATACACAAATGTTATCAGTTTATTTGAGAATCCTTATAAAACTGAAAAAGATATAAATGTAATGTTTATTTAATCAACTGCTTATGTTGTTAATCGCTAATTCGTGAATAGTCCGCTGAACTTTTGGCTATTATTTTTTTAAGTTGAAATTATTGGCTATTATTTTATTTGAGCCAGTGTGAGCCCTGAATAACCCACACAAGTCCAAAATCAATTAAAAACCCTGCTCTGTATATAAAACAGCCTAGAAAGGAAGTAAATGATGTTTGATTAACTAGGGGACACAACTAAAGCTGGACAGTTACAACGCCAACAACAATGGCTAACTGTTTACACTACTTTCATGCTTTATTTTTTTCTCTCGCAAGTTTTTTGTTTCTTTTAAATATAATTACTATTATTTGTGAAAATAATATATGTTTACATCATTGAATTGTTTTAGAAAAAGATAATGTGGATATTCATTGAACAGCAAGTAAAAATCTTCAGCATTATATGTATAGGCAGTGGGTGGGGTAATGCGAAATTTCCAATGAGCGTGCTAATGAGAGCCTCGTTAGAACGCAGGGTTGAGACATTAGACCCCAACATGAGCGTTATAATGAGGCTCTAGTGTATTTGGATTTAATGATCTGTTTCTGGCACATATATTTTGACAATTCCTGACACTGAACATTATACTTTGAAGTTTTCTCTGAAAACTGAATGAAATGTATGCTGACAGGTGTTGGCACAATGAATTGGAGCATTTAAAGAAGTTATTTAACCTATTTCGTTATAAACTTTGCATATGTAACATATTTTTAAGGACATCAAAAATTATGTGTAATACAAAAATGAAAAAGGGGAAATAACTCTCAAAAATTTTTGCTTTCTGTTCATGCATTCATGGGGGGAGGGGGTAAACTATTAATCTGTTAACTGATCTAAATTATTGCTGATAAATTTTAGTTGGAAGGGGCAAATAGATTAACCAATCAAAGGATTATTTTCACCAATTTCTGTATGTGGATAATCGTTTTGTTATAAGCGTTTCAGAAATTTCTGATTGCAATGTAGATTATTTTAGATTTTTATTTTTTACCGGGACATAAATCATCTCTAAGACAGAGACCACATTTCTGGGACAATCCCAACATCCTGGATGTTATGGCATGTATGGTTTATGTCATATATTTTGCTCAATAAACAAACAAAGTTTAAAAGAAATTATTATTTTTTATCAGTCAGGGTTTTTTTTTTAGGAAAAGGGGAAGACGCTGGACGCTGGTAGGGAGGGGAAAAAATATACGAAAAGTCAATTTGGGGAAACTTTATTATGACGTTATTTATACTATATACTTAACTACATAGAAGAGAGTTACAACTATATCTTTTTCCCCTTAAAAACTTTATCATCATGCAAAATATTCTTTGCAGTATAACATATTTTCTTAATATGTATGGTGGTGAATGGTTTTTATACTTCTATTTTTGTATGAAAGTTAATACAGTATAGGTATAATAGTGTATCTGTGACACACTTTAGCTCCATATAAGTCATTTTCATAATAAGAAGTACAAAATATATCACTTTACTAAAAATAACCAAGAAAATGACAATATTTTGATAGCAACTGTTTTCCAGAAATAGTACCGTTCAGTACGGGATATAGCCAAGAAAAAAAAATGGCTGCCTCCATGTTGAGACAGTACTTGCAGTTTCCTGCAATGTTTTTGGTTATTTTGAACAACAATTGGTGGTTTATCCTGCATAAAATGAAGAAAAATAATATTTTAAACCATGTGATTATTAAATCTGATCCAGTTTAAAGGAAAATAGAATTTTTTGGGGGAAAAAACTTGGCTATTTACCGAGGGGAAGACGCCGACTATCGGTGTCAATTTGTTAGTAAAAAAAAACCCCTGTCAGTCTATGCGAAAGTCAATTTTTTTTTCAGGCCACAAGGACCGAGACCCTTATATTTATTTCCGGCCCGGATGATATTTTTCCGGCCCAGACATTTCAAGCATTATTTCATAATAACTCGGTTGAATGTAAAAATGATTGTCTTTCTTTAAATTAGTGAGACCATCAATATAGAAACATAAGCAGATGCTGACCAATTGAAATAACTTAAAGCAGGGTTCTCACTAGGATTTTCAAAGGAGGAGTCCTTGGACTCCCAAGCACAGAAAAGTAGGAGCACAGATCACGTTGAATATGTTAAGCCATCTTTGCTGCAGTTGACGAATATGATGTATATTAGCAGAGTAAGCTAGGGGTTGGAGAGTCGGAGTTTGAACAGAGAAAAAGCTTATTCAGGAAAATGGTAGAATGTCCCAAATGAAAAACACTGTACCATAAAAGTGATTGAAAAGATTTGAAATATAATTTCAAAAACTCTACATCATCAGACCATTATGCTGTTTTCTTCCAGATTCACTCAACACACCCCCCTCCCCATGAGAAAATATTCATTGTGTGTGACAAACACATACTGGTAATGGCTCCATCTCAACTAATGTGAACAATATCTTTAGTAATTTTAATTCTTATACTACATTTAAGTGTTATTACACACATTTTAACAAAACAAGTTTTCCTTTTGGTTACAATTTTTTTAATTATAAAAAGCGGCATCGCAAAAATATGTGACAATTGAAAATTTGTCTGTTTCCTGCAGAAACATTCACAATTCTACTTGTTGTTGGTTTTGATTATATTAGATTAAATATATTTTGATTATTTTAAGATTGTTACTCATCGGCTATTTCAACAGGCATCATAAAACAAAATTTTCAAATCTGAAATTTACGGCAAAATTTACCGTTGTTGATCATTGATGAAACTTTTTGAAGACAGCGTTGACTGGTATTTATTTGACAGGTACAAAATAGATCTAAGGTCAATAACTTCTTTAATAAATTCTTTGCATCACCGGGAACTTGTTATCAATCAGGTCTTGATATTTTAACTTTTTGAAATTTTATTCGGACATGAGGACTGACGGAAAGGAATTTTTCTCGGACCGCATGATTTTTTTTCAGCCAGGACTGTAATCGTGCTTGAATGTTTGAAGATCCACATCTACATAATTTATACTGCTTCAAAATCATTAACGATTTCGATTACACAGGCAGTGTTTTTTTCACTTTTGGGGGAAGGGGGTCGGTGCCTTTTGGAGGGGGAAAAATGCAACAGGAGGGCGAATTTTATTTGTTTATTTATTTTATATTGTTTTCTTTCCGTTAGAAAAGGGGAGCAACTCTTGCAACACAAGTTTAAGATACGTTGCTTTTCCTTAATATACGGATCTAAAATATTGACGCGTTGCATGTTTAACTTGTTGGGACGCCTGGAGTAGTTCCCCTTACCCGAGAACGATTTGTAAACAACCTTGCTTAACAGTAAGTCTTACAGGCATAAAATAAAACATTTTCAGCACTGCAGTTAGTTGCAAAATAAGAAAAATATTCATTGCAGGCAGATTCAGGCTGCCGTATAAGGGGGAAATTTCAGCTTTGAGGGGGGAATAAAACATACTATTTTAAGGGGGGAACTGGGCCGAATTTCGCCGAATATTTTGGTGAAAAAACCACTGACAGGCAAACAAAACCAGAAATCAATTCCATGCAAAATTAAACTTTAAGTCATGCATATTTTCCCAATTTTTAACAAAACATCCCTGAATTTCCTATTCCATGTTCCCAAAATCCTGAAGAAAAAAACAGTTTATTATCGAAACAGTCTTTATTACGGTACCGATTATCTCCCTTACATAATGATAATTTAATGTGTTTCTCAAACCGTTCATTTAAATGCTCTTTTAAGCGAAAACATAATAAATTGTCATCTGCATACCTATGCAAAATACTTAAATATCAATAATATTTCCATCACGAATTCATATTTCTTACCAAATGGCCAAAGATTCTAATTTTCTTTGTTCAAAAATTTGTGTGGTTCACCGCCATTTTATGAAAGGGGAGGTAATTTAAATCGATTAAAACAATGGCGAATAAAGAAATGTTCCCGGTCGTATGTATGGGAAAGCATGCAACACCTTAAAGAATAAAGCCTTAAGTATCACCTTATGGTTTACTTCATGCAATAATTTGATGGTTCAGTGAGAACTCAACTGGTAGAATTTAAAAAATATATCTATTACAGAACTCAAATGGTAGAATTAAAAAATATATCTTTTATTGTTTTGAATGGATGGATGGATGGATGTTTTACTATAGAACCGAACTTACTTTTGAACACTCTTCTTTTGTTGGCTTAGTGCAGTTTTTTATGTTTTTATCCAGTACAAAAAGGGGGCATTGGACACAAAGCGCTCATCTCAGAACATTATGATTTTTGACATATTAAACACAAAATCAAAAGGAGTAATGTTCTTATCAAGGCTAATTGTCACAGTAAATCTTAATTAGGACTATTAATATACGAGGCATATAAAGTGAAAACCCACAACTCTAGCCTTTTGGCTTCCAGCTGGGAAGTTTTTTGAAGGCTTGACTTTATACATATAAGGAAGAGTAATGACACCCGGGACAGGGCCAATTTTGACCCAAGGGCCATAATTTGGTCAATCTTCTACTTCTACTTCTATGTTGATCTCGTCTGTAAATCCGCTGTGCAGACATCAGCGACGAGTGGTGATGTGAAATGTGCTCCATTAAAAACGTGGGCTAAAAACCTGTCCCCCATGTGCGGCACCAGGTAGCAATCTATAAAAAAAAAGCAAACTAGTCAAATCGGCCCCAAGTCTGATCGGCCCCAAGTCGAAATGGCCCCAAAATGAGTCAAATCGGCCACAAAATGAGTCAAATCGGCCACACAACAATTTTAAAAAGTCAAATCGGCCCCAAAACTAGTCAAATGGGCTTTAAAACAAGTCAAATCGGCCCTAAAGTTTTTTTTGTGAAACGTCATATTTTGGTTAAAACACGGATTTATATTACATAATAATATAAATCCGTGGTTAAAATAAGGTTGTTAACTGAAAATTTCAAGGTTATTTACTGAAATTGCATAATTCACATAAACATACCAATTAAAAATAATTCATTTAAAAAATTGAAACAGCTTTGATGCTGGTGATATAATTGTTCTTAATGTAATTATAAAAGTGTGCTTTGGTTGTTGATTGATTTCTACATTTATTTACAATAAATGATGTCTTTAATCAATTCAGTCATTGTCTGAAATTACCATGCATTTAATTCGGCGATTTTAACATATAGTTATTGAAAATGACTGATAATTGTATAGACTGTAGAAGTGTTTTGCGGAAACAGACAGACAGACAGAAAACTTTATTTTCACTCAAGGTATTACAAATACAACATGAGGATGTATGCAAATAACACAAATTAAGCAATATATGGTTCCGGTAGAGATCAGCAATAAAAAAAAGGGGGAGAAAAAATAAAATAGAAAAACAATTATTTATGCATTCAGTATCATATATCATATATCATGGGGGAATTCACTCCATAAATACATAATAGAACTTCATACCCGCATGTTTACATTACAATAAGTACATATGTACTGAAATAGTAAATAAACAGTGTAAAGCGTCAATTTCACATGTCATTCTAAATTTAGACATTGGAGCAGATCACCTGTCAAAATGAAATTGACATAAATTCATGTACATGTTTATAATATTGAAAAAAAGAATTCGAATCATATCTTGAATTATAGACATAGTTGTTGGTAATGTGAAATGCTGGTAGGAAATAAACTGCTTATTCTTGTATTTAAAAAGACATAATAAAATAAAATAAAAAGGTATAAATCATATGATTTACCAAATCTATTTCTTTCGCGGAGTATTAATGATTTATGTAGTTCGGTCAATTATAAAAAAAACAGCACGAAAAAAAGGAGAAAGTGTGTTTTCAATTCTAAACATAGACAGCAAAGTTACAGCTAAAGATGGCATGAAAAAATGTGTTATAGGTCAAAAATTGTGTACAGATGGATGTTACCATGTTAAGGTAAGAAATAGTACTTAACTTATTTGCAAATAAGGCGGCATGGCTTTTTTATATTTGGAATTTACTAAATATAGCTCTTATAAATTTGCATAGATTCGATAATTTTTCTTCATCTGTTGTCTGCATAAAGTTAATAAAAGAGTGCTCATTATATCTAAAATAGTAATTTCCTAGATAGGTATTTCTTTTGTCGCTAAAATACTCGCAGTACAACAGATAATGTTGTTCGTTACCGACAGAATTTGAATTACATAGAGGGCACGTGCGATCTTCATACCGTGTTCCGTCGTAACGGCCTGTTTCGACTGGAAGTCGATGGTTACTTGTTCGGAATTTAAAAAAAGTTAAATAGTCTGTTCTAGTCAGCACGTTAAAGTATTTTTCATATTCCACATTGTGTTTAAAGCTATTGTATAACATACCTTTGTTTGAAAGCTGCATTTGGTCGTGCCAGGTTTGTTTGAATTGATCTATTAACGTCAGTTTAATTACTTTATGGGTACTTTTATTAACAGCGAGTTGCTGGGATAGCCATATATCTGGTCTTCCCACCGAATTTAGAATTTCTTTAATTTTTGAGATCCATTTAAAATTATATTCGTTTAAACTTGACATGTAATTGTAAAGTAATAGAGAAATTTTGTGCTCTTTTCCCAGTAACAATCTAGTCCAAAACGAGATCATATTAGTTTTAGCAATTATTGATACGGGAAGTGTGCCTGTTTCACCGGCAGGAGGCACTGCAGCAGTCACTTGTGATGCTTGTGACAGATGGCAACATAGGAAGTGTAATACCGGTAAGTTTCTTTAATTGACAAAACTTATTGATCAGGGTGAATTATTTGCCATAGGAAAAAAATACATTTTTATTTCTAAATTCATTTTTTATAAGAGTTTTTTTAAATTTAAATTATAGTTTCTTGATAAAAAAAATAAATTTAGATGCACTGCTACTGGATTTTTGAATGCGTAATGCAAATTAACGGTAATAATTTATTAAGTGTGAACAACATGCTATCTGATTAGACGTGTCGGCACATAACTTAATTTGATTTTCGCACATGAGTGGACATAGAACACACAGACAATATTGATATATATTATATATATATGAATGTATAATTATAATGAGTTTTAGAAGTTGAATTTCATAAGTAATATATTTGAATAGTGACTAGTATTATGATGATTGGCTGATAATTGATCATGAAAAATGTATGATACAATATAGATATGATTCATATTATTTTCTAATTTGTATTTCATTTAAATTAATATACATCTATATTATAATTGTTGACTCTTTAATACTTTTATTCAATTTTTCTGCTTGTAGCTATCGTGAGAAACAACTATCAGCAACGGCACTGTTGAAGCTTGTACCAACCAGGGGTGTTGGGACAAGAAGCAGAGTAATGTACAGTGTCTGTGATAAGACGTGACAATAATTCGTATGAAAAACCTAATATGCTTTATACAGTTACATGTTTACTGTTTCATATGTTTATGCTGCATTGAAGATAAATGTAAAAATATGTTTTGTTCTTTACTTTGTAATCCATGGTTTGTCATTAGGTATACCTCCACACAATTGGTTTTTATCAATATGCTAGCAACATTAAATAAAAAAAAAGAAAAATAAATAAAGAAAAAAATGGGGCCGATTTGACTTGAGGCCGTTTTCATTTGGGGCCGATTTGACTATTTTGGGGCCGATTCGACTTGGGCCCGATCTGACTTGGGGCCGATTTGACTGTAAATCTAAGCACTATCACTTGGGCTTTCAGAAAAGAAGATAATTTTAAGTTTTTGCTATATAAATATATAACAAAAAACCACGAACCCCCGAGGCCGGGCCAATTATTACCCTATCTAGAGAGATATAATTTGAATAACTTTGGCAGAGGACCTCTAGATGATGTTATATACCAAATACAAAGCTCCGGGCCTTATATATATCTATAGAAGAAGATTTTTAAATTTGCATTATTATAATCCTTTTTGGCCCTAATACCTACTTATGCAACAGGCCTGTACCATTTGAACAACTTTGTTAGAGGACCATCCATGCACCCTTTATTTATGGTTTTGTTGATTTCAGAGGAGATGGTGTTGATGACGGACTACGACAGACACCGGAGGGAATGGGACCACAATAGCTCACCACGAGCAAGCTATGCCCAGGTGAGCTAACAAGATATTCTCCTGAAATGTACCTCTACAAAAATCTTATATATACATGTATGTATATATGTTTTTTTTCAGAGTAAGGGTAATAATCTTGCCAAGACCTATGCACAATCGAAGTTGGATTGTCAATTGATTGGTCGCAAACCGTTTTTACATACAAGGTTGATGTGACCTTGACCTTTGACCCCTTGACCTTAAAATCAATAGAGAAAGGCCAATAGACCTAACTAGTTTAAGGGCCAGGGGCCTTAGAGTTGTCAAGTTTTTGGTCGGAAACCGTTTTTAACTTACAAGGTCAATATAGCCTTGACATTTGATCCATTGGCCCCAGAATCAATAGGGGTCATTTCCTTGCCAAGATAATTACACCTACGAAGTTCGAGGGCCATCAGCCCATGGGTTGTCCAGTTATTGGTCGGAAACCGTTCTTTCCTACAAGGTCAATGTGACCTTGACCTTGGACCTCTTGACTCCAAAATCGATATGTTTCATCTACTTGCTAAGACATAAGCACCTGTGCAGTTTGAGGACGAAGTACCTATGGGTTGTCAAAATATTGGTCGGAAACCGGTTCTTACTTACAAGGTCAGTATGGCATTAACCTTAAATCCCTTAACCCAAAAATCGATAGGGTTCATCTACTTGCCAAGACCAATGCACCTACGAAGTTTGAGGGCTACCAAGCCATAGGTTGTGAAGTTATTGATTGGAAAATGTTTTAACCTACAAGGTCAATGTGACCTTGACCTTTGACCCTTGACCGTAAAATAAATAGGGGTCTTCTACTGGTCATAAACAATTCGCATACCAAGTTTGAAGCTCCTAGGCCTAGCGTTCTTGTTATTGATCGGAATACCATTTGGTCTATGGACCGACCAACGGAGGACGGACCGACCGACCGACCAACAGACAAATGCAAATCAATATATCTCCACTCAATTGAAGAAGGCATTAATATAGAGAATCAAAACTAACCACGATCGTATTGCATTTTATACATTGAAGACAATGTGGAAAGAATAAATAGGACCTACTCAATGTTAATATTTCAAAATAACCAAGAAAGCAATATAAAACAATCTACTTTATATAAAAATGTTAATACAGTTTTGATATAGTACAATTTGTCATAATCATAATAAAACGCTAACATATTAATTTGTATTCATACATAAATGATATTTTAATAGAATAGAATAATATATGATTTTTTCGTTTTAGTTTTCCTGAAGAAAAATTTACTATTTATTAATATATAAAACAGCAGTAAAGAAATTATCTTACATATATATTTGTTTGAATTCAATAGAAACATACTTATACATTTAACAACAATAACAATTGAAAACTATGATTTATGATGCATTCATTACAGTATAAAATGTAACAAAATTTCGCAAAATTCTCCTCATTTCAACATCTGCCTCGAATGTCTTTTACCTTTACAGTTACATTTTTTATCGGGATATTCCTTGTCGTCCAGTAACCGATCCCTCCTTGTGCCATTTTACCATACACACCGTTTACATTCGCCAATCTATAACAGTTCTTATACCACCATCCACCTCCATCCAAATATTTTGTGCAACAATTTGTCGTTGGGAGGTCATCATTGTCCCTATCGTAAGTTGAAAATTTCATATTGTCATGGTAACTGAGCAGTTCGTTGATATTGCCCTCATAATTAAAAGCATCGACGTTCATTTTGTAGGTCGTCGCTGCCTCGTGCACGGTGAACACTTTATAGTGAGCGTACTCCGTCTTTCCTTCATAGTTTTCCATTTCAAAGTAAATCTGACTGCCATCACGAGTCAAACGATGAATGTTCTCTAAACCTAGCCAATGTGAACCGTCAATGTCACCAAAACCACTGACGTAGTCATCCCAAGACCGATAAAAGTTTATCTTATCGTCCACCCGTTTCTTTGAAAAAGAAAATCAACAGTTTATCTATTCTGCCAATGACTATATCATGATTCAAGTGACAAAAAAACAACAATATGGAAAATGTATTTATATACTATCATATTATGTTATTCTGTTATATTAACAAGACTATCTATCAGAAGATTTATATTTTATCAGTCAGACTAAAATCATAAAAAAGTTGTATTTGTTGGAATATAACTGTATGACCTGTATTAACGTCCAGCCCCCGTTTGTCATATCACAATAGACAAAGAACGGACACCTGCCATCTGGCGAGATGGAGTAGATGCCATCAGTTCTTGTCCCATTCTTATATATCTCTAAACAATCTGAAATGAAAAACTGTAAGTATAGAAAACTTCAATTCTTCCATAAACTTACTTATTTTCAAAGCAATAACCACATAATTTATGTAAAGTTCAAGTTCACATATGAAAGACAAAATCAAATATTTTCTATGCCCTTCATTCTGTCCGAAATTCAAGAAAATGTATTGCATATACATATATAATCATGCTATGAGACGTTCGTGAATTTTCTAACACATTCAATTATAATAATGCGCCATTTTGAATTACAGAATTAAACTTTTAATGCAGCTCATCGTATTATAAGGTTGTACGGCGGTTTCGATTCCCGACCAATCAGTATTACTAATTTGACTGTAAAGGATTAGAAAAATCAAGCAAACCCACAGTGTTATACATTTTTATGTTCTGAAAATCACAAGTTTATATTTTTCAAAGCTTACAATTAATATTTAATGTTTAGCTCTGTTGCTTGAATTGTGTGTTTATTTCATATTTTGTTTCATCATGTCATAATCATTATATGTTACGTGTAAAGTAAGGATGTTTTTTAACGTTAAAGGTGAAAAAACACTATAATTGGTGTGTTTTTATCATGTTTCAAATAATTGATGATAAAATCAATTTATTGTTAGAGTATCCAAAGATATGAATGCATGAGACTCGGATCCGGTCTAGAGAAACCCACGTGATGTACAATTTGAGAGAACGATTGTTAGACAACATGTAACAGCTTATTACCTCTTGGAAAGCCTTCAATGGATGTATAAGAGGGTCTATCTTGTTTCCTTACGAGCCTCTGAAGTTGTTTTACTTGAACTTCTAAAGAATGAATTTTCTCCTCCAAATTTTTTGAGCTAGAATTTACCAAGAACGCGTCATTGCTTGACATGCATGTCCATGTAGTTTGTCCGTAACAGACGCTTAGAAGAGAAAATAACCACAGCATTCTCATTGTCTTACTTGCAAATTCACACAGAGTCGTATTAGATATCCTGTAAGCACATATATAACATTTTATATATCAGGAAACCAAATAAAATCAGCCATACCTTTGCCATTGTAACACAAAGATACAAATTCATTAGACAAAGATCCCTCTCTATTTTTGATTCAAACTCACAACCATCAGTTTAAAGCCCATTTATGCCTCAGATATGCTATTATTTTTTCATGTATTTTTGGTATCTAACTATTACAGTTTCCAAAGCATTGTTAATTTGCCATATACATGTAGATGAACTTGCTTCTGTTGCTATATTTGCAATTGTTATAATTGTAGTGAAAAAGTATTTTGTAAGAAAGTCAAAAAACTACTTTGTTTACATTTTGCTGTCATAATGACACATTACTTCACGTTCAACGCTCCTTCCTTCATTAATTTGTAAATCATCTAACATGCTCTAAATTCATTATCTAAACATTTCAAACATATGTTTGTAATTTCTAGTCATAGTGTGCCGTTAAAGATACACAAATAACTCTCAACATGTAAATATCAGGGGTTATCACGACAATAAGTGTTCAAATGACAGAAAATTATACATTACATACAAATAAAAACTATTAATAGAAAATGCTTGCTGTTGAATGCCAACAATTGCGCTGTAGAAATTGTCATGTCATTGTAAGGATCTCTCTATTATGAAAACTGTCTTAGTAATAACTTCATTTATGTCTAAACTTGTTTGAGAAATTTAAGTGTTTCAAATTTAGATTATTAACAAAATCAAACCAAGACCTACGTTCGACTTATAATGCTGTTTATATACTCAAAGTTAAAAATAGATCACGAAAATCATATATCACAATGGCTTCAATTATTACAAACCTTTGTCCAGATATGTTTATAATCCTCTATACACTGTCTCCCAGCTACCTACTGAGTCCGAAATGAAACTACCTGGTTATAACAATGACATGTTTTGTATTGTCTTAACCTACCGAAACGTTCTGTATAAATCTAAAGCGACAAAATGGATTTTTACGACTAATATGGTCAGAAAATTCATCATATATATTCCTTAATATGTTGGGGGTGGGGGTTCATACTCAAAATATTGTTGTATTTGTTGTTGCGTATTCTCGTTAAAGAAAAGCAGTTTATATAAAAACAATATGTAAATTTTCTTCTTTCAATCAATGCTCTTAATTAACTATTGGTAAATTATAGCAGTGGTAACAAAACATGGAGAGCATTGCTCACGGGACCCAGCCCCATTAGAATCAATGATACCCAGTGCAACAATAAACAGGAGAAGGGCAGGATATGGAGGAGTTAAACGGAACACTTTATTTTGTGGAGTGTGGGTTTGGCGTCACATAAGGCGACATCAATTTAAAAAACATACATGTACCTATATATTTATACATGTAATAACAAGAAGAGGTTTAATTTTATTATGTATAACTGATGTAAGATTATTTCTTTTAACTGGACTGGGATGCCCTGCATTGAATTCGGTTATCAACAGTTACTGCTTCTAATTATCGTGAGATACTTGTATATTGGTCTCACGCCACATGTGCAGGTTAATTATAACTTTATATAGATTGAAGCTGGAATAAGATCATTTGTCTTTGGTCCACACGTTTAAATTTCAAAAAGGGTACAAAGATGGTAGAGCATAAGGTCAGACTGTAAATGTTGTAAAAATGATAAAAGCATCAAATATCTTATTCTTATTGTAGTCATAAGAGGAACAAGGAAGATAAATAATAATACTATTATTTGTTTTTCTATTTGAAAGACCCCAGTTATCTATGTGAAATTATCGGCAGATTTGAGTTTGTTTATGGAGAAATAACAAACAATAACTAAAATTACCACAAACGACCTTCATTTAGCTTCTAATAATGTAGATTTCTATTTACATTTACATGTTATATGTTCAAACATTGGTGGTAAAATATAGAGTCCTACATATGTGAATTTCAAAAAGAGTTTTTAAGTATTTTGTAAAATGAGGTGTAACAATTTCATAAACAAACAAATGAAATCATTTCAAGAGTCATTCCTGGTGATGATGCAAGTACTTAAAGTCTTAGAATTTGTAAACAAAAGAACAAAATGTGATCCAGTCCGTCGGTCGGTCGCTCAACGTATGTTAACCAGTTACACTTTTTCTTTGATCGTCAAGTAATTATAATCCATATATAGAGTGAAAATGCATTTTCAAGAGCAAAGTTAGCCAAGAAGCTGAAACTTATTTTCATGCTAGAGTAGAGTAGAGTGCGAATAACCGTGGAATGATCAATCACAACAAAAGTGACCTGCACCGTTCAGGAACCGAACCCAGATCACCCGATTCACAGTCTATCGCTCTACCTTATTGAGCTGACCGAACGGCTTCCGGGAATAGGTCCCCTTCGGGAACCTATTTATGCCAGTGTTTAGTTAAATGATGTTTGTCATTTTGCATTTACTTATTCAATTAGCTTTACAGCTGTAAAAATACAAATTGTGTTGATGATATTGCCATTTATTCCAATGATTTTGGTTTTGCAAAATGCGAAAATTTGGTGGCATGGCTGTTTTCATTCCATCAATTTGATTTCAAACACACTATCCTTTAGTTATCATAATTTGAGGAATTTTACAACATATTATATATGATTTAAGAAATATTATGAAGGCAAAATACCTTTAACATTCTTATGTTTATCCATCCTACACAATAATATCACACAGGTACAGTCTAATTTAGATTAATTACCTTGAGTGATGAGTGATGCATTGTAGAAATTTCACGCAAAAGAAGTTCTAGAAAATCGTTTGCAAAGTAATAGATAAAAGCAGTGCCATAAGGATCAATGTGCCTGCCTTCAGTCCAGTGATCATGGGTTTGAATCCCACTGAGGTCGACGCTCATGTCTCCTTATGATAGCTTCGGGAAGCAGTCTATTATTATGTAATTATGTAACATGCTTGCTTCACACATGCGAGCTTATGGTTTATTTAGAAGGACACGTGTATGTACGATATAGGAAAATGTTTTATATTAGTAAATGTTTGAATAGGAATAAAAACTACTTTTAAAATCCAAGCAGTCAGAATATTTTCAATGGTTGCATGAAACAGCTTTGAACAAAATGTGCTATGATAATATCAGAAACAAATTGTCAATTCTTTTAACTTTACAAAGTTAAAACTAAAATATTTTATCAACAATTTTTGTGATCTTATTTTAAACAATTGTGTTGCCAACGTAATAATGTTTAAAAGGGAAGAAGGAAATTAAAGTGTATTTTTTACTTTTTCTCTTGTTTATCTTCACGACATTTTAACGCTATTGCTTTTCAAATTTTAGAATTAAGAAAAGAAAATGTAAGAAGAATGTTGTGATGTGCATTATACAAATATAATATAATAATAATAATATATTATAATAATCTTATAAGTTCAAACACTGTTGGTAAAATGTAAGGTCCTTCATTGATGAACTTCAAAAAATTAGTTTTGAAATATATTTGTAAAACGAGGTGCTAAAATTGCATTAGAATATGAACACAAAAAATAAATCCATCATGTGAAGAGTTACTAGTATTCCTCGTGATGATGCAAGTACTAAAAGCTTTGAAATTAATAAACAAAACCATAAAAACTAGTACGTCGGTCGGTCGTTTGAGGCATGTTAACCAATTTAACAACATTGCCCTTGATCAACAGGTAATTAGAATCCATCTATTGCTCTCCCTAAAGAGTGTATCGCTCCGTTTACCGTTGCAACTGAAAAGTATCTGCCTTTCTGGATACTATTGATACTAGTGTGGAGTGAAACCATTTTGACATGTTGCACATTTGCTAAAGGTAATTAGCTACATGGATAGGACAAACCAGAGCTTCAGTCAAGTGGCGTTTGTGTTATTGTCTGGCAACTGCTTTGCAAAAATGAGTAAGCTTTGTGCAGTGAGTTTGTTTGTATTTTATGAATTTGATTTAATAGAAACATAACAACATTATAAAACGCATGTTTCTCCTTAGTAAAGAATGTAGAAGATCTACAATAATAGTTTTGTTACCATAATGAGGTTAAGTTTTTACTAATTTATTTAATTATGATTGTGTCGAAAACTATAAGCTTATATTCAATACTCTCGAATCCGTTTCTGGAACCAACCAAAATGTAAAGTTACTTGCTCACAGAGACAACGGGGTTTGAACACATGCGAACAGCGTGATTACTAGTCCGACGCGTTAACTTCTCTGCCATGCCGACACATAGATGTCTAAAGAGGAAGAAGGAAATTTAAGTTTTATTGTTTATTTTTTCTTGTTTATAAACATTTGAGCACGCTATTGTTTAACATGACGAAGTTTAAAAAATATTACAACATGAAGGCCCTGATATATTAAATAATATTAGAATGTAAAAGAACATAATACAAAGATACTTAAAGGGACTCCACTGAGGTTTTTTGACGTGACGAGACTAAAATAGTTTTCCAATATTCTTGCAACATTTGATATCTGTCTGGACTAACAACTTTTGTGCAAATTTTCAGATCATTTCCTTTGCCCGTTTTTTTCTAAACTCATCTCTTTTTTTCGCAAAAAAGAACTGATCAGCGTTGCAACGCTTTCACTGGCTAAAATCGCACAAAAATCGATTTACAATAATTCTGAGCATATTTCTTGATAATCCTTTGCAGATTTTTTCGATTTTAAGTGATTCACTTGATTTATGTAAGAGGCCTCAATTACATGTTTTTAGGCTTTTATTTCACATCAGTGGAGTTCCTTTAAAGAAAGTTTCATCTTTGACTGTATACTATTTCATGAAAATACAAAAGCGATCATTTTTTACCATTTTATGAAAATATGTTTGTTTTTATGAATTTATGAATGATTTATTCACTGCCATTATGATGGATTCCTAAAAGTGTGATATCAAATTTGTGAAGATGTCGGGGCCTCTCTTACAAAACAATATCCATTGCCGTGTCAAATTGATTCACTATCACAAAAGCAAAAGATACTACACGATTGTTAATCAGGCGGTAAGGTTTTATAAGTTGACGCATTTTTTTCAAAAAGTAAAGAACACAGAATTTTATTTTTATTTTGTTCACTGTGCATAATCATTCAAACAACATTCAAAGTATCAATTAATACAAATTATTCACAATACATAAGTAATTTTAATTATATTTTAAATACAATGTCACGCAATTATTTAAATGTCGTATTTTTATAATTAAATGTGATTTTAAATCAGCAAAAATAGATACGATGTTGTCTGCATTTCGGGGGTATGTAATTAACTGTACATTCCTAGACTAGTTATAACAATAAAATTGATGTCTCTTATACTACATAAAGGGATAAATGTATCATTCTAAATGAAAAGATGACTACATGCACTAAAGATCCTCCTCAAAGAGGGATTACTTTAGCATCAACGATGTCTTAACTATATAGTTCTATTTTAAAAACACTTATATGGTATTGATATATGGTGCTGCCATTTAAAATATGGGTGCTGTGGTTTTTACAAGTGGTGATGTGAGTTTGATATTTGGTCATATTTCAATATGTTAAAGTGGTTTTGATAGTTGGACAAAACGACAAATATGACACACACAATAGACGTGTCGAAGAATTCAAATAAGACATTGACCTTAAATTGAAACTTGATCGTCAGTGTATTTGACTTACAAGAAAAGACCGAACGAGGCCCGCATCAAGTTATTACATAAAAAAATAAGCTAACAATGGAGTAAATAGGTTCAAACGATACTCTTATTTTATGATTAACATACAAGTAATCTGATCATGTGACACTTTACTCCATTGGAAAGTTCTTATAAAAGTGATCACAAAAATATTTTCCGCCCCGAAATAAAGGGAGAATATCATCCAAAGGATTAACATGCGACTTGGTTTTGGCTGTCAGTGTGAAAAAAAACTGAAAATGTTTAAGATATATCTGCGTTCACATAAAATGTAACAACTGTTTACAGATTAGAAATCTGAACATGGAAGTAGAAATATGTCTTCAATTACTGATCTTCGCTGTCCTGATAGTTCATTTTTGTATCGGGCATGAAACGTTTATGTGCACAACAAACACAGATGCTTTAAAAACAAAAACTCCGTGCTCGAATGAACTGGAAGAAGAAGTACGATCTTTGAAAGTCCAAGTTCGTCAGCTTCAGACACTTTTACAGCAACATGAAAATTCCCATTTCACTACTATCCAAGGTTTTCCAAAAGGTAGTTTTTAACAATACGTATAAAAAGAAGACATTTTTATTCAGATTTTATATAAACTATTTAATTAAAATGGCCGCGACAGAAATCAATGTATTAAAATCGGTAGTTTAAGATTTTATATAGGACGGTTTTGTAATTCGAGTAGGGTTTCTATGTATTAAAATCGATAGTTTAATATCTTAAATAGGATTGTACGGTTTCTTACATCGAATCGTCAATCACATTGCATGACCTGGATTCTAATTAATTCAGTCGTATAAAAATAAATGATTTTCTATGAAAAGTATCTTAAACGAGTTTTCAAATAAAGTATTTACATGTATATAGCATGTGGTATATTTTGAATGATAAGTTATTTCCATCAATTTCAATATTACAGATTGTTTGGAAATATACAGAAACGGTACTAGGACAGACGGAGTTTATTCTATCTCTCCGGACGGAAGATGTCCGTTTTTAGTGTTCTGTGACATGACTAACGGGGGATGGACTTTGATCCAGGTATGTGTTTTTATACAAGATAGTTTTTGTCTTAAAACAGACTGTGTAACCAATAATGTTTTCAACAATTCATGACTCATTTTCATTATGACGATTAAAAGTTTAAGTTCAATATGTTGTAAGTTTTACACGATTAATGATGACAAACAAACAGACAATGCCATTCTGGATCATCTGTATATATCTTTACATATTATTATACATATGGAGGTATTCCTTTTTATCCAAATTGTTTTATAACAATTACAGAAAAGAGTTGACGGAAAGATTGGCTTTCACCGGTCCTGGGATGACTACGTCAGTGGTTTTGGTGAAATTGACGGTTCACATTGGCTAGGGTTAGAGAAAATTCACCGTCTGACACGGGATGGCAGTCAGATTTACTTTGACATGGAAAACTATGAGGGCAAAAAGGAATACCTACATTATAAAGTGTTCACCGTGCACGAGGCAGCAACCGCCTATAGAATCAACGTCGATGCTTTTAATTACGAGAGAAATATTGAAGAACTTCTAAGCTACTGAAACATGAAATTTTCAACTTATGACAGAGAAAATGATGTTTCTTCAAGAAATTGTGTCAGCGTGGTTGACGGGGCTGGTTGGTGGTATAAGGATTGTTGGCGACTAGGAGGCTTGAACGGCGTATATGGTAAAAGACGGGAAGGTGGTATTGGCTATTGGACACATAGCAAGAAAACGGTTCCAGTAAAAAATGTCGCTATAAAGGTGAAAGATCTGGCTGGTCAATGCTAGATACTGGTGTATCGGTTATTGTGAACGTGTCGTGAACTTAACTGTTAACTCGTAAGAAAAAAGCAAAAAAATAAAACATGCAGCTACATTTTAAAATTATGTTCTCTTGTGAAATGCATGTACTTGTTGTCTTCTGTTGCGAATTCACTGATAGTTATGACTTGGCTTGGCTAGATCTTTATTCTATTCTTAATATTCTTTTTCTGTTGATATTTTCTCTTAATATTTTTATTTGTTAGAATCATGTTTGTTTTGAAAATCAATAACTTATCACAATAATGAGACTGAATTTGAAAATAATAAAATATAGGAATGGGGAACATGTATACGCCTTTCTTGGTGCTTTCAATATTTTATAAACGAACATTTGCGAAGGAAAAGAAAAAAAGCCCACTTTTGATATACATTTAGATAATGTTAGTGTTTATTAGTCAGCATTATTGGAATTAAATCTGTCAAGAGGGGCACAGCTGCTGGACAGATGCCTACATTTAATGCCTAAGATTAAATATGTTTTTTTGATTGATTTATTTGTGTATATATATATGTCATATTACAAAACAAATTAAGACAATTTATCACAGTTATATCTATCACATTGTTTTTAACACAGTAATTAATTGAAAAATAATAACTTTACATTCATAATTAAATCAAAGATCTTGTTGACTTCAAGACAATATATACAACACAGGATAACCCATGAAAGTTCAATATAAAATAGAGAACTTATTTCCAATGGGGTCCTTTGATGGTAAAGAATATATTTTCTTGAGAACTGGCATTCAGGTCCATACTTAGAGATGATATACTGGACTGATGTTAAATTTCTAAGATCAAATAATATTAATTTCTATTGCACATTATGTTAATTACATATATCACATATTTGCAGGAATAATACTATGAATATGACTAGTTAACACACCAATGAAAGATATCTATTTATATATATCACAAAACCAATCACAAGATACATATAAAACATACTATATTGATTAAAACAATTATCTCTAAAACTAATAAACAATAAAATCAGCTTGTTCAAATTGTTTCATATTTTTGCTTAGTTCAGCTTTTACTTTCTTTTAAAGTTAAAAAAGTTACTTTCCTTTTTAATATCAAGTGGGAGCATGTTCCAATCCCTAATACCCTGGTAGAAAAATGTACTTTTTTGTAAAACTATTAACATGGGTATATGAAAGTTCCCGACACTGTTTCTACTATTATAACAATGAACATCAGACTTTAAAGAAAAGTTATCATACATATAAGATGGACACTTTTTATTAAATATTTTTGTGTACATGATTAAGTCTTAACTGCATGACTCTATTTTCTATATTAAGCCACCCAATACTGCTAAAATCAATAACTTCAATGATTTTCTAGAGGAATAACCATGAATATAACGAACAACTTTGTTTTGTGCTACTTGAAGTTTATGTTTAAGTTGTTTAGTAAGGCCACTATACCAAGATGAGCTGGCATAATCGAAGTGACACTGTATTAAAGAGTTACATAATAGTTTTCTTAGCTCCATATTCAAACTGTTGCCTTGTCTGTACAAAAATTTTAATCGAGAGTTTACTTTTTGTACTATATTATCAACAATAGAAGTGGCTGAGAGATCATTATCCAAGATAGAACCGAAATACTTTACTGATGGCTGAGATTGTATGTGTGATTATTACAGTGTATTTTAAACTGCTCTAGTTTTGACAATTTCCTCTTAGAACTAAAAACAATACATTCTGTTTTACCAAGATGTAATGATAGCTTATTATCAACAAGCCATTTACTACAATTTTCTAGTTCCTTACCCAAAACATTACAAATAACATCTGGATCTTTATGTGAATATAAAATTGCACTATCATCTGCATAAAGAATAAGCTTACATTTTTTGTTAATACTAATACTCATATCATTGACATAACATAGAAACAATAGAGGACCCAATATACTTCCTGAGGAACACCACATGTAAATATTCATAGCTTCGGACATAGTATTATTTACATTTACAATTTGACTACGACCAGTTAAATAAGATTGAAACCATTCTACTGACTCCACACCCATTTTTTGTAACTTTCTACACAAGATGTCATGGTCTACAGTGTCAAACGCCTTTTGTAAATCTAACATAATCATACCGGTGAGCAGTCCTTTAGAAGTTTGACTTTTTACATGGTCAGTGAGATGGATTAGGCAGGAGTCAGTAGAATAATTACATCTAAAACCACTTTGTAATTCATATAATAGTCCCTGTTATTATTAAATAAATCGTTTCATATAATTGACAAATGAAATGAATAAAATTGGAAAATGAAATTTGCCATTTATAAAATACATAATAATAAGTAAACCTCTCGATTTCTCTTATATACTGGTCTGCCCTCTTTATGTGAATGAGTAAAGCAAAGAAACAAGCGTCACTAGCATGTTATAAATAGCTATTGGGACACTGCTTTGATGAAGACTTAACAGTGATATGATGGTCTTTTCAAAGATAAAATTGTGTGAATACTAAGTTTGAATCGAACACTGTAGTAAATTCCGGGATAAATTAAAAGCTGGGAGCCGCTTTAACGGGATTGAATTTAATAATAATTTAGTGTCGATTAAATAAATTAAATACATGTATACCAAAGAATTTTAAAAAGTGCTACGATATCGATATATTAGACAAAATATAATTACAAACCTTAAGTTACACAATAATTTTAGCAGAACTCGCATTTACATTTACTATTTGGAAAATAATGGCGTAATGATTTATCACATTTTGGCATATAATCACTGCACATTCGGCATTGATTCTTGGTATGCAAATGTAACATGTGTGTACAATGCATATATTAATCTAAGTATCATATTTTGTTAATCTTTTTTACACCTTTCGTTGGTGAAAAAATGCACTAGACAGTTACAGGATGATTTTTGTTTCAAGAGTAGGTATATAGTGAGTGAAAGTCAAAAGAAGTTTACATTTTGCTATTAGAAATGGATGGATGAATGACCCGGCCCGGTTATGAATAATTATATGGAACCGAATTACTAATATTAATTTGGAACACTTTTTTTATAGTGGACCACCCATTGATAATTTCTATAAATTCCTATATGCATGTATATATATTTTTTGCAGTCTCTAAATGGTTAGTTGATAACGATTTGATCAACCGAAAACTAAATATAGTTTCCTTCGGTTGCAGAATTTGCAGTTTCAAATACTAGTAGTATAAAAATCTGGACAATGTGTGATCCTGTGATCACTGTAATCTGTGATCCTGTTATCTTTGATCCTGTAATCTGTGATAAAGCGTTATCTACTGTAATATTTTCTTATATTAAATAATTGTAAATGTTTCTTGTTTCCATAAACTAATGGTGGTTTATTGAATGATATATTTTATATTATAGTCTCTGTTATTTGGCCAACATGGCTTTTGCACGTAAACAGGATAACATGTTCCGGCTGCTATTTTAATTAAGATTGCTAACTATCGTCCTTGATTTGGCCTTGTTTTCTCTTTTGCATTTTTTCGGTGCCTTCATGGGTTGGGTTTCGGTGTTGGTTATGTGCTTCGTTCATTGAATGACGGCCTTCCTTGTTGATCATTGTTCTCATATTGTAATCGTTCAGCAATGATTTCATTCATGCGCAATTTGCTCTAAGGAAATATAGAAGCCTATTTCTTTTTCACAGGTTATTTGGATTTTTTTTCAGAAATGAAATAGATGTAATATTTTTTCCATGCTACATGCTACAGATTTCTAGCTTAATCAGTCGTATGAAGAAAAGGATGGTAAAATGAGATTTTGTACGAGATAATAGAATATCAAAATCAATGCAAGTTTACTTCATTTGAAATAT